AAAATTAACTGTAGGGAATTGGCCTAATATTCTAATTGAGAGAAGTGGCGTAATATTTTAAACTGAAAAGAATTAATGTAGCATTTTTAATTGAAGAGAATTGGCGTAACATTAATAAATTAAGAGATTAGGCGCAATATTTTCAATTGAAGACAGCCTAATATTTCTAACAGGAAGGGATTGGCGTAACATCATTAACTGAAGAGAAGTGGTGTAATATTTTTTAACTGAAGAGAATTCGCGTAAAGGTTTTAACAGAAGAGAATTGGCGTAACATTTTTATTTGAAGAGAATTGGCATAACATTTTTAATCGAAGAGAATTCGTATAACTTTTTAGCGGAAGAGAAATGGTGTATCATTTTTAACTAAAGAGCATTAGGGTTATATTTTTATTGAAGAGAAATGGCGTAATATTTTAAACTGAGTAACAGTTTAATTGAAAAGAATTGGTGTATTTATCTGAAGAGAATTAGCGAGGAAAAATGTATACCCATTCTCTCTGCGTCAATTTTCTTTAAATACAAACGTTACTCAAATTCTCATCAGTTAAGAATGTTACGACAATACTCTTCTCTTATAAATGTTGCGACAATTTTTCTTTTCTGGAAAATATTACGCTACTTCTCTCCAGTTAAAAATGATACGCTGATTCTCTTCAAATAATTATGTTATGGCAATTCTTTTCAGTTAAATATTTTATGTTAATTCTCTATCAGTTAAAAATGTTACGCCAATTATCTCCAATTAAAATGTTACACCATTTGTCGCCAATTAAAATGTTACGCGAATTTTATTCAATTAAAATGTTGTGCCAATTCTCTTTACGCTAATTCTCTTCAGTTAAAAAATGCTCTTTTAACATTTTAACTGAAGAGAATTAGCGTAACATATTTAAATGAAGAGACTTGGCGTAACATTCTTAATGGAAGAGAATCATTGAAACATTTTTAATTGAACAGAACTAGCGTAACATTTTTAACTGACGAGAATTGCGTAATGTTTTTAACTGAATATAATTGAAGTATTATTTTTAATCGAAGAATATTCGTGTAATATTTTTAACGAAAATGAATTGGTGTACATTTTTAATTAAAGAGAATTGGCGTAACTTTTTTAAATGAGGAGAATTGCCGTAATATCTAGAACTGAAGAAAATTAATGTAAGATTGACAAGTGAATAGAAATTAGTGTAACATTTTCAACTGAAGAGAACTGGCGTAATATATATAATTGAAGATAATGAGTGTAACATTTTTAATTGAAGACAATTGGCGTATCATTTTTAACTAAGATTTGATTTGCTCACTGGTAAGGCTTGTCAGAATGTTTGTACAGCGTTACAATTTTCGTACGCTCCTTGGAGTAACGTCCATCACAGACAATGGCCGTAGGACATCTAATCAACAGTCGAGACAGTAGTGCCTAGATGTGATAAAAATCTGATGCAATCACGGATGACGCAATATTTTTCAAGGCCAAACAAATTTCATCATACACCCCTAAAATAGATTCATATTACTGCACACCACTGCAAATGAGCTAATCTCAAGAAAACATAGAAATCAATTATACCCTGTCACTCCAGTGGGTCTAAAATTGACTGGAAAGGAAACTAAAGCGGTTGTTTCAATTAATTTACACAAGGGTGTATGTCTCAGAAATGTCAACTGTCTTTTTTCTGATTCTAAGTCTTTTTTGTTTCCATTTTCTTTAGAATTTTTCTTGTTGCTCACACGTTCCGTCCTTGGAAGTTTCAGAATTTTTTGTTGCTTGAAGTCTCTCCTTTTCAAATTGTCTAGCATTCACTGGCATATAGGAATCCTAATATTACATAGCGGTTCAGCATTCTTTTCTTTGTTTGTAATGAAATTGTCCTTATTCGTAATATAGCTTTTTGAGTTCATCTTTTTGATGTCATCTTTTCGAGGTCATCTTTTTGATGTCATCTTTTTGAGGTCATCTTTTTGAGGTCATCTTTTTGAGGTCATCTTTCGCAATTCAAATGCGCCTCTAGATTTATGCGTCACATTTTCTGCTGTCCGTCATAACACTTCTCAAATAGTTAAATTTCTGTTCTTGAAAAATATGGCATGCTAAAATGAACACAGTCTCAGCGTTGCAGATGTACGCCGCAATTTCCTTCCTTCTCCGTCGTGATATTCCAGCTTTGTATATATATATATATATATATATATATATATATATATATATATATATATATATATACGCATTCGTAAACATGTGCCAGTGTTTTGTTTTTTGTTTTTTTAAATCGTATCACTCCTGGCTAGGAGTTAAAGCCACAAAGGTGCAAGGGCTTTACCAAGATTGAAAGAAACTGAGAAAACATTAATGAGTTGAAATGGCAATAAAAAGAATAGGATTCAAGGAGACAGAAGAAGATTAACGTTGCATTTTAATTTTTGAAGATTTTAGTTGAAAGGGAAGCAAGAAGCTGGAAGAGATTTCCACAGGCGAGAAGTGTGTGTGTGTGTGTGTGTGTGTGAGAGAGAGAGAGAGAGAGAGAGAGAGAGTGAGAGCAAACTATGAGAATAGAACTTACAATGTCAACAGTAAAATGATGAGACCTAACTGCCAATCTAGTACCATGCTTAAATTTATGAAGTTAAAGTACCAAAGAAGCTTCATCAGAACAACTGCCATGAAAATCCACAAAAGCACAGAAAAAGCACAGCTTATAGTCACACCAGATTTTAGATTTAAATTGAGATTTTACTAACACGCTAAATTTTAATTTTAATTATTAATTTTAATAATTAATACCGGATTTTACTTTAGGTATTCCTTTTTTCTATGTGCCGGGTCCCTTCAGAACGTTGGCGATAATGGCTCTCCACAATTTCTTCTCCTTTGGACCTCTTAATATTTTTTGTCTTTTTGTTATCTCTCCTAAACATTGCTCCGTCATCTATTTAATCAAGCTCGCTAGGCAAGGGTTATGCTTTGTTTTCCGCTGTCCCTCTTGCCTTTAATTTGTCCTGTGATTATCAGGTTTTCCAAGTCCTCTTTCCTCATCATGTGACCTAGAAATTTCAACTATCACTTCCTGATGTTAAGTATAATCGTGTTTTTTGTTTCCATTTTCTCTAAAACTTTGTCGTTGCTTCCATGATTGGTCTGTTGTATTCTTGGCAGCCTTTTGTTGAAACAAATTTCTGTTGCTTCAAGTCCCTTATTCGACAGCTATATAGGAAGGCTGATATTACATAACAGTTCAGTACTCTTTTCTTTATTTATAAGGAAATTTTCCTGCTTCTTAATACTTTGTTTAGCTTTTGGAAGGTGTCGAGTCCATATGCGTGTTGATTTTCTCTGTGTAAGATGTACCCCGAAAGAACTTACAGTTTCCTATGACTGATATCCCTAGAAGGAGAAAACCTTGTAAATCACGCAAAATAAAAACCCTTTTACTTGTTTTGTCACTTGAATTTTTTTTCTTTTTAACATTAAGGGCCATCGTTACAACGTTATCTGGTCTTATTAAAAAATATGACATCGGGACTTGTCCCTTCACTGACAAAATTATCTATTTATTTGAAAATAATTATATTTATTATGATTCATTTGTTATAAGTCCTGACCTGGCATATCGGCTTCAGTCACATTCCCACCGCCATGATGTAGCTTCCCTGTGTCTTTTCTATAAAAGATTCATGGTAATTTTTGTGATGAACTTTTCTCTGTAGTACTTACACCACACGAATTTAAGCGTAGTACTAGATTAGAAGTTAGGTATCATCATTTTACAGTTGAATTGATTAGATTTTACGTTAAATTCTATGCTAACAGTTTCTTATCGCGCACTTGTAAAACTCTTTTCCGGCATCTTGCATTCCAGTCAAATTTGATCTTCAAAAAGTTCAATGCAATGTCAATCGTTATCTTCCGTCTATATGATTCCTGTTTTTATTTTATTTTATTTTATTGATGTCTCTCCTTAATAATATTTTACTTTTTTTCATTTTTCACGCTCAGCAACTCCTTGTGTCTTAGTGGCTTCATTGCCTTGCTCGAAGTGACATGATAAAAATAAATATAGATTCCTTTTAAATATAGATGGAGTCATAAAAATGACTTTAAATGGTCGCACATTTCGACTTATACTTTTTTCTTTTGACACAAGTGTTACTAACAGAAAGGGAAATTAGCTCCCCCCAACCTACACGATTCAGTTTCATTCACACTGCGGATCTTGTGAAGACAATATTTCTCAACATCAACTACACCCGGGCTTTTCCCGTTAGCAGCAACGGCGGGGCAGCTTGGCATGTCTAGATACGGGCCTCTCTGCAACTGGTCAAGATCCGGAGCTTTGTAAAACGCCACCTGTTAATAAAAGCAACGGGAAAACACGGTGTCTTGTGAAGTCGGTCCCGTGGGCATCTTGTTCCTAAAGCTGCTGTAGTGTTATTTTTGATACATCCAGTCTTTTTCCTCATTCTGCCTTTTAGTTGCTGGGAGAGCAATCTGTTAGGTGTTTCCCCCAACCTCAACACTCTCTTGCCATACATTACAACATACTTAAAAGTATTTTTACAGTATTTAAAAAAAAAAAATTAAAACAATTTGTTACCGAATAATTTCTGAAAAATTCAATGAAATTTTATTGATCAGCCCAGATCAGACGTTGTCCAGACTAAAAGTGTTATTCTAGTCTCTTATTTTAAACTTAATCATATGATGTGCATGTGTGCGTGTGCTTGCGTGTACATGAAATGGCACAAGCACATGTAAAACACTCAGGCACAACACAGATATAGGCATATATATTGCATAAGCGCATCCAAAGTCACATATAGACAGTGTGTGGCGGATAGAGAATTAGCTATTCTTTTCTGATATAGATCGCCATATTTTCCGGATAGACCTGGGAGATAACTAAGGCGTGTCCAAACAAAGGCACAGAATTTATTTGCCGATTTCTTTCTTCCGTTTATTGTTAAGCCCGCCTTTACAATCTTGTTTTTTCCTTTTCCAGCAAGGTGTCTTCATCACGGCAGACGAAGATTATTTTGTAGAACCCCTGTGGAATCATACGAATAACGTAGAGCGTGAAGGATATCCTCATATTGTCTACAAGCGCTCCGCATTGAAATTACCTGGAGATACGCCACACTGCGGGGTCAAAGGTGAGTAAAATCAGTCAAATTTGGAAATGTAAACATTTTAAGGAAAATGTTTAAATTTACTGTATGGTGTGAATAATAGAAAGTCATTTTCCTATATCCGTCCCGATGAGGAGATTTATTCAAATCAATTTAGTTAATAGGAAGGAGTTCATAGTATAAAACTTTTTTTTTTAATTCGAACATACGAGGCTGAATCAAAAAAATAATGCAATTTTATTATATTCTACCTTAAAAGCCTCGCTTCATGCGGACTTTTCAGCTTGCTTCTGTTAATTGGGATTCAGGTCCAAACCTAAAGGGATCACTGAGTCCAGTTTAGAAAACAGCAATGTTTAATTTTTCCTAATTTTCTAGGAATAACTTTGAATCCCTGAATTCACTTAATGGAACTTCAAAACCTGACTTTAACCGTGATTCGGGCGAAAGTTCGATTCCAGCCAAAAGACCGACTTGGACCGAATTTCCAATTCAGGCCGAAAATTGATTTCGTCAAATTACAAACTCTGCGGAACTTCAAAAGAAAAAAAAAAAAACAACTCTCACTTTAACGCTGATTTCTTGGCATTTTGAAGAAATAAAATTGATTTCCTTAATTGAAAAAGTTTGGGATATATTTTAAATTGAATTTAAAACAAAACAATTTTTTAAATTCACAGAGATTTGTATTACTATAAACTCATTAACAATTAAAAACTTTTAAAATCACTAATTTTTTTTCAGTTATTTTAAAATTTGAATTTTTAACTCTTCCCTCCTCATCCGGATCTGGATATTCAAGCACCAGATGAAGGGTAGATTTTACAAAGGGTTTTACTCTTTATTCTACATTCAACACCATCACTTAATAAGACACCAGAAGTGTTGAAACAAAATGGCTATTTTTGCAGTGATTTTATAACATATTTATGTTATAATTTTTAAATGAATAATATTTGTTCTACTCTGTATTGAGTACCCTTTTAAGATTAAGTTATTATTTATTTTCTACAACAAAACAATATATATATATATATATTATATATATATATATATATGTATATAAATAAAAAAAGAACTGTTAAGATATAAAATCCGGTGTTCTTATAGATATTTTATTTTTACAAAATAGTGCTCAATAAATATATAGCATTAATATTATATTAATTGATTTAAAAATATGGTTATATAGTTAGAATGTTTTTAAAAATAGAATAAAACCCTAATTTTATTTTGCAAATAAAATTAAAAGCATTAGTTCTATTTCATCTTCAAGCGAATTTTGATAACTTTTAAAACATGTGGGGTTTCCATGGTTTCAGAATATTCTACTCAAATTGAACACGGGGTGTCTAGATTTTCCAAAACAGTATCATTGTATCAGTTAAAAATTTTGGAAAGGATGTATTTTACACTGAAACCTGACGTCGGTTGAATGGATGTCGTCTGAATTTAAAAAAAAAAAAAAAAAAAAAAAAATTGTTAACGGTAAAAAATTTTCAACGTCATCTTTTAAAAATAAAGATTTTTTTCCAATACTTTTATTTAACTACGATTTGAAATATTTTCCTTTTTAATTTTATTTTACTATATTCTTTTTAAGAACAGTTAAATGTATTAGAATCCATTATATTATGTAGGATTATTTTAACATTAAGTTTATATGTATATAGGTTATTTTTTTTTTTTTTTTTTTTTTTTTTATATCTTATGAGCAGAAATGGAGCCTTAATTTCAAACTGATTCAGTAAACTTTTTTTTTATATATAAACCTATATTATAATATTTCACATGTAAGTACTGAGGACAGGGTCGCATCTTTAGTTAGTATTTCATATTAATTTTATTTTACTATAGAACAGATTAGGACATAAATTCCTCACATTTAGTCAAGCATTTCCCTAGTGAAAATAAACTAAGTACTATTTTCAATAAAAAAACACACTAAAATTAAGTTATAGCTGTACAAAGAACTTAGAAAAAAATCATTAAGAACCATAATGCTAATATCTTAAATAAACACTTATACCAAAAAAAAAAATTTAGACAATAGAAAAATTAAGATAAAAACTGATGAAAATAAACAAAAATTATGTAATTGTATAAACCCTCAAAATTGCCCACTACAAAATAAATGTTGCACTGAATCATTAGTATACCAATGCAATATCTCTTCGATTGAAAATCCTGATAACATAAAAATATATATAGGTTGCACTATATGAATTCAAAAAAAAAGATTGTCAACATCAAACTTCATTTAGAATAAATAAATATAAAAATCAAACATCTCTCTCAAAATATTTCTGGCATATAAAAGAATCAAATAAAACACCTACAGTAAAATGGAAGTTAATAAGAAGAGCTAGAATTTGTAGATATTATGTCCTCTATGTATACAAGAAAATATATATATTACTAAGTTTATAAAAAAATAAAATTTACTGAATCAGAGAAATGAAATAGCTATTATATGCCGTCATTATCAAAAATTTTCCTTAAATAATATATAAAAAAAAAAAAAAAAAAAAAAAAAAAAAAAGTCTATTGGAATGGCAGGAAAAATGTTTTTAAACTTTTATTTAAAATTGTGGTTAAAACGTATTAAAACATAAACACCGTTTAAAAATTGTAGTTAAATAAAATGTATCCTAATCCCAAACACCTCTATAATAAATGTACTACAAACACTTGAATGAATCCGATAAAACACCTCCTGAAAAATGAAATTATAACTAAAGCTAGATGATGTAAGGTAATGTATGACCCATTGTTCTTTGTACATACATATGAAACTTTATTACTCAGGTTACATATATTTAAAATAAATAATTTAATTAATTAATACATAAAGTTTACTAAATCTGAGAAATGACTTAGATAGTTTTGTAGTCTGTGCCATTTATATTACTTAAATATTTAAATATAATAGTTTAAAAATTGTAATTTACATATACTTTGTTATGGAAAATAATTATACTTACTATGAAATTATCCTTCTGTTATAAAGTAATATAGTCAATTAAAACTAACCATGAAAATATTTTAAAATTTTAATGTGGTAATTTTAAAATTGTAATTAAAATTGTAGTTAAATAAAATGAATTTAACCTGTTCTTGGTACATACATATGAAACTTTACTACTTAGGTTACATATATTTAAAATAAATAAATAAATTAAGTAATAAATAAAGTTTACTAAATCTGAGAAATGACTTGCTAATTTTTAGTAAGTTCCATTAATATTACTAAAAAATAATATTTTAAAATATAAAGGTTTAAAATTGTAATTTACATATACTTGGATATTGAAAAATAATTTTACTTACTATGAGTAATATTCCTTCTGTTATAAAGTAATATAGTCTAATATAATAACAATGAAAATATTTCAAAAGTTTAAAGTTTGTAATTTTAAAATTGAAACTAAAATTAAAGTTAAATTGAATGAATTCTAACCTAAGTTTCTTTTAAATAATACTACACGCACTAAAAAGAATCCCAAAAAAGCAAATATAGTAAAATAAAATTAATATTTGTACTTACATGAGAAACATTATATCACTAGGTTTTATATATATATAAAAAAAAAAAAAAAAAAAAAAAAAAATGTAACCTCATATACATACTTAAACTTGAATTAATACATAAAGTTTACTAATTCTGAGAAATGACTTAGATATACGCCATTAATATTACTTAAATAATATCTAAATTAAAAGTTTAAAAATTGTAATTTAATATACCTATGAGTAATTATCCTTCTGTTATAAAGTAATATAGTCTAAATTAAAACTAACAATGAAAATATTTTAAAATTTTAAAGTTATAATTTTAAAATTTTAAAATTGAAATTAAAATTGTAGTAAAATAAAATGAATTCTAACATGTTATTTATACATACATATGAAACTTTATTAATTAGGTTACATATATTTGAAATAAATAAATTAATTAATTAATAAATAAATAAAGTTTACTAAATCTGAGAAATGACTTAGCTAGTTTTTAGTAAGTGCCATTAATATTACTTAAATAATATTTAAATTTAAAGAAGAAAAGGAAAAAAAAAAAAAAAAAAAAAAAAATTTACATATACTTTGATATGGAAAAATAATCTTACTTAATATGAGTAATTTTCCTTCTGTTATAAAGTAATATAGTCTATTAAAACTAAACAATGAAAATATTTTAAAATTTTAAAGTTGTAATTTTGAATTTGTAATTAAAATTATAGTTAAATTGAATGAATTCTAACCTAAATTTCTTTTAAATAATACTACACGCATTAAAAAAGAATCCAAAAATAACACCTATAGTAAAATAAAATTAATATGAAATACCATAACATGTAGCTTTTGAATGACCCATGTCCTCAGTACTTACATGTGAAATATTATAATAATAGGTTTATATATAAAAAGAAAAGTTTACTGAATCAGTGAAATTAAGTAACCATTTCTGCTGTCATAGTCATATACAAAAAAAAAAAAAAAAAAAAAAAAATGTAACCTCATATACATACTTAAACTTAATGTTAAAATAATCCTACATAATATAATGGATTCTAATACATTTAACTGTTCTTAAAAAGAATATAGTAAAATAAAAAATTAAAAGGAAAATATTTCAAATCGTAGTTAAATAAAAGTATTGTAAAAAAAATCTTTAATTTTAAAAAGATGACGTTGAAAATTTTTTACCGTTAACAATTTTTTTTTTTTTTTTTTTTTTTTTTTTTTAAATTCAGACGACATCCATTCAACCGACGTCAGGTTTTAAAATACATCCCTCCCCTTACCAAAATGTAGCTAATAACTGATACAATGATACTGTCATAAGGAAAAATCTAGACACCCCGTGTTCAATTTGAGTAGAATATTCTGTAACCATGGAAACGTGATTTTAGCTGTGTATTTAAAACCCGGTAAATTTTAAAAGTTACTCCAAAATTCGCTTGAAGATGAAATAGAACTAATGCTTTTAATTTATTTGCAAAAAATAAAATTAGGGGTTTTAGCTTCTATTTTTGAAACATGGTTGGAACTGTGTAGCGAAAATAACCATATTTTAAATCAATTAATTTATAATATATATATATATATATATATATAATAAAATAAAAGACAGACCACGTTAAGATTCCATGTAATAAGCTATTTCACCATTTTAACAGGGTTTGGATCATCAGACTTTAATTCCAAAAAAAAGCTGAAATGAAAATGAAAGGAAATTCACACGTTTTTGACGGACCTCATCAAGTATACGTAAATATATAACGTCTATATATATATATATATATATATATATATATATATAGAGAGAGAGAGAGAGAAAAATATATATATATATATATATATATATATATATAGAGAAGAGAGAGACAGAGAGAGAGAGTGTATTTGTGTGTATACTTTTTTCACACGCTTCTGCGGTTGTGTTTACAAGAAAATAAACCTAATCATATATATATATATATATATATATATATATATATATATATATATATATATAAAATATGTCTTAAATATAAATATATAAATATATATATATAAATGTGTATGTATATAAAATATATATATATATATATATATATATATATGGTTTTTATATATATTATTTATATATTATATATGCGAGGTACTTACTGAAAAGCGCTCAATATCAGAAATAGAGTTTAACATATCTAGTTGCATTGATGCGAGTTTGTGACCCTGGGTTTCACGCTCTTTGCGATCGTCAGATAAATTGATTAATTTTAAAATTTTGGATTTACTTATGGGTTCGTATATCGGTGTTTTTTGGTAGTGGGAGGAAGAATTGTTGACAGAACGCTCAGTCCCACACTGCTCATATATGTTTATGTCTGTGTTAGCTGCAATGCGTGAACATGCGTGTATGCATGCCTGTGTATGTATGAGTGGCGTTCCGACGACAATTTTTCCTCCCACTATCATCAAACACCGATATACGCAACCATAAATAAATCCCAAATTTCAAAATTAATCAGTTTGTCTGACGAACGCAAAGGGTGTGAAACCCAGAGTCACAAACTCACATCAACGCAATTATATATATATATATATATATATATATATATATATATATATATATATATATATAGTTAGTTAAAACTTTAGCCACACAAATATTTGTTTCATTTAATGGATCGTCAGGGGAGCCAGCCTTCCTGACGATCCGCTACTTTATTGAGCACTTTATTTAGTTATTTTGCTTACTCGTATCGTTTTTTTTACTTTTGGCCTTGAACTTGCACATGTGGAAATTCTTTTCTTGGTTCTTTTTTTTTTTTATAATTTTTTTTCCTTTGGTATTGTTTTGATTATTTGCAAATCAAGACACTGAAGGTTTTCGAACGAGTATAATTTCTTATACTTATAAGATTCCTACTAATATATATATATATATATATATATTTAAAAAAATTATAAATATGTTATAAAATCATACAAAAATATATTTTGTTTCAAGACGGTGTCTTATCAAGTGATGATGCTGAATGTAAAATAAATGGCTTTAAAATTTCAAATTAACGATCCTTCGCAAGGGGAAAAACATTGTTAAAAAGCTAGAATGACCAATTAAAATACAAGTATAAGAAAAAAGCTTTTATGTTTATATTATTTTTTTTTTTAAATGCTCTGTTTTTAAAACAAAATTTACTTAAATATTTCTTTCAAAAGAATATATATATATATACACAATTGTATATTCTGTTTATACGTTATTTTATATCAAATATATTATATATATATATATATATATATATATATATATATATATATATAGAGATAGAGAGAGAGAGAGAGAGAGAGAGCCTCGGTGAGCAAGGTCGATTTTACTGTTTTTAAACATAATTCTCCATGTATTTTCTCTCATTCATTCATAGCTGCTCAATGCATATACAAATGTAAACAAATGTAGCCCAATCGGTTAAGGCTCGTCATGCTATATGATGGTTCCGTATAGGGTTCAGGTTCGATTCCTGTCGGAGGACGAATATTTTCTATGAAAATTTCTCGGACATTCAGGCCGGTAAATGTTGTTAATACTGATTATTATAAACAGAGCATTTACTTAAATATTTGTATCCATAAAAAGAATGTATGAACATAAAAAAAAATGTCTTAAATAATTGTCGGACGTTGTCCATTTCATAATATATATATATATACACACATGTGTGTGTGTGTTTTCTCTATTGCTACCTTCATGGTTTGTCATTCAAGGTTTCAAACTACCACTTAAGACTAGAGAGAGCCTTGTATATACTTCTGTTTTGCTCATAGTTTGAATGGGGAGACAAGAAAGAAATCCACTACACCATAATTAGGACGGTTAATGGCGATTAATTTCACTAGTTTAATGATCTCTTTGTTCATTTCTGTTACAGATAACGTATCGAATAAAAATGGCGCCTGGCATTCAAATGCACAGCAGTCAGGTCACGGGACTTTGAAAGAAAAATCCTATGAAGAAGGTCACGGTGGCCGGCGAAAGAAGCGGTCAGTCAGTCGTGAACAAAATGTGGAGACGTTGGTTGTGGCTGACCGTATGATGCTTAGTTACCACGGCCTACACGAGATTGAACCTTATATCCTGACCATTATGAATATTGTAAGTGTTGTCTGCACAGTGTAGTCAGTTGGCATTTAAACGTTACAAACATCATTGTTATTGTTGTTGTTGTTGTTTGTGAGCAGTGGGCAGCGACTAGGATTGAGGAATCGGAGAACCGAGTTCGAATTTTAGTCTAATCCATTGCATTCACTTACGTGCTAATACCTTTGGGAAAGGTATGAATCCTCTTCTTCTCTCCCCAGCTATGGATAAATAGCAGAACGGGTTCTATAGCCTTGGATATAGCGCATAAGAAAATGGCAACCTACTGCAGGAAAAAATATCTGCCTCGTCAGTCATGTATCGAAAGATACATGATCGCCTAAGCGTGTATCGCACATGGCACATAACTGACTGATGCTATGTTTTCTGCTTTGTATCCTGTACAACCGTGTCCAAACTATGGTCCTTAGGCCCTATAGGAGAATTGTCATTTAATTGATAGGACTTTTCTTAGTATATGGGATGTTCCTCGTAAGGCGATCTTCTGGGCAACTTGTATGTTTAAGTTACCTGAGACACTGTTAGTAAAATTGTCCATTCCTTTTTTCGCGAGTCAAAGAGCTCCGATTACTATTGGCGCAATGTAAGTCTTCATTCCACGCATTCTGTTAATCTCGATCTCCAGGTCCTTGTATTGGAGGTGTTTTGATTTCTTCTGTATACTCGTTTTCATCCGGGTCCCAAACAGTGACCTAATGCAGAAAAAGCATCATATTTTCAACTGCACACATGTGTAATGAAAAATAAAAACACATCAAAGCAAACACATTTTGCATAGATAAAGCTTTTCGTAGGATGTGAGCACCTGGTATTCCCAACCGGTCACCCTCTAGGTACTGACCAGGCTCGACGTTGCTTAACTTCGTTGTTCGTACTCGTATGGAACTCTTAAGAATTTTAAATTATAATATGATAGAAGAGGAGGCAAAAAATAATCGAGATTTATATCAATAAAGTTTACGACCGTATTAAAAATACTGACGAAAAATTCAAACCCTGTTTGAAAAAAAAAAAAAAGTACTAATCACTCGGTCACGTGACCATATCACAGCGTGGCCGACATGTTTGGAAGGTGACTTCTTTGTGTCATCAGCCTGGAGGAGGCGACCCTAGCGTGCGGTACTGTTGGAAAGTGCTTGAAAAACCATACCACGAGTTGACCCAAGCCTTGTGAATGAAACTTGGCAGGCTGAACTAGTAGAGAGCCGTCGTGTACTAGCACGAAATCGCAAGTCATTGTAACTGAGGATTTAAGCGTGCTGGCCTTGTTCAGACTGTTGATCACCCCAGATAATGCGCCCTTTCCCAGAAAATGTAACTAATGTCCGCTCAGCATCGTTGCAGTATAAACCACAGATAGGCTCTGTGGGTGTTGAACAAATAAAAATGTGCCTGAGTAGGCGTCTGCAATAGGGATTGGCTAGTTGTCCTAGTAGACAGGCACTGATGAAGAAAATAACATTCCGATAAAATATTTTTAAATATTATTAATTTTGATTAGGAGTTTTATGGCAGTGCATAATTTTTTCTTAATTGTTCTAAATTTAAATATATTTTTTAATGTTATGAGAACGTAGGCGATCATGGTCCTCCACAACTTCCTTTCGTTTATTATCTGTGAATTATCATTAATTCTTGGGAAAGATCGTTGAGTTTTACTGTTGCGTTCGTTACGGTTTAGAATTCAGAGTTTTATTTCTCTTAGACTGGTTACCAACCAAGGCTAGTCTACCCAATCTACTGTACTACTTATTCAAACCAATCATAGGATGGGGAAAGAAACAGATTAATGCTTTCCCCACGGGCATTTGTACGCAACAGTCAAGCTCGAAATTTGAACTCGGCCCACCGATTCCACTTCTCGCGTCGAAATTCGTTGTGACACCAACACTGAGCCGCATTTTCTTTCTTTCTTTCTTTCTTTCTTTCTTTCTTTCTTTCTTTCTTTCTGGCTTTCTTTCTTTCTTTCTTTCTTTCTTTTCATAAAATTTATATGAAATTTTCTTTCTTTCTTTTTTTCCTTCTTTCCCATTCTACAATTTATATAATATTTTTTTCTGTGTTTCTTTTTTTCGTCCTACAATTGATATGAAATTTTTTCTTTCTTTTCTTTTTTCTTTTCTTTTCTTTCTTTTTCTTTCTTTTTCTTTTTTTCCCATTCTACAATTTATATAATATTTTTTTTGTCTTTCTTTTCTTTTCTCGTCCTACAATTTATAAATTTTTTTCTTTCTTTTTTCTTTTTCTTTTTCTTTCTTTTCTTTTTTTTCTTTCTTTCTTTCTTTCTCATTCTACAATTTATATAATATTTCATTTTGTCTTTTTTTCTCGTCCTTTCTTTTTTTCTTTTCTTTCTTTCTTTCTTTCTTTCTTTCTCATCCTACAATTTATATAATATTTCATTTTTTCTTTTCTTTTCTTTCTCGTCCTACAATTTATATCAATTTTTTTCTTCTTTTTTTCTTTTTCTTTTTCTTTTCTTTCTTTCTTTTTTCTTTCTTTTCTTTCTTTTTTTTTTTTCATCCCAATTTATATTTCTTTTGTCTTTCTTATTTCTTTTTTTTTTTTGTCTTTTCTTTTTTCTCGTCCGACAATTTATATTAATTTCTTTCTTTCTTTCTTTCTTTCTTTCTTTCTTTCTCATCCTACAATTTATATAATATTTCTTTTTGTCTTTCTTTCTTTCTCGTCCTACAATTTATATCAATTTCTTTCTTTCTTTCTTTCTTTCTTTCTTTCTTTCTTTCTTTCTTTCTTTCTTTCTTTCTTTCTCATTACAATTTATATAATATTTCTTTCTTTCTTTTTTTTCTCGTCCTACAATTTCTATCAATTTTTTCTTTCTTTCTTTCTTTCTTTCTTTCTTTCTTTCTTTCTTTCTTTCTTTCTTTCTTTCTCATCCTACAATTTATATAATATTTCATTTTGTCTTTCTTTCTTTCTCGTCCTACAATTTATATCAATTTTTTCTTTCTTTCTTTCTTTTTCCTTTCTTTCTTTCTTTCTTTTTTCTTTCTTTTTCTCATTACAATTTATTTATTTTCATTTTTCTTTCTTTTTTCTTACAATTTATATCAATTTTTTTTTTCTTTCTTTCTTTCTTTCTTTTTCTTTTCTTTCTTTCTTTTTTTTTCTTTTACAATTTATATAATATTTCTTTTTGTCTTTCTTTTTTTTCGTCCGACAATTTATATTAATTTTCTTTCTTTCTTTTCTTTCTTTCTTTCTTTTTCTCATCCGACAATTTATATAATATTTCTTTTTCTTTCTTTCTTTCTCGTCCTACAATTTATATCAATTTTTTCTTTCTTTCTTTCTTTCTTTCTTTCTTTCTTTCTTTCTTTCTTTCTTTCTTTCTTTCTTTCTTTCTCATCCTACAATTTATATAATATTTCATCGTCCTACAATTTATATCAATTTTTTTTCTTTTCTTTCTTTTCTTTTTCTTTTTTTTTTCTTTTTTTTTCTTTCTCATCCTCAATTTATATAATATTTCCTAATTTTTTTCGTCCTACATCAATTTTTTCTTTCTTTCTTTCTTTCTTTTTTTCTTTCTTTCTTTCTTTTCAAAGATTTTTCTTTTTTTTTTTTCTTTCTCATCCTACAATTTATATAATATTTCTTTTGTCTTTCTTCTTTTTCCGACAATTTATATTAATTTCTTTTTTTTTTTATTTCTTTCTTTTTCTCATCCCACAATTTATATAATATTTTTTTTGTCTTTCTTTCTTTTCGTCCTACAATTTATATCAATTTCTTTCTTTTTTTTTCTTTCTTTCTTTCTTTTCTTTTTCTTTCTTTCTTTCTTTTTTTTTTTTCATCCTACAATTTATATAATATTTTTTTTTTTTTCTTTCTCGTCCTACAATTTCTATCAATTTTTTGTTTCTTTCTTTCTTTCTTTCTTTCTTTCTTTCTTTCTTTCTTTCTTTCTTTCCCACTATTTTAAAATAATTCACCGTTGTTGAGGTTGATAACGGTAGTTGGCATAATAAACGAAACCGATAAAACATCAAAAATGAAAATATATAAATCCACATCCGCCATTCTGTCCTGTAGCCAGTTATATGAACGAAATATGTAGGCGTGCCATTGTGATTGTCAACGACAAACCCTCCGCCATAACCACTTTAACGACTAAGTAGACAATAGTACTGCATATATTATATAAATTCTATAAATCTTATGAATATGTATAAATTTTATAGGTATATACTTTAAGTAAATTTAAAAAAATTTTCCACCTATATAATGTTACGTAGATTCTATAAAATATTATAAATATGCTAGTGTACCCGTATCGTCAAATCGAAGGCAAGTAGGAATACAATACATATTATATTATAAGTAATTTTCATTTAATCCAAGTATAATTTTGTAATTTAAAATGGTTCGTTATTAACGTTAATAATTGAACAATGTACAATTTATAAACACCCAAGGAAAGATATTCGTATATTATCCTCATAAATCTTACATATTTACATCCAAAATTATGTTTATTGCAAAAGTTCCTAAAGTATAATATTTTTTGTGTAAACTTTGGAAGGCCTGATTAATCTTTGACAGGCCGTAGTTTCAATCTGTAATTTCAGAGTCTGCTCATTTCTCGTTCTTCTAAGAGCAACGTATCATCAGATATTTTTTTAATTTTTTTGTCCCAACCCTCTTTTTTTAAATTTTAATTTTTAAAGTTTAAAATGAATTTCTAAAAATGAACAAAGCATTCATAAAGATATATGTGGCGTGTTATATATACGAACCCCTTTCGATAGCGACGTCAATACACGTCAACGGGACCAATTTAGCACGGCACCGGCTGGGTGTATGTGTATGTGTGTGTGTATGTGTTTGTGTGTGTGTGTGTTTGTGTGCGTGTGTGTTTGTGTGTGTGTGTTTGTGTTCGTGTGTGTGTGTTTGTTTTGTGTGTGTGTTTGTGTGCGTGTGTATTTGTGTGTGTGTGAGTGTGTGTGTTTGCGTGTGTGTGTTTTTGTGTGTGTTTGTTTGTGTGTGTGTGTTTGTGTGTGTGTACCCAGGTGTGTGTGTATTTGTGTTTGTGTGTGTGTTTGTGTGTGTGTACCCAGGTGTGTGTGTATTTGTGTTTGTGTGTGTTTGTGTGTGTGTGTTTGTGTGCGTGTGTGTTTGTGTGTTTGTGAGTGTGTGTGTTTGCGTGTGTGTGTGTTTGTGTGTGTGTGTGTGTTTGTGTGTGTGTACGCGGGTGTGTGTGTGTGTGGCGTGTTATGTATAGATTGTAAATTCTAAACGTAGGAGTTATTAATAATTCGATGATGGAAATTCTAAAAATTCGTTAAATCCTGTACGTATACACAAGTGTTTCTAAAGCCCATGGACCATTTTTTTCTTCAAAAAAATCAAATGGACTACTCCTTTTACTTTTAGGCTGTCCAATTTTCACACTCAATGAAAAGACAAAGTAGTCTATTTACACTTTAAAATTTATTTTAGTAAACAAGGACAAATACTGGATATCAAAATGAATTTTGAGGATGTCATTCAATCTTAGTCTGAAAGTTCATCTGCAATTGAGACCTAACTTATTTCTTTTTCTATTGAAAACATCCACACCAGCCAAAAATCCAGATTCTACCATGCATTTGGTAGGTTAAAGAAATGATGTAGGGAAAGAAATGGCTACAATTTTTTTTATGTTTACGAATCTCTGTGGACCACTAGAAATTCTATGTGGACCACTTAGACCACGTTGAAAATCATTGGTATAAATTGTGTCTATTTAGGCGGCAATTTTTTATTAATGCATGTTTCATTAAATAATATAGACAAGTTTTGTCTATTTATTTTAAGTAAATTCCTTTCATATTGTCTGATAAACTTAATAACATTATCATTGAAAGACGAAAGGAAATCACCATATTGATACATGTTTAAATCCAATCTACTCTTTCGGCTTACATAAGCCATTATCAAAGATGACAATTACATTTCAATATATCAAACAATACACGGACGAAACAATAATAATAGTCTGTAAATATAGATTATTAAGTATAACCTATAAATTGCATATATACCCGGATGAACTACGTTCCTTGGTTCCGCTAGATCTAACCTTTACGGCTAGGACCCGCCATGTCACTTAAATAGTAGCAAACCATTCACACTCCCTCCGTATTCCATCGGCGAGAAGAAGTAAGTTCTACTCGAACAGCTTCTTCCCATGAACCACTGTCCTATGGAACAGACTTCCTAGAGGATTTTCCCCCCGATCATTATAACCTTAACCTGTTCAAAGCCTAGAATTAACGCTTATCTTCCCCCTCCTATCCATATAAACTACACCTTAACGTAACCTTCTACTTCGAGTGGCCTTCCGAGTCTTATTCAGGGTAAACCTTACTGAAAAAAAAATACATACATACCTTCCTAACGTGTACAGTGTTACATACATTTTATAAATTGTAAGCCTAGGAGGTAGGATCAATAAATCTGTAGCCTAAATTCTAAAAATTCTTTAAGTATGCCTAAATTCTATATTTATATACTAGTAAGTATAATCTCTATATTTGCTACGTATATATTATTATGTAAATTCTATGCGTATACATTGTTACGTTGGAGGCAGGAACAATAATTCGATAACCAAAATTACAAAATTTCAATAAATTCTATATGCATATACTATTAAGTTTATTGTATAAATTTTATACATATATAGTATTACATAAATTCTATACAAATAAAGTATAGTATATATTTTATAAATTCTAAAAGGACAGGATTGGATCAATATGTCAGTAACAGAAAATTTATAAGCTGAATTTTGATCTGAACTTTCACTGTATAATGTTCTAGGCGATTAATGAAAGAATGCTTTGATAACGAATAAGATTATTGGGAAACATAAAGATTTGTTACATAATATAAATTATTAGGATACTAAGAATATAAACTTAAGTACATTTTATAAATTCTATAAATTTTATAAATACAGTGTTTTACGTAAAATTCATAATTTCTATAGATATATAGATTTTAATTTTATACACGTATAGCATTATGTTCATTCTATAAACTCAATATGCATTTCGGAATTCTATAAATTCAATTTGAGTATAGTGTTACGTATATTACATAAATTAAATAATTATATATTTATGTACATTCTATTAATTCAGAATTCAGATAGTATTACGTACATTCTACAAATTCAATAAGTATACAGTTTTACGTATATTCTATAAACCAAGAATATGGTGTTACGAATAATCATTACCTATAATCATATTCAGTATGGATATAATATTGTGTATATTCTATAAATTGAATATGAATATGAATTTTTTATAAATTCAGTATGCATATAGTGTTACGTATATTCCACCGATTAACTCTCCATATAGAGTTACATATTTATATTTTATCTTTTTGTCATTTTCTTCCATTTTTGTTTTTTTATTTTCTTCTGTATTTTTCCTTTATTTTTCTTTTACTTCCTCCTCCTCTTCTTCTTTTTCTTCTTCGTCTAATTTTCCCATATCCCCATCATACTTTTCTCTTCTTCTTCTTCAACTTATTCGTAATCATTATTTTGTTTCTGTGTTCTTCTGTGTTATTTTTTGTGTATTTTTCCTTCCTTTCTCTTTATCCCTATCTTCTTTCTCTTTTTCTTCTTTTTCCTTATTTCCTTCTTTCGATTTATTACCTTTTTTCTCTTTGTTTCTTCTTATTTCCTTTTATTTTTCTTCTATCTCTTTATTCTTTCTTTCTCTTTCTTTCCTTATTTCTATTTATTTATTTCTTTCTCTTTATTTTTTCCTTCTCTTTAGTCCCTTCTTTCTCTTTGTTTTCGTCTTTCTCTTTGTTTTCGTCTTTCTCTTTATTTGATTCTATCTTTTTTTCTTTGATTTTGTTTCTTTAATTTTAAAATCTCTTTCTTTTAATCTTTCCATTTCCTAAATTTCCTTCTTCTCTTCTTATTTCTTTCTTATCATTTCATTCTTTTTCAAATTTTTTACGAAATGTTTTTATTAGTTTTATATATTTTAAATAATTTCCTTATTTCGTCTCCTAATTTTCTTCCTGTTTTCTTCATATCTCTCGCTCATATTCCTTCCTTCCTTCTTTCTTTCCTTCCTTCCTTCCTTCCTTCCTTCCTTCCTTCCTTCCTTTATTTTCACTCGATCATTTTCATTTTATCGCCATTAATTTCGTTTATCATTCTTAGATTTTGTCTTTTTGCTTCTCTTTCTTTTTCTTATTTCTCTTAATTTGTCTTTCACTCTCAGTTCATTATTTTCCCATTTTCTTTCTTTTGCCCTTTTTATACAATTTATATGAAATTTCTTTCTTTCTTTCTTTCTTTCTTTCTTGTCTTACAATATATATTACATTTCTTCCTTTCTTTATTTCTTTCTTTCATTCTTTCATTTTTTCTTTCTTTTTGTCTTACAATAATTATTACATTTCTTTCTTTCTTTCTTTATTTCTTTATTTCTTTCTTTCTTTCTTTCTTTCTTTGCCTAAAAATGTATGTAAAATATTTTCTTTCTTTTTCGTCCTACAATTTGTAAGAAATTTCTTTCTTTCCTTCTTTCTTTTCCAACATTTTTATATAAAATATCTTTCTTGTCCTATAATTTATATGGGATTTCTTTCTTTCTTTCTTTCTTTCTTTCTTTCCCGTCTTACAATATATATTACATTTGTTTTTTTTTAATTCTTTCTTTCTTTCTTTCTTTCTTTCTTTCTTTCTTTCTTTCTTTCTTTGCCTAAAAATGTATGTAAAATATTTTTCTTTCTTTTTTTTCGTCCTACAATTTGTAAGAAATTTCTTTCTTTCCTTCTTTCTTTCTTTCCTTCTTTCTTTCTTTCCTTCTTTCTTGTCCTATAATTTATATGAAATTTCTTTCTTTCTTTCTTTCTTTCTTTCTTTCTTTCTTTCTTTCTTTCTTTTTTTTTCCTCACATTTTCCCCTTTGTCTTTTTTATCTCTTCCGTTCATCTATATATTTGATATGATACAGCCGACACCTGTATTTATTTTTAATGTCCGTGAAATTTTCAAACTCCAGATCAGGAGTAAACATTTGGCCGATAACAAAGTATTGTTCAGCTAGGAATATTTTTCTTTATATTTTGAGGTCAGGTGGCCAAACTGTACCATGATGTGAGCATTGGCAATGCAGTCAACATCATTGTTACCCGATTGGTTCTTCTTACTGATGAACAGGTAAGTTTCTCGCCAGTTTCTTTTGCCTCAATTGCATCCATGAAAAAACAACCCTATCAATAAAATGCAGATTCTAGTGCTTCCTTATATTCAAAGATGTTAGTTAATTTGTTCACAATTACAAGACTTATAAGATTTCGTAACGACTGAAATCTTGCTTTTCTGGAGGGTTATTATTGGGGAGTAACGAAATTATTAGCTTGATTTAGTTTGTTTTACGGCATATCAACACCTCAATGGGTTATTTAATGCCGACAAAATTTTTATTGCTGCTAAAATATTTTTTCAAACATGTATTGCTAGTAATATTTTTCCCTCAAAAAATCTATTTCTGATAAGAGTCTTTTTTTTTAAAAAGTATTGCTGGTAAAAACTTTTTTTGCCTAAAATGTATTGCTGATAATAATGTATTGGTGGTAATAATTTTTTTTTTACAAAGTATTTCTGGTATTAAAACCTATTGTTACACTTTCATAATGTTTTGACCCCAATTTGGGGGATAACTATTTGCCCATAGCTTAGACCCTAACAGGTGCTACCAACCCGGGTCAAGGTGGACCTGGGAACACCAGCAATTAAGAGGTGGTTACACGCTCTTCAAAACCTCCTGATCAGAGGCCTTGCTGTTGGATGTAGCTTATCGTCTTACCCAGAACGCGGATGTAGTTTATTGTCTTACCCAGTACGGACGAAATTAATAGATTGAGTCAAGTTTTTTCGTTTTTAGGAACCAGCTGTATGTGACGGATTTATCATCCTAATTACAAACCATACAAGTCATAACTTCATGAGTTTAAGAGTAATGCTTGGTTGGCAGTTAGGTCTTTAGCATTGCTAAGTGCAACCGTAAGTTCTATTTTCTTCTTTTGATTTTCTGACCCGTGGAATTTTTTCCAGTTTCATTTTCTCTTGCCAAATTCTTCTTCAGCAATACATTCTTGAAAAAAAAATATTACCAGCAATAAAAATCTTTTCGGCATTAAATATCCCATTGAGGTTGATATGACGTAAAACAAAATAAACTAAACCAGTCTAAACCAAAGAATACATATTCTATTCATACGAATCTATCCTAAAAATCTTGTCGGCATTAAATAATCCATTGAGGTTTATATGACGTAAAACAAACCAAACCAAATCAATATAAACTATATAGATAGATAGATAGGAACAGATTGAAAGGAAGAGATTTAGATAGATAGATAGATAGATATAAATAGAAAAAAGGAAAAGATTCAGATAGATAGATAGATATAAATAGATTGAAAGGAAAAAGATAGATAGATAGATAGATAGATAGATAGATAGATAGGTAGAAACCGAATGTGAAAGAAAGATATAGATAGATAGATATGAATAGACTGAAAGGAAAATATTCAGATAGATAGATAGATAGATAGATATAAACAGATTGAAAGGAAGAGTTTTAGATAGATAGATAGATAGATAGGAAATATTACCAGCAATAAAAATCTTTTCGGCATTAAATAACCCATTGAGGTTGATATGCCGTAAAACAAACCAGACCAAACCATCGTTTGGTTTGACCTACCCCACCCACTATATTAAACTGAGCCTACATTAACCGATTATTACCCTTTACGATTGCTAAAAAAAGTTTCGATGGGGAAAACCTTAGGAAGGGTTGCCTGATTAACGACCACAGGTCATTGCAAATAATCATATATAAATTCTTACTTTATTTTTTTAAAGAATACAATTGATAAGCAAAAAACAAAAATTATTTATGACTCAGCCTAATACTTTCACTATCGAGTATTACCGCAGTATTTTTTTTTCTAATTTTTTCACACTGAAGATCTTGACGTGCACGTTCATCTTTTCACTGCTAACGTATAATTTCAGTACATTACCTTGCTATTTTTATGCTGTATATAGAAATCCGCAGGAACTTTCCAAACAACAAACTCTTTACATTTTCAAGGCACACTTTAGAACGATCTGGATGCAATATATTTCTGGTTAATGAATTAGCTTTTGAGATTTAAGCTTAGAAAATGTGCTGTCATTTAATTAGGCCAGTTGTTCCTAAACGGCGCACCTCATAGGTACGATGGAAGAGGATAACAGATGAGAATGGATGATTGAAAGACAGTAAAAGATTCAGAAAAAAATTAATTTGCATTATATCAAGTATTAAGAATATAGTAACTAGGTTCCGCAAATTGGAGGAGAGAGTTATCAATGATAATGTTCTGATTTCAAATCCACAATTATCTCCCTTTGACCCTATCTCTGTTTTTTTTTTTTATATTTTTATTTTTAAATGTACATTTTATCACAAAGTTTAGTAAGGCGCCAGCAAATTTTAATTCTGAAAATGCAGCCCGGAGAAAAATTTGGGAACCACTCATCTAGGTAGTTAATATCCGAAACTTAAACTCACTCTTGGGGAATATATCATACGTGACACTATAAAAAAAAAAAAGACTTGGGGGGGGGATAATTCTGAGCTATGATCTAAAGTTTACAAGTCACAACAGCTGTATTCAAAATAAAACCCCACCGCAAACTGTATTGCAAAGAACCTTTTCCACAGAAAATAAAGAAAGCTTTAAATGTGGTTCTACAGAAGGATACTGAGAATACCATGAACCAAATACGTGATCAACGACAATGAAAACAAAAATGATACGTATAATCAGAAAGAGACAGTTGAAATTTCTAGCGCACATAATGAAGAAAGAAGGCTTGGTAAATCTGACACTCACAGAACATATTGAAGGCAAGAGAGATAGAGAAAAACAACGCATAAAATACCTGACGAGCTTGAGTAGATGGATTGCGGAGAAGGGTTTGGGTGGGGATGGCGAAAAAACAGCATTTATTAAGAGCTACAAACGACAGGAAGTTGTGGGGAGCCATTATCACCAATGTCCTAAAGGGACACGGCACATAGAAGAAGTGCTTCTATTTTACTTGTGGTCACCTTACACTCAGCATGATATAGAGCAGTTAGAAAAATTGCGCAAACGCTTTACCAGAAATGATTGCTGACATTAAAATAAAATATACCTTACTTCTACGGACTTGAAAGTGTTTGCATTTTCTCACTTGAAACAACATTTAAACATGAGTTAATACAGATATTTAGAATAGCAAATTCAATTGATGACGAAGATTTCGAGAAATATTTTTAGCCCAAATACATCAACCAGAGGACCTTCATTAAAATAAATTTTTATGAAATCTATCTACTAGAGAGTGGGATCTCTTTTAGCTCATGACGTTATTAAAATGGAGACACACAATTCCAAACAGTATAAATTCCGAGTAATTAAAAAAAGTGAAAATCAGTGAATTATAGTAAATGTGTATGAATAATCCCACCTGAATGCGTGTATTTATTCTATTATTTTTCGCAGTAGAGCTCGAGACAATTGTTTAGATCTCGTAGTACTTGTCTAGATCTCGTGAAAATTGTCTCGATCTCGTAGCAATTGTTTAGATCTCGTGGTAATTGTTTAAATCTTGTGGCAATTGTTTAGATCTCGTGGCAATGGTGTAGACATCGTGGCAATTGTCTAGATCTCGTGACAATTGTTCAGATCTCGTGACAACGGTCTAGATCTCGCTGCATCTGTCTTGATCTGGGAGCAAACGTATAGATCTCGTGGTAATTGTTTAAATCTTGTGGCAATTGTCTAGATCTCATGGCTCTTGTCTAGATCTCGCGGAAATAGTCTAAATCTCATAGCAATTATTTAGATATCATTGCATTTGCCTAGATCTCGTGGTAGTTCTAACTCGTTTAAGAATTTTCAAGTGCTGTTGGCTGTTTTTTTTTTGTCTGTTTTAATGCATAATATCCGACAACAAGAGATAAGTTACCACTTTCAAAATACTTGAACCAATTTTTGGTAGTTCGTTTGCATAGTTTTATTTTATTCTAATTCATGAGTTCTGCAAGCAGTTTCAGCAATTTCAAGTTACAATTCAAAATAAAACATTAAAATAGAATCTAAATACTTGTCGCGACAATTATGAATTCTAAAACAAAACAAACTATAAATGTAGTGATATTACACCAAGTATGGTTTTATTCACTCCACACTAATAGCCTTGAAAAAGATATGGATGCTTCTTCCTCTAGCTATGGGTTAAATATTAATGAAGATTGAGATAACTTACCTTGAAATGGCAACCAATCTAGGAGAAGGAAAATACTAAATTGAAGACCACCCCAAAAATATGGGTTCCATCTCTTTTTAAACACATCTCTGCGGCTATGGCTAAAGTACAAGTGGTGGCTTTACACTCTTAATGGGCTACAAGTCTCGAACAGATCGCTAATTATCACATTCACGACCATAGATTTGCCTACCAGAGGCCTGATCTGAAGTAGTTTTCATCTCTGCTGATCAGCGGGAGTAAAGGGGTAGCATTATTGCAGGCGAAAGGGTTGTTTTTGTAAGTTTGAAGGCGGCTTAGGAGTCACAACTTGATGTTTAAGAATAAATACCCTCAAAGAATAAATACCCTTAAGAATAAATACCCTCAAAGAATAAATACCCTTAAGTATAAATACCCTCAAACAGAAACCGTCCGAGCGGACTGGAATACTCGACCTGGAAATTTTTGCATCTGGGTCCTACCTGCGCTGATTTTATCAAAACATGCTACCATATGTATTTTTGGCTGTGATATATTTTGGTCTGGTATACTCTTATCAGACTGGGTGTCATGATGAGTATATTGGGCTTCGAATATTTGTACCCTAGCATCTCTTTGAATAATAATAATAATCTGGAAATCGAAATAGAAAAATATGGAGATCGAAAACCATTCATAGTAGGTGCGCTTGGAATGATAAAAAAGGAACGCAACAACACGTTGAAAAAATCCCCAGAAAGAGAAATACAAAAAAATGTTTTGATAAGTACAGCCCACACACTAAGAAAAATTTCGTCCATGTAACGCTAGTGATGTTATGGGATTTGGAAAAACAAACCATGAAATATAGCCATAACAACACACCACTACCTGCCTTAAGTCTTCCCGAAGACTTGGTAGATAGGTTGACCGTATTAGAAATCAAAATATAATGATATTATTATTATTATTATTATTATTATTATAGATAAAGGCACCAAGAACTATCAAATTATTGATGTTGCCATAAAAAATTTCACAAATATAGCAAACAAGGTAATTAAGAAAAACTACACTGATTTGGAAGTTGAGACAGCAAGATTATTTGGAATACAGGAAGGAAACGTCAAAGCGATTTCAGTGGTGATTGGCGCATTTGGACCCATTTCATTAAAACTATATGATCTCCTAGACCAGCTAGGCATACCTTATCAACCCAGAGTCTTCCCCAAATCGGCTTTATTGGGCACTGCGTATATTTTGAGGAAAGTTTTGTCTGTCTGAGGTCCTTGTTATTTGATAGATATCTTAATGTACCCGGTGCATTTCAAAATCTTACACGGTGTGAGAAAACATATAATAATAAAACTAATATCATGAAGTCGTAGATTAGCCTTGAGATGAAATCAGCTTTGGAGTAAATGTTTGCAAAAGAAGGAAAATACTTTTGATACAACCTAATAGTTATTATCGTGTCAGAAATTTTATCACACTTTCAAAAGATTTAATAAAGGATTGTGGATTCATTGGGATAAAGAATTAAGCCCCAATGAAGCTGGAAAGCGATAGAGCATTCTGAAAAAGAAAATTCCCTTCATATTTCATTGGTGAGATATAAGTTCCACTCGAGTAGCTTCTTCCCACGAACCGCCGCTTTGAAGAACCGACTCCCAAGAGGATGCTTCCCCAATCACTACAATCATCTGTTTCTTTCCCACATATTTCAGTAGACTGCCTCTTACTCTGTAGCCGTCTACCTTAAGTGGCTCTTGGGCCTTGTACACAGTGAACATTATTATAAAAATATTATTTTGAATAGTTTTTATTGATTGATTGACTTCTTTTTACGGCTTATCAACCTTTTGCATGTTATTTAAAGCCAGAAAATATTTTTAGATTGTAAGACCTTTTCCAAGATAATAATGATTTACTGATAAAAATAATACTAATTAATCCATAGTTGTGGGGTAGGAAGAGAAGTTGATTTATATCTTTGCCAACGGCATTTGCGCACAAGTGAATATAACAAACCCAACTGGAATTCGAACTCCGGACCCCAGAATTCTAATCACTAGTCGTTATTTTATTTTTTTAAAATAGAAATAAAATTCAATAAGTACATCTGTAGTTCTGTTCAGTTACGTCTGAATATATTCACATGAAAAATTTATACAAATATAAAACATCAACAACAACAGGAGATAAATAACGGATTTTCCGGCACTCGTTACCTCTTTTAATCCGCAAATAAGTTACGAGAAAGTTGATACTGATCTAAGAAAAATTGAAAATAGATTTTTTTTTATCCTGTGACCTGTAGGGTCACAATAACAACGGTGTTTCTTAGGCAAGATAGCTTGACGGAACCCAACCCTCTCTAGGCCGGTTTTGAATTCAGAGTTTTTCCTTCTCCTAGACTGGTTGAAACCCAAAGTTATAGAACCCAGTCTGTCCTGTTATTTACCCTTAGCTGGGGGAGAAGAAGGGTATAAGCCCGTAACTCGGCTCTCCTATTTCCTCAACACGAGCCGCTATCCATTACTCCACCGTGCCTCAAGTGTATATTGCATGTTAAGTAGGGAAAGAGGTAGCCATAAGCCCTTGTGCGATGAACAAGGAACACTGGAGAGTTAGAGGTCTGAAAGAAACAGCGCGCATATGCGAGGCTATGAACATATTTGCTACATTATCTTTAATTCCATACAACCTACTTTCCCACATATCCGCACATATCGAAATACCTCATTTTATCACATATCGGAATACCTCACTTTCTCACATATCCGCCCAATACGAACCTACTCACATTCTCACATATCCGCACATATGGAAATACCTCACTTTCTCACTTTTCCGAGTATATCAAGCCTCCTCACATTTTCACATATCTGCACATATCAAAATACCTCACTTTCTCACATATCCGCACATATCGACCTTCCTCACATATCCTCAGATATCGGATTACCTCACTTTCTCACATCCGCGCATATCAAACCTCCTTACATTCTCACATATCCGCACATATCTAACTTCTTAACATTCTCATACATCCGCACATATCAGAATACCTCACTTTCTTACTCATCCGCGCATATCAAACATCCTCAATTTCTCACATATCCACACATATCGAAATACCTCACTTTCTCACTTATCTGCACATATCCAAACATTTTCCATATATCAAATTTCACTATCTTACATATTGAAATCCACACATATCCGCAAATCAAAATACCTCTACTCACATATCCGCACATATATCACTTTGCACATATCCAATCGATCTTCCTCATTTTTCTCACATATCCGTACAAACCGAATACCTCACTTTCTTACATATTGCACAATCCAACCTCCACATTCTCCATATATCAAATCACTTTCACATATTGAAAATCACACCATAATCACTTCGAAATACCCCTTACATATCTGCACGTACTTAAAAAGTTTAAGGGGATGATAAAATTTTAAGATCAAATAAAGAAAAGAATAAATTCTTACTTTCGAGAATGGATGATTTTTAATCAATTATTTTATTTAGAAATATTTATTATTATTGTTAAAAAATCGATTATTTATGACTTATTTTGACCAGTCATCTTTGAACATTTTCTTCTCTTTTTTTCCCTCCGTTTTCTATTGGATCAAAGCCAAATTTGGTTATCAACCATCATGCCGACCGTTCTCTTGGCAGTTTCTGTCGTTGGCAAAAGATGATCAATTCGCCAATAGCTTACAATTCCAGTGATGAAACCATTGGAATTGCTCATCATGACAACGCCGTTCTTATGACCAGGTAAGTCAGGAACAGAATTCTTCAGCACACACACACACACACACACACATATATATATATATATATTGATATTTGTCTTCTAGCATGTTCTTTTTTTTTTTACTAAAGAAAAGATACAAATAGGAGAATGTATGAAAAATATATTGTTCAGTTATAAATATTTTCCGTTTTAATTTATGAACATTGTTCTTTAAAAAAAATAAAGTACAATTACATTTTATTAATATTTACATTCAGACTATTGTCCTCAACTCTGTTTTTATTACAACATTTCAACCGGTGAGCCCCGCGGCCTTCATCAGGTGTATATGGATCCCGTAGGACAATTCTCTGTGAATAATTTGGAGACTTATACCTAACCTGCCTAACCTCATAACTCCTTATCACAGAAATTCAGACAGAAATGACATTTTATTCAATCATATATTCACTTATAATCTAAGACATTCTGGTCTATAAATATGCCATTTGTCTGTGTGGTCAAATGTACTCACTCACACGGATTCCAAGGGATTACCTCACCTATCCAATCATGCATATTCTTGTATTCTTTCTGGGTTAATTTACTACATTATTTCTAATTCCACACGATCTATATATTACTATATATTATTCTCTGACTGAGCGTTTATACCAGTAGTAACTTAGTGAACATTATTTGTAAATAGAAATGTTTGGAACGCACTGACGCGGGTTGAAATCCTCACAGTATTTAATATTGTTGAATTTATCGCTAACAATTTTTGTCGAGATTTACAAACTCTACGTTTCGTTCCATTTCACGAACAAATCATGAAATTTGAACAAGCTGTTTTGTTTAAAAAAAACCTTTGACAAAACCCCTGTTTCTTGGTTTAATAATTTCTTGAATTTAATTTAATTTTATAGGAATTCATGGTAAACAATCTTTTTTAAGAAAAAATTATTTTTTTTACTTTTTAACACCGAAGAAGTAATTTATTCTTGAGCATGCAGCATTCTGAAGTCGCAGAATTATATATAGAATATATATATATATATATATATATATATATATATATATATATATATATATGACTTATTGCAACTTATCAAGCGGCTTTTCAATATCCTTTTAGCATATATATATATATATATATATGACTTATTGCAACTTATCAAGCGGCTTTTCAATATCCTTTTAGCAAAATTCCGCAGGTTTCAATGTCAACAATCTTTTGAAGAATTCTAGAATCTGGTTTTCATTAGAGAAATATTTAGTCATCAAAGCGTTTTGCAGCGATCAAAAATGGTAATAATTAGTTGATGCAAGGTCAGCTGAATATGGCGTATGGGGCAGAACAGACTAACCAAGTTCTAAACTCTTTTTCTGTGTTATTCTTTCGTTTTGATGGAGAAGAACAACATTTAATCCACTGTGTACGCTGCGTCTGTCGTCTGGTATTTCAGTGTCCTCCCAAATTATTCTTAACTTCCACATGATTAGTAGTAAGGATGGTACATTCGTCATTACAATCGGTTCGCCAAAACAGAAGTTACCCATGACTCAACCTATTTTAGTCTTTTAATACTGCTTTAGTCATCTTGGATTTTCGAAAATGGATAGTTATCTGGGGTGCTTATATACCCCAATACAAAAATGCTTATAGTGTTACAGTTATGTAAAATATTGTCGTACTGCTGAAAAAATAACATAACAAGCAATCTCCATTACAATATACATTAAATCAAAAAGAGGTAGTTGTACCTGTTAGGGTCCTAGCTATGGGTAAATATGGATCTAACTAACCTCAAGGACACATGGCACAGTGGATAAAGAAGTTAGTTAGATCCAGTTGCAGGACCCAAAGAGTGTGAGTTCAATACCCGGTTAAGGTAGTAGAGAACTTGGAGAGGAAAATTAACAGGAGATATCTGATAACTGACTTCCATTAAACATGGCACGTGGAACTAGAACAGTCTACCTCAGTGAGTGAAATAAAGGGTTCAGTTCGACATTCCAACCACATGAAGAATGCCGGAGCGTACAACGGCCGAAACGTTGTAATAAATATGGCGACAAAGATGAGGATAATAGTCCGAATAATGTAAAGGCCGGTGTACTTGTGTATGTATACGCGTAAATGTATATATATTTACGTCAATATGTATGTGGTGTGTATGAATATATGTATGAGGTATGTATGCATGCATATATATATATGTGTGTGTGTGTATATGTTTGTGCATATATAGAGATTAAGTGTAAAGGCGGTCATTTTTTTTATTATTACCTTCAAATCTTAATTTTGAAATAGTTTCAAAATAGATTTGAAGATTTAGACTTTAACTAAGAAATATTACTTCTTAAGCGTTATTCACAACATTAAAAATATTAATATTAGTAATTTTTTATTTTTTCATTTTTTTGTTTATTGATATTCATTAAATTCCTAGTTTATTTTGTGGAGAATTTAAACACTTAAATTACTATCAAATGTTAACCGAAAAATATAAAAAAAAATTTAAAAATATATAAATCTGTGTTTTTCCAGATTGGCCGCCATATGCCCACATACATTAATTCTCTTAATTTCTCTCTCTAAATTTATATTCCCCTTTCTTTCCTTCAAAACCCTGTTTCCATCTCTTATTTCTTAAATCTTTACTTCTCCCTTTTTTTCTCTCTCTCTCTATCGTTTCCGGAGAGTTGACTTATTAAATAAGTCAATGTCTGATCCTTACCGGCCATCCTCATTATTAAGTATTGTAATAAAAATAAATTTAAAAGCATTCCTATCTCTCCCTCCCCTCTCTAATTTAGCCCAATTTGTCACACTATCTCTCACCACTCACAAGATACCGCACGTTGGGATCGTACCCACTGCAGAGTGATGACATCAATCACCTTACTTCAACTTAATACTACCCCTCAAAAGTGTAGAAAATTATATGTAAATTTAAATTCATTTTTCCATCCTTGGAAGTGAGGTCTGATGAGCCAGAGAAAAGAAATTCCACTGGGGAAATAAATTATTACTATGGGCCCTTAAAGTTGTCTGTTTTCATTAAATTATATATATATATTATATTATATATATATATATATATATATATATATATATATATATATATAATGAAAATTACATTTGTTAGTCAGATGAGACGACAGGACACCTCGAAGAAGACAAAACGATGTCTACCTCCCACGACAACTGAACTACAATTGCGCCACTACGCGTGCTACACACCCTCACTGAGGTACGAAAGTAGTGATAGAGAGTAAAAGAAAAAAGTTCCCAACTGGCAATTACGAGTACTTAAAAAATTGTGGAGGGGGGGGAGTAGCAAAACACCCCATGTGGCTAACGCAGGTTTAATAAATTCAAGAGCTCCTGTATAGTTTTAAAGTTTATCTAATGCTCTAAATATTTCATAATTCGATGATCGTAACTCATCTGAAGGTTTTCCAGAGCTGATTGTCGGGTTCTTTCTTTGCAAAATATTCGAAAATTGATGGTTTTCTAATTCCTAATTTTATTTCAAGGGTCACGAAATTACACTTAAAACGCTAAAGCCAATTTTAGAATGTAGAGTCACATATTGTTTCATTTCTTTCCACTTCCTTCTGTCTCTAAGGGCCAGTTTAAAATAATGTCAGAATTTTGCCAGAAATTTAGCTGATAGTAATCCCCAGGAGTAGTGACTTGTCAGACTAACGTTTTCCACTGACATGTAGAGAAAAGATTAGACTGAATCAATTGCTAAGTCTACTCCTCGGGAAATTGGTTCCCTGTGCCGTGATTGGCAATTTTTCTCATCAGAATCTATTATACATATTTATAAGTCTACCATTCACTGAGTATTGTTGCCACATCTTGTCTGCTGCTTCTGCTATGTATTTAGAGATTCTTGACAAAATCCAAAGAAGAATCTGCAATGTTATCGGTCCTAACCTGGCATCTCCAGTTACATTCCTTCCGCCGTAACGTAGCTTCCCTGTGCATTTAAACATGGTAAGCGTTCTGAAGAGCATTCCTCTTTGATACCTCGAATTTAAGCGCAGTACTACTTTGGCGGCTAGATCTCGTCATTTTACAGTAGAAATGGTTCGATGTAACTGTATGTTCAGTGTTAACAGTTTATTCTCTCGCACTTTCTATTTGTGGAACCCTATTCCGGTCTCTTGCTTTCCAGTAACTTTGATCTTCAAAAACAAAATGTACACCTGAAGTGTGTCGATATGAAATGAGTAAATAAAACACCTGTAGTTTCCTTTCTGCGTCTGCTATCAACACTGTGTCATCTTGAATATTCCTTGTATATCGATTAAAATTTATGATGCGATAAGTATATTCGTTTTTTACTTCTTTTCCTTTCTTTTTTCTCTCTTTCTTTCACTCTTTCTTACCTCCGTTTTGTATTTTTTTCCCTTTTTGCCTGATTCTATCTATCCATGTATTTCAGTCTGTTTTTTCAGATCTATCTATCTATCTATCTATCTATCTATCTATCTATATATATATATATATATATATATATATATATATATATATATATATATATCAGTCTATTCCTGTATATCCATCTATCTCAGACTTCTCATTATCTATCCATCTATAAATTTCAGTCTGTTCATATCTATTTATTTCAAAATGTTCATTATCTATCTATCTATCTATCTATCTATCTATCTATCTATCTATCTATCTATCTCAGTCTGTTCATATCTATATATCTATTTCAGTCTGTTCATATCTATTTCAAAATGTTCATTTTCTATCTATCTATCTATCTATCTATCTATCTATCTATCTATCTATCTATCTATCTCAGTCTGTTCATATCTATATATCTATTTCAGTCTGTTCATATCTATTTCAAAATGTTCATTTTCTATCTATCTATCTATCTATCTATCTATCTATCTATCTATCTATCTATTTCAATATGTTAATTATCTATCTATCTATCTCAGTCTGTTCATATCTATATATCTCTTTCACTATGTTATGCTGTTAAAATTGTAGCCGCCAATAATGAATCCTGGTCGGAATTCTAATTCCCCCAGAATGGCGTCACTGCATAGACTGAATAAGTCCGGCGAGAGGACACATCCTTGTCTTACGCCCCTTTATATATTTGTATATTTACTGAAGTCATTTTTCATCTCCAACGCAGGCGGTTTGTACACAGTATAAGTTCTGTATTCACTATCTCGCCTCTTGATGAGCTGATACCACCTGCTTACACACACACACACATAAATGTCATCTTGTTAGAAATTATATGTTCTTATTTCTCTCTGCTAAAATATTCTTTTTTTTTTGTCTCAGGTATGACATTTGCACCTACAAGAACAAGCCCTGTGCAACATTAGGTAAGTAAAGCATCATAAACCCATACGTTTTGAAACAGGCATGATGCGTGTGTATCGGTAAAACAGTTGGTAATATTATGTCCTATTCATTCCGAACCAATCTGTTTTCTATATCACCAAGAAAATACTTATATGCAAAATCGCTTAAAGTGAGTTCGATCCTGTGTTGAATTCTCCAGAAATACTTTAGAATTTTTTTCAGTCTCGGAACATCTGTTGTTTCTCTTTTCCAATCAGGCATTCGAAACTAGGTTAGACCACTACCCTTATTCACGTCTTTGCGTAAATGAGACAAAATTTACGGTAAACTGTTTCCTCGGGTTCCCTCTCTTTAGCAGTACCTCCCCATTGCTCTAATTGGGTGGAGTCTTCCTTTGAAACAGAAAAAAATTACCTTCACTGAGGCTTGCTTCCTGAGGTTCCATATTCTTGTCAGTACCTCCCCATTGTGCTCAAAAGTGAGAATTTTTTGATGAAACAGACAAAATTTACAGAAGCCTGGTTCCTGGCGTTCCATCTCCTTGGTAGTACCCCCTAATTGCACTGAATGGATAGAATTTTCGAGTGAAATTGATAAGACTTTTAGAGGCTTTTTTTTCTGGGTCTCCGTCTCCGTCGACGGCACCTCCTCATTGCGCTAATAGAATATGGGATTTTTTTTCTTTTTAATACTAAATTCATCTTCATAATTTCAGTGGTCTGCTGTACTCCTCCATCCCTTCCAAAAAACAACAAGCCAATAAAAAAGAAAAAAAATGGAGGGCCTTTCTCCTGAGGGTCCGTCTTCTCGACGGCACCCCCTCATTGCCGTAATGGGTTATTTTATTGATCCCTCACCCCCAAAGCAACTATATCTTTATTTCTTTAAAAGATACTATTTTAACTGTCAATTATTAGGTGAACATTTATTTTTTCCGATGGGAAAAATTATTTTTGTTCTTAAATTTTGTTTTTTTACAACGAATCTCGATACTAAGCCATGACTTTAAGGTAGAGAAATTAACGTCATTGTTGTGGCCGTTTGCTGAAAAATCTTGTCATATTCTTAAATAGCCTCGTCAGATCGAGATAATCATCATGGCGTCAAACCCGTTCAGAAATATCTAAACAGTCAGCTGTATACAACCGCTTTCTAAGATCAAAAGGCCTTGAGCGAAGGAAGCCTGAGAGCCTTGACAAAAATCACCCGTCTTTGAACATTGTGAACTGGCAATACAGATTCGGAAATAAGACCTAAACCAAATAATAACAACTATATCACTTGAGGACTACCAACAGTGCCAATAACTAAAATGGATAGACCATGTAGCTCAAAGAGAAAATAATGACATAATAAAAATGTAGACATTCCATTCTGCTTCAAGCAAAGTGTTAGGAAGGAAATCCTCATCAGTACTGGAAAGAGCGATAACAGCTACTGGATTTGAGAAACCTATTTTCCTGAAAATTTGTTTTAAGAGAAAGATTTTATAAATTTAAACCGAAAGCAATACTTGCTGCTCGGTCAATGAATCCCAAATATTTCCTTATAAGGAAACAGCTATATTACCATAACCATTTGCCATACTAAGCAAATATATCTAGTTTGGACATATGCTGTAGAATGATAATTAAAAAATTATTGTTACTCCCATGATTTTGATTCCAACTGGGTGCCCTAATATTTTAATATTATGTTGATTAGTCCAGACTGCCGTAAAAGGAGGAATAGTAAAAATTGTTAGGACCTCACTGGTGTTCGAAATTTGTGACCTTGTGTGAGATTAGGTTAAACTAAGCAAATATCTACTAAAATGGGAAGGTTAAGAAATTAGTCTTGCTGTAGGGTACCTCCTGTAGATTGAAAATTAGCATGTCGCAGGCTATTGCAAGTGGGCGTCGAACAGTCAAATAATGACCTTGTAGCTGATTTATATTAATCAAGAAAATATCTGGATATTGTATATAAAGATACTAATAAGCAACTGTGTTAACCGTCTCAATTAGAAATATGTAAGGTTAGACCGAAAAGTTTTCGGCCTGAGCAACGACGCAAAATCTGATCAATTGAATAAACCTCAGCATTTTTTAAAGGTTATTTTGTTACAATTTTTGTGTATATGTACTAGTGAGTTAGCCCAAATGACTTGACTCACTTTATAGTCCACCAATAGAAGGTTAACCAATCAGAAGACGTAGAACATTCAATCCGTCGTGTATAAAGGCGGCCATTTTTGTCTACTCTACCCGAATGTCCAGTCCAGCTTGTCAGTCGTAGAGAAACAGTAGGACGAACTACGCTCTGCTACTTTTACCAAAATATCCACTGCTAACCTGAACTACACTTTCCTACTGTCTTCGAAATATTCACTGCTAACCTCTGGATTTTATACTCAAAGACGACCGTCATCATGAATAACATTTTTGGCCAGAAAAATTTTCGGTCTCCTTTCGTAATAAGGTAAATACGGAATTTTGCAAGTCTCTCGCTAATGTTTAAACGAACAAGATTCTTTAGTTCCACCAATTTAGATTTCTACAGTTTGGACGCACTTTGGCGTATACGCAAAGTCGAATCGTCCTCAGTCCCTTAGCTTTCCTTGATAAGAAAGAATTTCCACTCATCTTTCTAAGAGCTGTTATTTTGTGTTATCCTTAAAAGAATGATGCATCACTACAATAATAACCTTTTCAAGTTTAGGGTTAACCGTTATCTATCCTACATATCCTCATAAGACGCTCTTCTTACTTCTTTAAAGCCCCATTCAGTAATCCTCTACCTTGAATGGTTCTTGGACCTAGTATAAAAACAAAATATGTTTCTACTGAGATCAAGTTTGTTCAACCAATTTTGCAAGAAGCTGAAAAATGAATATTTGTTTCTTGTTAAACATAATGACAGTTTTTTTTTTCTTGTGTTAATTTTTGTTTTCGGGTTGTAGATTTTTCTGGGCCTTACAGACATACCACATTAAAAAAACCGGCTACCGTACGACCACCGAAGTTAAGCAATATCGAGACTGGTCAGTAGATAGAAGGGTGACCGCTTGGGGATACCAGGCATTATAAGCTTGGATGTGCGGGTGATACAATGTAATTGAAAATCGGGATCCGGGTTCTAATTCCAGTCGAGTTTCTTATATCGATTTATGCGCAAGTACCCTTGGGAAAGATATAAATTCTTCTCTTCTTCCCCCAGCTATGGGTTAATTAGTAAGACGTGTATCACTAACCTATTATCTCCAAAAAACTCTTACAATCTGAAAATATTTTTCTGCAAAATGTTGATAAGCCGTTTGCAAATCAATCAATATCATAATACGAATCACCGGACTGAGATTAACAGGTATTGTGTTTCTATCTTCAAGAGTATAATTATCATTATCCCATACCAGGTGCTGTGAACTTGGATGTGCGGGTGGTGTAATGGATAATGGCTCAAAATTGTTCATCGTAGAGCAGTGTTCAAATTCGCGTTGGGTTTGTTATATTCACTTACGCGCAAATTCTCCTTGGAAAGCTATGGATCCACCTCTACTCTCCAAGTTATGGGTTAATCAGTAAGATTTGTATCAGTAAATTATTATTACAAAAAAATTTTTACAATCTAAAAATATTTTAGGGCTTTAAATAACCTGCAAAGGGTTGATAAGCCGTAAAAATAAATCGAACGATGTTAATTCTTTAAGGAAATTTGAATAAAAAAAAACAAAACAAAACCGTTACTGTCGCTATTTGCACTAAATGTAGAAATTGTTTTTGTCATAATATGATCCCTGTAGTTCTCAGGTTGCGAAAGAATCGCCGTAAAGTAATGATTTCGAGACTGAAAATTCTTTGTACGTTTTACAGGACTGGCGCCAGTCGCTGGAATGTGTGAAGACGAACGCAGCTGCAGCATTAATGAAGACATAGGTTTGGCCTCAGCGTACACCATTGCTCATGAGATCGGCCACAAGTAGGTGAATAGAGCAGACAGCAACTCATTGCATGATCGATATAATTCTTTGCTATACATATATATATATTTATGTGATATTTCTTCTTGTCTCTTTTGTCTTTGTTTTTAACAAACATTAGTCTAAAAATTACCATGAAAAATATTTTTATTCTTAATGATTTTATTAATGCAGCCATTCCTCACTTAACGACCTGGTCGTTAAGTGAGAAGTTGTACCTGAAGCTATTTCAGTCATATTACACGTTGAAGTGGTTTGTGTCAATCAGCTTCAGATAATAATATTGAGCATCACTGACATTTTTTACTCATTTCACCTCTAGCAAGATAATAAAGCCACTAAGACGCAAAGGGCTATTGAGTGTGAAAAATACGAGAAAACCCAAAAGAAAAAACATTGTTATTATTATTCTAAAAGTGTTTATGATGCATGGAAATTTGGGGTGCAACTAGCCAAAAAATATATCTATCTATTTATCTATGTATATCAATCTTTCACAGTGTCTATCTATCTATCTATCTATCTATCTATCTATCTATCTATCTATCTATCTATTTCAGTCTGTTCATATCTATCTATCTATCTATCTATCTATCTATCTATTTTGTCTGTTCATATCTATCTATCTATCTATCTATCTATCTATCTATCTATTTCAGTTTGTTCATATCTATCTATCTATCTATCTATCTATCTATCTATCTATCTATCTATCTATGTTGCAGATATCTCTTTTACAGATCATTATTTATCTCTATATATATCCTAGTCTGTAATATCTATTTATCTATCTATATCGATCTATCTCAGTCTATTTATATCTAAGCAGATGTCTCTTTTCCAGAAAACGCGTTTCACCTCCTATATTGTAGACATCTTCAGGTTGCAATGAAAGCACATGCTTAAGAAGAGTGACTTGGAATTGTTAGTTAACCTTATCAGATGCTAAAGCCAGAAAGTACTTTTTTTCTTTTTTGTATTCGTTAAACGTGTTACTAGCCAAAAATCAGCTCTAAACACAGCTAAAACCATGCCACGCTATTGTAGCGAACCGCCTTCATTACCTTCATATTCCACTCGAACAGCCTCTTCCCACGAACCACTTCCTTGTGGAACCATCAAATACAACCATAACCTGTTCCAGTCTTGGGTTAACCATTGTATTCCCCTCCTATACGCATAAACTGCCTCCTACTGTAATCCTCTATTTTGAGTGACTCTCGGGTCTTGTACATGGTGAACTTCACTATAAAAAAAGTATGGGCACTTATACAATCTTCATTAGCAAGTCGGGTAATGGAAGTTGTCCTCAAGATCATTTTGCATTGATGCGAGCGATCCCAAGACTCTATTCCTGAAATTTTCTTTTTTTTTTTTAAGCGATTCACCCCAAGCAAAGCGGGAAGCCATTAGCATGCAAGGGGTTACAGAGAGTTGGAGCGAGAGCAAATAGGAGTGATAGAGGAAAGGATGAAGAGAAGGATAGGGGGATAGATCAAGGCATCTGGAGATGTCGATTGACATTACATTTAAATACTTGGAGATTATAGCTATCAGGGAAACAGGAAAAGGAGAGGGAATTCTACAGACGAGAAGTGCGAGAATGAAGCTATTGGAGTAGAAGAGACGGCTACATTTAACAGTTTCGACAGTGAAAGAGTGAGAGCGAGATGCTAGCCTAGTTGAACGCTTAAATTCATGAAGTGTGGGAACCAGCGAAAGCAGCTCATCGGAGCAGTTACCGTGAAAGTATTTGTAAAAAAGACAAAGGGAGGCGACGGCACGTCTGTGAGAGAGCGACTGCAGCTGAGATGCCAGATCAGAGCCGATTACATTGCATATCCGTCTCTGGATTTTATCAAGGACCTTGAAACAATCAGAAGGGTCTCCAGATCATATATGGCAGCAGTACTCCATGCAAAGGTGAATGGTTGATTTGTAGATTTGAAGGATCGACTCCGACGAGAAAAATTTCCTGGCGCGGCACAGGGAGCCAACTTTCCTTGCGGTGGATGAAGCTATTGTATTTGTTCCATCTCAGGTCAGCAGACAATGTGAGACCGTGCAGTCGCAAAGAGGTGCTCTCGTGGAGTTGAGTGTCAGACATTCTAATGGGAGGCAGGGATGGTTCTCTATAGTGAGTAATAAAGAGCAGTTTTCTTTTTGAGGCATTAAAGTTAACTTGTTAATTCCTGCCCCAGTTCACAACCGAGTGGAGAAAATTCGAAAATGAAATTATACTGGCTTGTGATTTCCTTTATCGGTTGGAACGTTTGTTTTTACGTCGCTTGTATAATCGTTAATAGGAAAATATTGAAAAAAAAATCTAAAGTTGTTGCACGAAACGGATTCAAAAAATAGGTTGGTAGGAAGTTCGAGCTTGTTCGTTTAGCGTCGTGAAGACGGCAATATTACGCGTAAAAAAATCAAAAACCTTCCTAATATCACTAGTTCTCAATTCGATACCTATGCTGATGAAACAACTATTTATTTCTGTCATTATAACAAGTCTAAAAAAGTCGATAAAATCAAATTGGTAGCTGATCTTGAAAATGTCCTCCAGTCTGTTATGAAGTGGATCAAGAAATGGGGCAAGACGTAACACCTAGAAAAGGAAACCAATTTGTACTAAAGAATCTCGTTTCTTCCATCAGCATTTCTACTGCTAACCCCTCGTTATCTTTAACACTTTTTTTTTATGTGCCATGTCATTTTAAGACGTAGACGATCATGGCTCTCCACCTCCCTCTATCCCTAGCAGATGTCTACAACATAGGGGGTGAAACGCGTTTTCTGTAAAAGAGTCATCTGAAAGATAGATAGATAGATAGATAGATAGATAGATAGATAGATAGATAGATAGATAGATAGATGTTCTTTCCCTAGACCACGTTCTGTCATCCATTTGATAAGTCTGCCAGGTATGTCACGTGTTGTTTTCCCGTGTCTCTCTTTCCCTCTATTCGACCTGTCAGTATCAGATTCTCCAGGCCCTCCTTCCTCATTATGTGTCCCAGAAACTTCAGCTGTCTCTTCCTGATGTTAAGTATAAGCTTCCTCTTTAAGATCTCATCGTTGCTCGCACACTCTGTCCATGATATCCTTAGCATCTTTCTGTAGAACCACACCTCTGTCGCCTCGAGTCTCTTCTTCATCTTTGAGGAAATCGTCCAATATTCGCTGCCGTAAAGAAGGACAGATGTCACGTAACAGTTCAGTATTCTTTTCTCATATTTCCATAAACTTTGTCTCTTACACTGTAATTCTATACCTTGAGGGATTCTTGCATAGGATGAACATTGTATGTTGGAAAATAAATTCTGAAAATGTAATTTTAAATCGTATACTTCCCTGAGCTTTGGTAAAGTTTTAATAACAGAATCTAACTTTTTTTTTTCATTTCACAAAAAAAAAATAAAAATAAAAATAATCTACTTTGTTGGTACCTAGATCATACTAACTGATTAGGGGTTTTATTTTTATTTATTTATTTTTACTTTTTAAGATTTTATATCTGATCGTAAGTCCGGGGGTCATTGAACAGATAAGTGAGGAGCTCCTGTTCACTCCGAGTTTTTCAACAAATGTGTCGCTGTTTTTTTCTCTCCAGCTTATTTAGAAATATTCCGCTGTATTTTCTGATTTTAAGAATTCCGGTGAACACCACAACCCCTCAAATTTTCGTCCTATCAGTCTCTTATCTCTTTTTGGCAAAATACTTGAGACTGTAATCAAAGCGGAAGTGATTAAGCATTTTACACGGTCTCCTTTCGGATAAACAATATGGCTGCCGTTTCGCCAGATCTACCGTCGATGTATTAACGGCCATCACTGTACTTGTCTATCAATCTTTAGATAAAAAATGGTGAAGCTCAAAGTCGTTCGACAGGCTTGGCATGCTGGTTTTATCTGCAAGTTCAAGGCCTACGGTATCACGGGACAAATATTTGGCTTAATTCAATGAAGGTCATGTTGAACGGACACGCTTCTATAAGATTTCATACTAATGCGGGGGTCCCTCACGTTTCTATGTGTGGACCTATGCTGTTTTGAAACTTCGCGATGTCATCAATTCCCAGCTAGGTATTTATGCAGATGACACAACTATTTACACCTGTCTTAGTAATAAGTCCGACAGATTCAACAAAATAAACCTGATAATTGCACGCAAAAAGGCAAGAAATCGCATTTAATCCCCACATAGAACCTTTTCTGCATGCCATCAACATGGCTGATTTTAATGACACCTCACGTTTCCCACTGACAGAAAATGTAGTGATTATTTTCTACGTCTAGAAAAGTTGGTTCACTACGTCGTGCCAGAAATTTTTTTCTAGTCAGAATCCACTTTGCACTTTTATAAATCTACCATTCGTCCGTGCATTGAATACGGCTGCTATATCAATATCTGGTCTGGTGCCCCTGTTGTATATTTCGAGATTATTGAGAAAATTCAACAGTCTGTAATGAAATCGATTCTGATCTGGCATCAAGAATTCAGAATCTTCAAAAATGCAAATTTACATATTAAAAAGACATCGAGCCCGTCATTTTCTCATGGCTTCCCTCTGTCTTTTCTACAAATATTTTCATGGCAACTGCTCCGAATGAGCTTTTTTCCTTAGTGCCTCGACTACATGAATTTAAGCGTGCTACTAGATTGGCATCTAGGTTTTATTGCTGAACTAGCTAGATGCAACCGTTTGTTCGAGACTAACAGTTTTTTCTCGCACTTCTTACCTGTGGAACTCCCCTCTGATTTTTTTGGCTTCCCTGTCATTTAGAATCTTCAAAATTAAGCGCAACGTTCGACGCCATCTTGTCTTCCCGAACCGTGTTCCTTTAGTGTCCTTTCCTCACTTCTCGCTAAAGTCTTCTAATTCTCTTTCGCTTTCTATAGACCCTTGCGTCCTTGCTTTGAGTGAAATGGTTTTAAAAAAAAGATTATTTGATTTTAGATTCAATTGCTTTTTTTTCAATTTTTCAATTGCTATTTAAGAATCAATCTAATCACTTTTGTAAAATAAAAAACAAAAACAAAAAATAATCCAATAAAACGGAAAAAAAATTAATTAAAACTCCAAGACATTAATAAACCACATTATTTACATTATTCGGACTATTTCCTCATCTTTTTCGCCATATTTATTGCAACGTTTCGGCCATTGTACGCTCCTGCCCCAATCAGGTGGTTGGAATGTCGAACTGAGCCCTTTATTTCGCTCACTGGGGTAAACTGTTCTAGTTCCACGTGCCATGTCTAATGGATGTCAGTTATTTATCTACTGTTAATTCTCCTCTCCAAGTTCACCACAACCTTAACTGGGTATTGAACTCACACTCTTTGGGTCCTGTCACTGGATCTAACCAACGCCTTTATCCACTGTGCCATGTGTCCTTGAACATGGCACGTGGAACTAGAACAGTCTAGCCCAGTGATTGAAATAGAGGATTCAGTTCGACATTCCAACCACCTGAAGAAGGCCGGAGCGTTGTAATAAATATGGCGACAAAGATGAGGACAACAGTCCGAATAATGTAAATAATGTACATAATACCTCATCTCAGAAATATAGACAGATTAATAAACCATTCTTTCAGTATTAAAAGATTTTCTTTGATTCTGCCGTTTCTTACATAAATGAAAAAAGTAATCATTTTTTTCTATGACGCGGGGTTAGGGACAGCTTATGATCTGATCGATATCGCTGCATTGATCCTTAAATTAGTTTGTTGTCTCATTTCAGCTTCGGTATGCAACATGATGGGGCAGGTAATACGTGTGGTACACCTGGACATGAAGGAGCAAAAATTATGGCTGCTCAACTGACCAAAGGCACAACACCATTTTTATGGTCAAGCTGCAGCAGTGAATACATCACCGACTTTCTCGAGTAAAGTATCTTGTCATTTAAGACAAGTGTCGCCTTTGACACTATTTTCTTATCTATCTATCTATCTATCTATCTATCTATCTATCTATCTATCTATCTATCTCACTCTGTTTATTTCTATCTATAATATAATAAAATTCCCAGAGCAATTCTGTGGATATGACAAATTGATAGAAGAAAAACGACAATAGGAAAAACATCTCAGTTTTTGCCGACGCGTTTCGTCTTCCGACTTTGTCAAAACAAAATTTAAGCGAAATGTTTTTGTTTTTATAGTTACATTAAAATCCAAAATTGAAAAAGAAACGCTATTTCGTAAGCCTCTTTCTGGTTAATGTTAACTTAATACTTAATACTTTAGTTTTTTTTCCATGTCGACAATATAATAAAATCCCCACAGCAATTATATTGTTGACATGAAAAAAAAAACAAACTCAGAGTGTTGACTTATATCTTTTATGTTTACACACGCTTTATCTCTGATATTGAGCACTTTATCCCATAAATATAGCACATCTTAATCTATCTATCTATCTATCTATCTATCTATCTATCTATCTATATATATATATATATATATATATATATATGTTTAAAGATATTTTTAGTGGCACAAAATTTTATCACTGCCATAAACAGACAAAAATTAGTTTTTTTGACTCATGATAATAAAAAGTAAAAATGAAAGACGATTAATAATAATTATATATATATATATATATATATATATATATATATATAAATCGTCTGACGAAGCTTCCTGATGATTGCGATTAGCATGAAACAGTCTGACAGTCTGTGTTGACTTCAATGTTTACTTTTATATTTATATTTACATACACTCTATTCCTGATATTGAGAACTTTATCTCGTAAATATAGCACACGCTAAAACTATATTTCTTCATATATATCTATATATATCTATATATATATATATCTATATATATATATATATATATATATATATATATTGAAAATCCAGCTGAATTTTTAAGACCATTTATTAACATTAACTTACCGGCTTCACAGTTTTATGATTTCCAAAAGTTAAATTGAGATGGGGAGACATGTGCATATGTCATGATATGTCTCCTCTCTCCAGTTGGGTTTCCAAATTATTTTTCCGATATATATATATATATATATATATATATATATATATATATATATATATATAGTGTGTGTGTGTGTGTGTGTGTGTAATATTTTGATATTTGCAATTTAAATAATAGATATAATTTGTTTTTATTTTTACAGTTATCAATATCTGGGACAGAATCTGTATAAACCAAAAGTAGACTTATATTTAAAATCACTTTAAATAACTGTTACATAGGCTGGCCAAAAGTGGCAAACTTCTGGTCAGACCTCTGACGACCCCAACTCAGTGTTGGTGGATTTGAACAAATTGCAAAAATTACACAAATGTTTTTAGATATTTTTGACGGAACGGGTAAACTAATATGTATAAACATTTTGAAAATCAGTCAGTGATTATTTCTTTAATAACATATTTCTACTATTTTATCTTATACAATTACAACCTATCTCTTACATTGTACAATGTATTGTCAAGTTTGGTCAAAATCGGTTGGATGGATCTTGAGTGAAAAGGTATCACACAAACAGACAGTTATCCTTTGTTTGATATATATATATACATTTGGAAAAGCCATCAGTCATTAATATTTCTCACGGTTTTCCTTGGCGGTTTTTATTGATGTTTTTATCAAAGATAAAATTATCAATCATGTTTAAATGCTACATTATCTACTTACATTATTGCCATAATTAATCTTTATTGTTAGTCATTATTTTTTTTTCTTTCAGTTCTCGACGAGGATACTGCCTGGAAAATGCGCCCGTCGAAAAGGATTTTGAATTTCCAGAAGAACTGCCAGGCAAACATCATAATGTCGATCAACAATGCAAACTTCAGTTCTATTCAAAGTCGACAGGATGCAAACCGCTGGTGAGAAATCAAAATACTTATTAAAGCAAAAGATCTCACTTCCATATCTGCGTTTGCTACGTTTCGGCGTAGCCCATTTGGCGTGGATGATTCGGCGTTAGAAAAATAATTGGACTATTCGGCACAGCCGTTTAGGCGTCAGACTGTTTCGACGTCACCGTCTTTGACCGGAGGCCCCTCCTCCATCCTTAAAAAAAGCATAAAAGCATTGAAAACACCGAACTTTTAATCATTTAGGGAATTAAAGCTGCACTGAAGGAAATTTAATATAAAAATGCCTCCAACTACTCTTTTTCTTAAATTGGACTATTTGAGTAAATTTGAGTATAACGACGAAGTACTAATTTGACTATTAAACGAGAGAGAGAGAAAGGGAGAGAGAGAGAGAGAAAGGGAGAGAGAGAGAAAGGGAGGGAGAGAAAGAGAGAGAGAAAGAGAGAGAGAGAGAGAGAGAGAGAGAGGAAATTTGATTATAAAGACGAAGTAGTAATCTGACGTCTAATCGAAAACTTCCTATGCCGAATCAGCGACGCCGAATCGGCGACGCCAAATGGGCTACGCCGAAACGTCCAATTCTCTCCATGTCTGCAATATATTAGGGAAATCTTAGAAGTGTCTTTAAAGTTTATTCCGCATTTTCATTAGTTCTGCGTGTATACACTTTAAGAAAATATTGTTTTTTTGGGGAATCATGGCTGAATGATTATTATTAAAAATTATCAATCCTTTAAGAATTAATGACAGAAAAGGCATGATTTTTTGTTAAGAATCACACCTTTATTATTGGTTTTATTATGATTCATTATTAATTTTGCGTGCGTATCAATTATGAATTCTTGGCAGATAAGCGATAATGCTGTTTTGCTGAAAATCTTGGCTGAATATAAAATGCATATTCAACATTGTTTACACTTAAAGTATAATGGAGTGGTGGTAATTGAAAGATTGACAAAAACTGAAACGTACTGACCTGTACCTGTCTATATCTCTGAGATGAGGTATTATGATTACTTACATTATTCAGACTGTTATCCTCATCTTCATTGCCATATTAACAACGTTTCTGTCTCTATATCTCTGAGATGAGCTATTATGATTACTTGCATTATTTATATTATTCGGACTGTTATCCTCATCTTCATTGCTATATTCACAACGCTTCTGCCTGTATATCTCCGAGATGAGGTATTATGATTACTTGCATTATTTACATTTAGCGGACCGTTATCCTCATCTTCATTGCCATATTCATAACGTTCCGACCTCTATAGCTCTGAGATGGGGTATTATGATTACTTGACTTATTTACATTAATCAGACTCTTATCCTCATCTTCGTTGTCATATTCACAACCTTTCGGCTGTTTTACGCACCGGCCTTCTTCAGGTGATTTGAATATCGAACCGAACCCTTTATTTCGTCCACCGGCGTAGATTGTTCTAGTTCCACGTGCCATGCCTCTTTCGGATGTCTCACTTATTTCTCTTTAACTCAACTCTCCGAATTTTGATTCACCACTGCTGTGGCCTGGTAGTGAACTAACAACCCAATTGGGTCTAGTCACTGGATCTAACCAACATCTTTATCCACTGGGCCATGTGTTCTCGAGGATACATGGCCTAGTGGATAAAGACGTTGAGAGTTCAATACCAGGCCACAGCAGTGGGGAACCAAAAAAAAACAAAAAAAAACTTGGAGAGTTGAGTTAAAGGAAATAACACCCGGAAGAGGCCTGTCACGTGGAACTAGAACAATCTACCCCGGTAGACGAAATGAAGGTTTCAGTTCGAAATTACACTCATCTGAAAAAAGCCGGAGTGTACAACGGCCGAAACAATGTGAATATGACAATGAAGATGAGGATAACAGTCTAGATAATGTAAATAATGCAAGTACTGGTCTGTTTTGTAAATTATTTTCAGAATGATCGTAGATTTCCATGTGGCGGGTGAGACCGGTGTGGTTTCTATTGGTCTTTTGGCACAACCCGCGTGTTCAGTTACTCCCAGCGTAGTACTGACAACATTGGAGAGAATATACCCTGCCACATTCATCACATATAAACAGATGGACTGTTGGATCCATGATTTTCCTTTTCATAGCTGCAGGCTTGACATTTGCCCAACTCATTGCATATTCTTCGAAGATCTTCCTGCCGCCATGAACGATGATTAATGACTTTTTTCCTTTTTCTTTTTGGCAGGAGGTTTGTCGTCAATTGTGGTGCCTTAACGGGAGTGGCAAATGCGTAACAAATGGGATTCCTGCTGCAGATGGGACCCAGTGCCAGATTGCACGGCGCCGAAAGAAAGGTGTAAGTAAGAAGGAGAGGGACAACTATGGACAGGTAGAATTGCATGCTTATATTTCTTATATATTCGTGCTTATTTCTCTAACCATGCGTGTGAACGTACGTGTATGTGTGCGCACGCGCGTGTGCGTGCGTGCGTGCGTGTGTGTGCGTGCGTGTGTGTGTGTGCGTGCTTGAAAAATAATTTCGTAATTGCTGACATTACATTTGATGTTAAAAATTTTAAAAGTGTCTATCTACTGTTTAGATGTACATATCTGTTCATATCTATCTCTCTCTCTCTTTCTCTCTCTCTCTCTCTATATATATATATATATATATATCACTGACTGAATATCTATCTATCTATCTATCTATCTATCTCACTGACTGCATATCTATCTATCTATCTATCTATCTATCTATCTATCTATCTACCGAATCATATTCATCTCATGAATCATATCTATCTATCTATCTATCTATCTATCTGAATGCATATCATCTATCCATCTATCTATCGATCTATCTCACTGAATGCATATCATCTATCTATCATCTATCATCTATCCATCTATCGATCTATCTCACTGAATGCATATCTATCTATCTATCTATCTATATATCTATCTATCTATCTATCTCACTGACTGCATATCTATCTATCTATCTATCTATCTATCTATCTATCATCTACTGAATGCATATCTGATTCTATCTATCTATCTATCTATCTATCTATCTCACTGACTGCATATCTATCTATCTATCTATCTATCTATCTATCTATCTATCTCACTGAATGCATATCTATCTATCTATCTATCTATCTATCTATCTATCTATCTATCTCACTGACTGCATATCTATCTATCTATCTATCTATCTATCTATCTATCTATCTATCTATCTCACTGACTGCATATCTATCTATCTATCTATCTATCTATCTATCTATCTATCTATCTATCTATCTATCTCACTGACTGCATATCTATCTATCTATCTATCTATCTATCTATCTATCTATCTATCTATCTATCTTACTGCGTTAACGTTTTAGTTATTTATTCAGTCAATCATTTTTCATGATTGTTCAGGTTTAGCATCTCGATTTGATTGAGAAATTCACATTATTTTTTTATTATGTTTTTAACTATTTTAAGAGTATATTCTGAAAATGAGAAAACAACTGATTCGCTGTCCTTTACTTGCCGTTCAGTATTGCTACCGTGGTCAGTGCGTGAAGGGTGAATTCAAACCAAAAAGTGTGGACGGAGGCTGGAGTGAGTGGACGAGTTGGAGTAACTGTTCCCGTATGTGCAACGGAGGGGTAGAAGCAAGTGAGAAACACTGCAACAATCCAAAGTGAGTATTCATATTCATCTCTACTTTTGTTGTGAGAATTTAGTTCCCGAAATGACCGAAGCGTGTCGTTGCGGTAATGGGGCAAGCAAATATGTGTATCCGAGCACGTCCCGACATGTTCCAAGACGTTTGAGATGCAAACCAGATAAGTCATTGTTGCCGAGCAGTAGAGGAAGTTATACGTTTTCATGTTATACTATCGGCGGAAAATTTGTGAAATGAATATAGAGCTGCGGATTGACATTAAATTTTGTATGAAGATTTTACAATACAAAAGTTAACATAAAGTCTGGTAGGCTTTTTGAAGTCAAACAACCAGACACCATAGACCATTATAAAAAAAGAAAGCAAAGATCTGTCCTTATTCATGTTACGTTGTCAAAAAATGCTAATTTAAAAAAAAAAAAAAAAAAAAAAAACGATAAAGAAGTTTTGGGAGGGAAACATAGTGGCCTTACTTGCTTGAAACTCATGTTATGATATTTTCACAATTTCATATTTGGTTCGAATTGATGTTTGGGCAACTCCGGTCGATGTTCCATATTCGACCATAGTGTCGGTGGTATTACTGCCTTAATCTTTACAGTTGTATTCAGATCAATACATCAAAATCGCACTATATCTGTTTCTTACTGAAAATCAAATCAGTTGGGCTTTCGCCTTGAGAAAGATTTTCTTGTAATAAATGGAATAACGCATATGGTCTGTATATGCTACTTTTATTGTCCCCAGTATAGAAATCTTGCCGACTTCTTGACAGAGAAGGTGTAATTAGTGGGAGACCTTCCCAGTAGTAATCTTTTTCAAATCATGTTTTCGCTACCAAGAGAAAAAAATATCATTAAAGAATTTTAGAGGAAGAAAACGCTTTTTTACCAGGTATTCTTTCTTTCTCTCTATTTCGGCAATTCACGGACTGATGAAAAGGCAGCACCACATCCTGATTCGTTTCCTTTTTCTTACGGGATATATGAACGTTAACTGACCCTAAATACGATTTATTTCCAAAAATCTGTCTATATTTCTGAGATGAGGTATTATGTACATTATTTACATTATTCGGACTATTATCCTCATCTTTGTCGCCATATTTATTACAACGTTTCGGCCGTTGTACGCTCCGGCCTGGTTGGAATGTCGAACTGAACTCTTTATTTCGCTCACTAGGGTAGACTGTTCAATTTCACGTGCAATGTTTAATGGATGTCAGTTATCAGTTATCTCCTGTTAATTTCCCTCTAATAAAGAGTTCAGTTCGACACTCCAACCACCTGAAGAAGGCCGGAGCGTACAACGGTTGAAACGTTGTAATAAATATGGCGACAAAGAGAAGGACAATAGTCCGAATAATGTAAATAATGTTCCAAAAATCTGTTTGTTAGTTTTATACACATAATGTTGCACTCAGTGTTACACTAGTTAAAAACAGTATCCGATCTTATTGATACACTTGGCACTATGGCGATTATATTTAGAACTACATATAAAGATCTAGAAGACACGGGAAGAAACGGGTTGTTAAAAATTGGCCATTTCATTTATGCTATAAAATGACAATAAGGATTCTTGATGTGTATTGGCTGCTTTGGAAAAATGAGTGAAAACCAATTGTCATCGAAAATAAAGATCTGTCAAGGAGTTGATACGAACGTTTCAGTTGATCAGGGAGTAAAGCGAAGCGAAAAGCTGGAAAAGTATTTGAACCGAGAATTGTGAGAGGACGGAAAAATAGCCGAATACGGAAAGTAGCAGAAGCACGAGAAATTCCAAATATTTCTTCCATTTTGCTCGCCGTTTCAAAAAAGAAAAAGAAACGATAATAAAGTATTTGGATTTCTTTATCTTTATTAAAAAAAAAAAAAAGAAAGAAAAGATTAGCATTGTCTGACATCGTATTTTGTAGTCTTGTGATTTATTAAAACGTGCGTAATTGGTCTGTCACGTTTGACCGAAGATGTAACACATTTTCCCAGTTACTACGATCTGGGTGTAAGGTGTTTGGGGAGAGAACGACAAGGAGGAAATGAGAGACCCAGTTTATTTAATCTTTACCTAGACCAGTGGTCACCGAACGGTTTTTTTTTTTTTTTTTTTTGTCTAGGTCGCATTTTCAGAATGAAAATTTGCTCGTGTCTCGCCAAATTTTATGCAATAAAAAGTACATTTAAAAGTATAAAAACAGAGAGAGGATTAAAGGGAGATTACCACAGATTCGAAGTCAGAACATTATGATTGATAACTCTCTCCTCCAATTTGCAGACACTAGTTACTATATTCTTAATACTTGATATAATGTAAAAATAACAATTTTAAAATTGGTCAATAATTATTTATAGCTATTTATACTGGGACTCATACATGCAATTACAAGTTATCCAAAATAATATTTTAAATTTTGAAATCAAATTTATTTTTGGCATATGAATTTTTAAAAAATTGTTTCTAAATCTTTGGTTGCCTTTCAATTACTCCGCCTCACCTGATATCCTCTTCCGACGCACCTGTGAGGCGTATGGTCCCGTTTGCGAACCACTAATCTAGACTAGGTCCTGCGTGTTTACAAACACAGATGTGAAGAAATGGGCAATGACCATTTAAGCATTCCATACCACATTCCAAACGAATCTACTAATATAAGACAACTATCCTTGTTTCTCTCCCGAGGCCAAAGTACCGATGATGAGGACGGGGCTATGCTTATGACATAAGTATTCATAGATAGGATAAGGATGATCTTGAATCGAAAATCAACATCCTGTACTAAGTGTTCTAAGAAATAAGACTAAAAATAATCTTTTTCAAAACAGAAACTATGATCTGGAATTGGAATGAAAGCAGTGATATTACCTGGCCTAAATCCATCATATAAATCCAGACTGTGGATTTAGTAAATACTAAACACTTCAAATTTCCAAGTGCTCACACACCAGTTGTCTTTTGTTATCTCTCATAGCATATCAACGAGGGGACATTATTCTTTCACAGAATACTCGACGATGGGACACAGCGAAGGGATATGGATTCTCAAGGTAAAGTATTAGGTTGGTGCAAAAATAATGATGTAAGGATGTCGTTTTTTGACGTTAAAAAATACGTCAAAAAACGACATTATTACGTCATTATTTTTGCACCAACCTAATATTAAGGGGGGAACGTTAGCAACTTCATTAGAAATGTCAAGCTCGACTTGCGCATTTCGTTTTTTCTCATTGATAGTGTCACTAATTTGATAGTTTAAGTGTCAAATATATTTTATAATAGGTTTAAGAAATAAAATACTTAAAGGCAGTTTTAAAAAAAAGGAAACAATTTAAAGATGGCTTCAGACTTGCACAATACTGATTTGTTAATATCTGTAATTTTTCAGACCAAAACATGGAGGTCGTTACTGCATTGGCAAAAGGAAACGTTATCGCTCCTGCAATACACACGTAAGAAAAACCTTTTTCCTTTATTTTCTTAATATTTGTAGCAAAAAAAAATTGTTGTTCTTTTCTACAATAATTTATTTTTTGTTACTATTCTATTTTCAAAGATATATTTTTACTGTTTTATTACTGTCGTCTTTTACAAGAGATATTTTTGCATTTTTCAGTTTTAAATGATACACTTTTATAGTGTCCACTTTTGGAAGATATATTCTTGTACTGTCCACCTTTGCAAGAGATATTTTTGTACTGTTTACCTTTGCAAGAGACATTCTTGTATTGTCCACCTTTGCAAGAGATATTTTCGAACTGTCTGCTTTTGCAAGAAATATTTTTGTATAGTCCACTTTTGCAAGATATATTTTTGTACTGTCCACCGTTGCAAGATATATTTTTTGTACTATTCAGTTTTATAAAATATGATTACGTTTTCTCCTTACCTATAGGATTGTCCAGCGGACGAAGTCGATTTCCGAGAGATTCAATGTGACTCTTACAACAGTGTTCCTTTCCGTGGCCGTTACTACAAATGGAAACCATTTACAGGATGTGAGTCTTTGCTTATTGTTCACGTTTATAATTTTGTTTTATTTTTTCAAACGAGCTTTGGCATGTGGTTGCATATATTCTGTAAATCAAAAATTGTTCCATATGTGGTGATATTTACACCGCTGAATACGTCGTGGTAATCTAAGAAAAGAAGAATTTTGAAGGCTCAGTCGCAGAATGGTAGACACTATTAGGGGATAGAAATCAACTATATTTTGTTCTTCAATGGCTAATGAAATAAAGCGAATTCTGTCTGTAGACTTATATTAATACCCGGCCAGTGACAATCCCTCTCTTCTTAAGCTTTAGTACATTCTTATAATAAAACTGCTAAGGATTCTATTATATTATATATATATTAACGCTATTTTTAATTCATTTACAGGAAACCGTTAATAATATATTTATATCATAATAACACTGTTCTGTCAGTAACAACAGAAGGGGTTCCTGATTGGATATAATCCCTCTCTTCCTGAATTTTTATTGCATTTCTATAGTAAAACTTTATCAATGCTTTTATGTATAAACATAGAATAGTACTTTTCTGTCAGAAATACTTTTATTCCTGACCATGGATAATCCCTTTCTCCCACTGCGAAAATAATAACGGTGTTACATAATGCAGGGTGAAAATTTAAAACCGAAGGTTTTATTCTGGCTGCACAGAACAAATGCTAGCTAACTAGAAATTATCAAGCACACATACTGAAAAATTGTGTTAATCCGAAATGCTGATTCCATGATAAATATCGAGAAACAATTGGCCATCTTCTATGAGGTTGCCCGGTTTTAGCACCCATGAATATAAAAATACACACGGTAGAGTGAGCCAATACTTCTACTGGAAAATATGCAGCCTTTATGGGGTGGAATCTGCAAGAAACTGGTATGAACATCACCCAGACCTGTTTACAGATATAGGACCTGTAACAATTTTCTGGGAATTTAAAACACATACAGGCACAACAATTAAAGCTAATCGCTCAGATATCGTAAGCAAAACCCACAAAAACAGAATGTGTTTTCTTATTGACATGGCGATCCTTGCAATGTATCTTTGAAGATGTTCGAAAAAACAAAATTTAAAATACAAGGATCTTGTAGCGGAAATATAAAAAATGTGGCACATGAGGACATCAATAATTCCAGTTGTAGTTGGAGCCCTCGGTTTGATTGGAAAAGGATCCGATAGATTCATTGCAGGAATTCCTGGGTAGCTCATGCCTTAAAGAAATACAACAAATTGTACTCACAAGTACAGCTCACACATTACGAAGAGATTTATCTATATAAATCGTATGTGATCTTAGGTCTTTCTCGTTTTTTCATAAGTTTTAACAGTGGAAAATGTCATAAAGACATTTCCAACCTTATATCTCTGGTTAGGGACCGGAACGAAATGTGTATACAACAGAAATCAAAGGCGGAAATAATAATAATAATGATAATAATAATAATAATCTTCTCAATGTAACAACATTGCCAGTTATTATTGTCATTGGGAATGGCATCAAAAGGAGCAAAGAAATATGTGAATCAAATTCATGGCATCCCCAAAATATGTGAATTGCCAAAAAAGTCATACCCATGGGCGCTTCTCATATCATGAGTAGATTTCTATCCATGCAATGACCATAAATACATATATTTCTTTTTATTTTAATCATACCACCTCAAGCAAGACGATAAAGCCACTAAGACGCAAGGGGGGTTACTGCGAGTGAAAGAAAATTGGAAAACGTTAGTATTGAGAAAAGACAATAAAAGAAGAGAATCCAGAAAGACAGAAAATGGTGATTCATGTTACACTGAAAAGATCGTATTTGAAAAGAAAGCAAGAAGGTGGAAGAGAGTTCCGCAGGCGTGTAGTGCGAGAAGAAACTCCCCGTTTACATGGTACCTCCTCTGTTTGCATTGAAACTTGGGAGTAACTCATACCGCACAAAGCAAAGGTAAAACGCAAAAACAACAACAACAAAATAATAACATTAATAATAATAATAATAATAATAATAATAATAATAATAATAATAATGGTTTCTTTTTATTGTATTAAAGCCCATGTGAAGCCTTGCACACTCAACTGCTTAGCGGAGGGATACAACTTTTACACGGAACGTGCTCCCAAAGTAATTGATGGGACAAGGTGCTTTCCCGACAAATTGGATATTTGCATAAATGGTGAATGTTGGGTAAGTTGTTTTTTTTTTAATTCACCTTTAGCGCTCTGTATTATTAACATTACTTTCCTTTAACTAAATTATTTTTAAATGTCTCCCAAGTGCAGTCACCTTATTGTTAATTTCATAGCAGGATTATATTGAATCAATAGCTTTGTCCACCGCAAGGAAAGTTGGCTCCCTGTGCCGCGCCAGGAAATTTTTCTCGCTGGAGTCGATCCTTCAAATCTACAAATGAACCATTCGCCCTTGCATGGAGTATTGCTGCCATATATGGTCCGGTGCTCCTTCTGTTTGCCTCGGGGTTCTTGAAAAGATCCAGAGACGGATATGCAATGTAATTGGCCCTGATCTGGCATCTCGTCTGCTGACGCTCTCTCACAGACGTGCCGTCGCTCCTCTCTGTCTTTTTTTACAAATACTTTCCTGGTAACTGCTCCGATGAGCTGCTTTCGCTGGTTCCCAGACTTCATGAATTTAAGCGTTCAACTAGGCTGGCATCTCGCCCTCACTCTTTCACTGTCGAAACTGTTAAATGCAGCCGTCTCTTCTACTCCAATAGCTACATGTCTCGCACCTCTCGCCTGTGGAAACCCCTCCCCTTTTCCTGTTTCCCTGATAGCTATAATCTCCAACTATTCAAATGTAATGTCAATGGACGTCTCCAGATGCCCTGATCTATCCCCTATCCTTCTTTTTATCCTTTCCTCTATCACTCCTCTTTGCTCTCGCTCCAACTCTCTGTAACCCCTTGTGTGCTAGTGGCTTCCCGCCTTGCTTGGGGTGAAACGCTTAAAGAAAATATGACACCACGACTACAAAATTCAAATTCATCTATCAGTCAACTTCAGTGATAGGATAAACGTTTTGCACAGCAAATGAAGTCACATACAAAACGATAAAGGTTAAAGATCAGAAAACGGGATAATCTTGAAGATAGAAACAGAATACCTATTAATTCCAGTTTCGTGATACGTAGTATGAAATTAATTGATTTGTTTTTTACGGCTTATCAACCTTTTGCAGAAATTATTTTTATATTGTAAGAATTTTCGGTGATAATAATAATTTGATGATTCAAGTCTTACTAATTAACCCATAGAGGTGGATTCATAGCTCCCCAAAGGGAATTTGCGCGTAAGTTATTTTAACGAACCCGACGGTAATTGGAACTCGGCTCTCCGATTAACAATTTCAAGCCATTATCAGTTACACCACCCACACATCCAAGCTTACAACACTTGGTATTCCTAAACGATCTCACAGACTCGAAGTTGGTGATCGAACAGGAACCAATGTTTCATCGTGATATGGCCGTATGCCAAACGCACAATTACACCCTTATGCAAATTAATTGAAACAAAACGAATTATGTCGTTATTATTTAATTTTTTTTTTCGTATTTTTCCAATGAGATATAAGCCGGTGCCCATATTAGTACTTCGTATATCCATTCCTCGAAGTCGTTCCTTGCAGATTGACCACAGATTCTTGACTGGATTTAAATCAGGAGAGTTTCCGGGCCAGTCTATAGTACTTTGATTTGGTCACTGGTAAAGCTTGCCAGTGTGTTCCTTTTATACGTCTCCTTGGAGTAACTCCATCGCAGACAATGGCTATAGGACAACTAATCGACAGTCGAAACAATAGTGTCTGGGTGTGATTAAAATCTGATGCAATAACGGATGACACAATAATTTTCAAGGCCAAGCAAATATCACCATACACCCTGAAAATAGATTCATATTACTGCACCCCACTGCAAATGATCTAATCGTAGGAAAAATTAGAAATCGATTACACCCGGTGACTTCAGTGGGTATAAAACTGACCGTATGGTGAAAGAAAGGAAACTGAAGGCGTTGTGTCAATTAATTTGCACAAGGGTGTAAAGTAGCTGGCAATATGGAAATAGAAGAAGAAAAGAAAAAGGGGAAAATTCTGTTTGTAATATTTGCATTCCGATAATCCACGTTTACTGGATTATACACTCGCTGGGGTTACTTTTTATTCTTGGTCTATCGGAGCTTATTTATCTGTTCCACGAATTAAAATGGATTAAGAATAAATTGATATAGCCAAATTGAACGTATTTTAAAAAAATACCGTGTCTCTTCAGAACATAGTCGACCATAGCTCTCCCCAGTTTCCTTTTCTTTATTATCTATAAATTGGAATGGTTTCTTGAGGTGTATATATGAAGTGTTTTCCTGTTGCCTCCTCCACCGTCTGGAATTCAGAGTTGTCCTTCTCTTTGACTGGAATGATAGAATGAGCCAAACATTTTCGCATCGTTATTGGCAATGGATAGTGTGCGAGAGTTTTAGAATCAGTCCTGCTGCTCTTGTGGCTTAGTATGAAATCAGACAATATAACATCGGACATATCCAAATGCTAATCATGCTGCTTCCCAAAGGTAGGACTCATTAACGTATTGTGATATACCTTAATAATAAAACAATTCTTGTTTTAAAAATAGATTTAATATTAGAAAATTTTGAATTCAAATAACAGATGCATATATCTCCGGAGACCTTGTGACAGGAAAGCTCCTGTGCCTATGGAGAAAACACATGTCTACTAGTATTATTTTATTGTAACAATTACTGCGGACAAGAATGTAAGTCCAAGTAATAAATGAGTCACACAAAACAATATAAAACACACGACAATGCATGTTGTTATAAATAATCAAGAGTGATCTCCCCTTGTTTCATTACTCTCCTCGTTGAGAGAGCTATTTTAATGGGACTATAAGACGACACTATAAGCAGACCTTGTATTCTCAGTTGAATAAAACTTTCTTAAAGCCAATACCCGCTTACTTTTGTCATTAAAAAATGTGTTAACGAAAGAATTCAGTTAGTCAGTTATGTGCCATGCGTGATACACACTTAGACGATCATGTTTATTTCGATACATGACTGACGAGGCAGATTTTTTGCCGCAGTAGATTGTCATTTCATTCTGCGGTAAACCAGTTGCCATCCAAGCTTATAGAATCCGGTCTGTCCTGCTATTTAGCTTGGGTAGAAGAAGGGATTCATACCTTTCCGAAGGGTATTAGCACGTAAGTGAATGTAATGGATTTGACTGGAATTCGAACTCGGCTCTCCAATTCTTCAATCTATTACTCTTAATTTCAGCAGTTCAGACCTTTCGTACAAGTCAGTCAGTGAGTTATGCGTAGGCGATTATGTATCTTTCGATACATAACTGACGAGGCAGATTTTTTACCCGCAGGTTGCCATTTCTTTCTTCCGTACACCAGTTGCCATCCAAGGCTCTAGAACCCGGTCTGTGCTGCTATTTACCCATAGCTGGGGGTGAGGATTCATACCTTCGACTGAAATCCCAGTTCCTTAATCCACTACTCCTCTGCGACAGTTTCGACAGTGAAAGGGTGTGAGCGAGGTGCCTATATATATATATATATATATATATATATATATATATATATATATATATATATATTTTTAATTTACAATATGTTTTTTTTTCGTTACATAGTTCTAACCATGTTTCAAAAATGGAAGCTAAAAAGCCCCGAATTTAATTTTGTAATTAAATTAAAGACACTAGTTTCATTTCATCCTCAAGCGAATTTTGGTTCCAATATATATATATATATATATATATATATATATATATATATATATATATATATATATATGTGTGTGTTTTTGTGTGTGTGTGAAAAAAACAAGATAATTTGTAAATAAAAAATATTAGACAAACTGATATTTGGGGGGAAAAAATTCAATAAAAAAGAAGACGACGAAGAACATCGTTACTAATTGAAAAAAAACAAACACATAACACCGTAATATCTAACGAAAAGAAAAAACACCAACAGAGTTGAACGTTAAAGTGCTCTATACAATAAGCACAGTAAATGTGAAATGGTTCTTTTATATATATATATATATATATATATATATATATATATATATATATATATATAGTCATTTGAAGGATTTTTGCAGAACCAACCACACTTTTTGAAGGCCGAATACAGAAACCTGGTGGCACAAGGTCTCTACACGACTCTCCAAGGTTTAGCTGGAGGGAGAAGAAGATTAATGCCTTTTCCAGGGGTATTAGCACGTAATAGATTCGACTGGAATTCGAACTCGGCTCTCCGATCCAAGCCGCTATCCATTACTCCATCGTGCCTCCTAACGAACCAATTACAATTTCGATAAAAGAGAAAGCATTTTAAAACTAATTACTTAGAAAATATTTAAACTAGAGAATATGTGTTTTTGTGTGTGGGAAATTTGTGTCGGCCTGAGTGATAGACACGTGTGTAAAAGTGTACAAGTCAGGAGAGAAAAGTAAGACGTTAAAAATGAATGTGCCTCAGTGTGTGTGTGTGTGGTGGGCACTTTTTTCCCACGTGCGATCTACATCTTATAGCCATAGTTGTAAAAGATACGTCTTATAGCCAGAGTTGTAAAAGATGATAGGGAGAAAGAAAATATGCATTTGGCTTAAGGATCGCCCCCTTTAGCAAAGTCAAGTGGGGTAACCCAAAACTTAATACTGAATTGTAAAATGAAGTGTTTTACAATTTTAAGTGGAGAATAAAAACGGTTTGCGTTTTTTAATTTAACGCCAAAACTTTATAAAAATCACCCCAAAATAATTAAAATAGTCTTTTAATATTTTCCCCACACTTTTTTTAAAACTAATGTTCACCCTATACTATACCGCATACTAAGAGCCAGTCGAGGTAGAGGGTTAGAGAAGGAGTTTGCTGTATGAGTAATAGGTAAGAGGCACAGTTTATGAGAATATGTTGGATAGATTAACCCTACTCTTGAAGAGGTTAATATTGTAATGAGTTGGGAAAGGATCATTTACAGAAAGTAGCAGTTCGTGGGAAGAAGCTGGTTGAGTGAAATTTTGTGTTATAAATTCATGACGGTCGTCTTCGAGTATAGAATCCAGAGGTTAGCAGTGAATATTTCGGAGACAGTAGGAAAGCGTAGTTCAGGTTAGCAGTGGATATCGCAGCAAAGTAGCAGAGCGTAGTACTTCCTTCTGTCATCTTCGCCTGACAAGTTGGCACTGGTCATTCGGGTAGGGTAAACAAAAATGGCCGCCTTTATACACGACGGATACAATGTTCTGCGGCTTCTGATTGGTTAACCTTCTATTGGTAGACTATAAAGTGAGTCAGGGCATTTTGATTGGCTCACTAGTTACATATACACAAAAAAAAGCTGTAACAATTTACTATTTGAACACGGAGGAGATGAGCATGATTCGCCTCAATGTACAAGACGGATCTTGGCTGTGTTGTGCCTATAAATTCGTCTGCTCCCATGTAAAGAGATAAGTCACATGGTATGAGGTGGTTTCTCATTGGTTAATTAAACCACGTGTGTTTGGAAAAATCTAATCACTAGAGAAGAGATTCGGACCTGCTCTGAAGACGCAAGGAATTTTCCACGCCATCACGTTAGCAGTTACCGAGGGTTTAAAGATACTGTAGCGGACCTTGGGGGTGAAGATGTAAAGAACACACGTGGGTTAAAATTTCCTGCTAGCCGGTCCAGTTACATGAGAATGTTGGACTTTAATTAAGTCCAAAGAAGACAAAGAAAACAAACAAGACTGATAATTATATATAAACAAATATATGTATTAACAACAAGTTACAAACACATAGACAGTTACATTGAGTTTATGTGATGAATATTATGTGTGTGTATTGAATGTTCGTACGTACGTGTGTTGGTATTGTTCTTAGTGTGTTCCCAGAATTTGAGAAACGCTGTATTGGTATTAGCTGAAATGAAGAAAGAAGAGAAAAAAATTACCTCACCTCCACGCGAAGGCCTGAGGGGAAAAGAGAGATCGAGGCAAAAGGTCACCCAGTATTTATAGCAAGAGGAGAGAGACCCCTGGTGAAGGAGTAAGGAGAGGCTAACTCCGACAATACAAGTTGTCTGGCACTATTTCACTTCACCAGATGGATAAGTCCGCCTGACATATTATCTCTGTATAGGAAAGGTCATTGTGTTTATGTTAATTGTGGTAGTGATGATTTTATACGTAAATAACTTCATTAAATGTTGATATTCATTCTTATTCTTGTTAATCTCATAGGACTAGCAAAATAGCTGTGACGGTTAGAGTTGACTATTGAAGGAAGCTCATCTGTACATCTTCCATTTTTCTCTCTTTCCAGCATGTCGGGTGCGATCATGTTTTGGGCTCGTCTGCCAAAGAAGACAAATGTCGAGTGTGCGGTGGCAATGGATCGACTTGCAAAACTATTGCTGGAGTCTTTGATCAGCCGCTATTCAAGGGAGGTAAGTCAAAAAACCTGCTTATATTTACTCCCAGTTATCCCCCTTTAAATGAATCGTACAAAACCAAAAAAGACAACGTGATTGCTTCTGTTTGTTAAAGTCAATATTTCCACGATTTTCCACCGTCTCTTTCGAAGAAATCTTCTCTAGCGTCCATGAAACAATCTCACCAAGGGTAGCTGAAAATTCTCTTTTGCATATTATGCATATTCACTATACAAGGGTTTCGTGCCTCCAGTCTGTGATACGAGCCCCCACCCCCGCAAATCTGTGACATGGGACCCCACCTCCGAATCAATGTTACAGCGCTCCACGATCTACTACATCTCAATTTTCATGACGTAATATTCATATAAAATACAAACAATTATTTTAATATATTTTTATGTTTATACATTCTTTCTTACATTTTTAAAATTTTTTATAGATGCAAATATTTAAGTAAATGCTCTGTTTATAATAAACAGTATTAACAACATTTACCAGCCTCAATGTCCGAGAAATTTTCATAAAAAATATTCGTCGTTCGACAGGAATTGAACCTGTATCCTATACGGAACCGTCATTTAGCCTGACGTGTTATAGGATCGTTCGGTTAGCAAAGTCGATTTTACTGCTTTTAAACTACAATCTTCCATGATTCTCTCACGCACATTCATATCTGCTCAATGCGTATCCAAATCGACCTAACGATCTTCTGTGGCTCAATCGGTTAAGGCACGTCAGGCTATATGACGGTTCTGTATAGGATGCAAGTTCGATTCCTGTCGGAGGACGTATATTTTCTATGAAAATTTCTCGGACATTCAGGCCGGTAAATGTTGTTAATAATGTTTATTATAAATAGAACATTTACTTAAATATTTGTATCTAAAAAAAAAAAAAAAAAAAAAAGAATGTATGGACATAAAAATGTCTTAAAATAATTGTCGGACTTTGTCCATTTCGTAATGTGAAACCTAATTATATACAATAATGAATCATATACAATATAGGTGAACAATTCAAGTAGAAAAATTGAAAATAAATACAATGTATCTAAATACAAATTAGAGACATGTCATAATAGATCATTCCATCTTAAATTAGAGACATGTCATAACAGATCATTCCATCTTAAATTAGAGACATGTCATAATAGATCATTCCATCTTAAATTAGAGACATGTCATAATAGATCATTCCAACTTAAATAAATCAACAATGTTTTTGCGCCAATTTTTACACGGACTTGAGATTTTTCTTTTTAAAAAGCTGGATAATTTTAACACATTCAACATTATGGATAAAATATTCTGAGTTTTATATAGTTTTTTTTTTTTACTTTTTTTTTTTTTTTACCGAGACTTAGTATCTGCAAATGTATTTACGACTTCATCACAGTGGACGGATCGAGCGCATTCATTTTCAATTGAAATTATTGCAAACCCGGATAACTTTTTTCTCTTATTGTAGATGACTTTTTTTTAATAAGTTTTAGTTTTGTAACCTAATTATGTGCAACGATGAATCATATGCAATCTAGGTGAACAATTCAATTAGAAAAATTGAAAATATATACGATAGAAATTAGAGACATGTCAAAATAAACCATTTTATCTTAAATAAATCAGCAATATTTTGCGCCAATTTTTTTTACTTCAATTTGAGAATTTTCTTTTCAAAACGGGCGACAATTTTAATACATTCAACATTATGGATGTAAATAACGTAAATAGTTACAATACCTCATCTCAGAAATATAAACAGATCCTGAAGAAAGCAGGAGGGTACAACAGCCGAAACGTCGTGAATATGACAATAAAGATGAGATCAATGGTTCGAACGATGTAAATAGTTACAATACCTCATCTCAGAAATATAGACTGTGAATATGGCAATAAAGATGAGGATAACAGTCAAACAATTTAAACAATGTAAATAGTTACAATACCTCATCTCAGAAATATAGACTGTGAATAAATAAAGATGAGGACAACAGTCTGAACAATGTAAATAGTGTAAATAGTTACAATACCTCATCTCAGAAATATAGACTGTGAATATGGCAATAAAGATGGGGACAACAGTCCGAACAATGTAAATAGTGTAAATAGTTACAATACCTCATCTCAGAAATATAGACAGAAATGAACAACAGTATAAAAATATGCAAATAACAATGACTTAAATATATTTACCCAGCCTCTCCACTAATGCAGGATGTGGCACAAGGTCGTTTTTACGTGGGGAGCGACGTACGAATATGTATGCATACCTGCTAAGGACAAAAGCTGTCGTTTTACCCAGTCTCCGCAACAACTATCACGCTGGCATCGGTATTACAATTATTCCATCTCTCTTACAGCAATGAGAGAAGTACTGCCGCAGGGTTGAAACCCCCAGGGTTGAGCAAATACTCCTATCTAAAATGAGGAGAAGCATAGATCCACTAACAGCGCAGGAGTAATAACCACACTTCAGTAAATCCTCATTTGTTAATGGTTAACTCCAGTGCCAGGTAAGGAAATTTTTAAGGAACTACATTTATAAATAAAAAGTCGAGATAACTCTGTAAAAATCATATTATGAACAGACTCCTCAACACTTCTAAAAAGAAAAAAATCAATATTTTTCGATTTTGCCCAATGTGCAGTAAAAGGATGAGCCACTTATGACTTTTGCTCGGTGTTGTAAGCAGCAGACGATCCCTTTCTTTATGCTGTATGGATGGTGGGAGTTGAAATTGAGGTACTGTCGGAATGTCGGTTTACGGTATATCTTGAACCCATTCTCTGTTCGAGATATAACCACATCCCGGAATGGGAGTGTGTTGTTACTCTCTTTCTCCATTGTGAACTGTATCGAAAGTCTTATTGAGTTCACATGGTCCAATAGAACCTAAACATCTTCCTGGTATGGCCAGAGTATGAAGGTGTCATATATGTACCTTATAGATTCCAATGCCACTTTATTTCTTTGGTAACAAAGAAAAGAATATTGAGCTGTTACGTGACATCTGTCCTTCTTTACGGCAGGGAATGTTGGACGATTTCCTCAAAGACTAAGAAGAGACTCGAGGCAACGAAGGTATGGTTCTACAGAAGAATGCTAAGGATACCATGGACCGAACATATTGGGATGACCAAAGGCGCATTCCAAAAGCTAGGCAGAGCATTACGAGACAGGAAGATTTCTTTGCTAACAAAGAAAAGGGTACTGAACTGCTACGTGACATCTGTCCTCCATTACGGCTGCGAATGTTGGACGGTCTCCTCAAAGACGAAGAAGAGACTCGAGGCAACGGAGGTATGGCTCTACAGAAGGATATTAAAGATATCATGGAACGAGCATGTGAGCAACGATGAGGTCTTAGAGAGGTTGCAAACAAGGAGGAGGCTTATACTTAACATCAGGAAGAGGAAGCTGAAGTTTCTGGGACAAATAACGAGGAAGGAGGGCCTGGAGAATCTGATATTCGAATAGAGGGAAAGTGAGACAAAGGAAAACAACGCATGACATACGTAGCGGGGTCTGGGGGTTGTAGAAGAGGGAAAGAACTTGTTGAGAGCTACAAGGGATAGAGGAAAATTGAGAGCCATGATCGCCTACGTCCTCAAAGGTCATGACACATAAAAAGAAAAGTAAAGTTATGAGGAAAGTCAAAAGTAAGGGTCGACAACTTCCGGCCTCCAGGCCACATCCTGCTCGTCAAATCAACCGTAGTAAGGAATTTACATTTTTTGTTCATTTGTGTTAGTTGTTATCCTGTTCATGCAGTAAAATAAGAAACCTTGTTTAAATAATAGAACATTAACTTCATTGTTTTGTTCTTCACACCTGCAGACTAAGTCAGCCTTTTGGATGGAGCGGTCAGAGGTCGAGACAATTTATTATAGCACATTTGATATCATGGACCTCCTCTGAAACACTTGCATAGATGTCTGGTCTGCTCTTTCCAAAAAATTACCGACCCACACCCTAAAGAATGCCCATCGATAAAAATCACCCCCACTGCAAAATTCTCCCCTATTTTTTTTAAGGATTAGACCAGTCTCTTTAAGTAGTGCCTCTTTATTAAGCTGTTTCTGTCTGTTACGGTGTAAGATGGCGTTTTGGTTATCAGCATGGAAAAGTACAATCGGCAAACCAAGTTGGAAATTAAGCTTTTAGCTGCAGGAGAACAAATGCACATTGCAAGATATCTTGATAAAAATGTTTCATCGCTGGAATACAACAATGGAGAAGAGAGAGGATGAGTAATCACTCACCTCCATTAGTCAAAAAGGTAGAAACATCTGTTCTCATTCTATCTATCTATCTATCTATCTATCTATCTATCTATCTGTCTGTCTGTTCTGTTTCTATTCATATCTATCTATCTATCTATCTATCTATCTATCTATCTATCTATCTATCTATCTCAGCCTGTTCTATATGTTCAGCTAGCTTATATTTAAACCTAATCTTAGTAAGTATCTTTGATAGGTTATTCAAATATATTTTGAGAAGTAGAATTATCACTGAGAGATTATTTAGGCAACCATGGAATGAATTTAAGCAGAGAAATGTTTATAATCGTAAGCTTAGCTCAAATTCGGACGGGCTGAAAATTACAACCAAAAGCAAATCATGACAAAACATGATATTTTATGTTATTATTATCCATTAACAACTAAGATTAGCTTGTAGTTGTTGGAGAAATCTCTTTTTAAAAAAATCCCAAATCTCGGGAATAGATTTTCTTTTCTGAAAAAGATTCCTTTTTTTAATTGTTGCATATATTCATTTATTTTTTCTCTCCGAATTTGTCGTTATGACTCTTGATGATGATGATGACGATGATGATGTTGACGACGATGACGATGATGATGATGACTAATGAAATTTCCCCAACAGCATTCTCATCTTACAGTCAGTGACAGTGTTATTATTAGTATACGAAAAAAATATTTTTTTTAACTGGCTTCCTCGTTTGACATGTTTTACTACAACGTCGATGAAAAAAGTTTGCGAAGAAATATTATAAAAACTAACATGAAAGAAGCATTTATTATTATTATCATTATTAATAATAATAATAATAATAATAACAGCGCCTCGTCTCAAAGTAACGTTGACATAAAAACAAATACAATGAGGATGCTCGTCCGAAAGAATCGTTTTATAATAATAATAGCTGTTTGTCTCAAAGTAATCTCGTGATAAAATGTCAAACAATTGTCCTTTCCTCTTAACAAGGAAAACTGCTTTCATTTTAATTAGGTCTCTCCACTCAGTTTTGATACCTACGGTTTAAAATGAAACTTTAAAGATGAAAAAACATTCTTGTAGTTTTCATTTTAGCTTTAATTGAACGCTAAATGATCAAATTTACTATTTCCAGTAAGCAAAATACTCTGATGTATTTCAAATCAAAATTGTATTCAACTTTTTAGTCGCTTTCAGAAAATCGATAAAAATTGATAAATATCAACCATTTTTGACACATTTCTAAACAAAAATTAATTCTCGGTTTTAAAAATCTTCCAAAAATAAAATATATTTTTCTAAAACTTTATTTGAGGAATATTAGCTGCTTTAAAGTATAATTAATATGATTTGAAAAAAAATATTATTGATTTTAAGTTTAAAATAACAGAGAAATGGATTTTTAAAAGAAACGGTAGCGATGATTACGCGCTTATCACCGTCGCTTGTCACTTGTAGATCTCTTGACAAGTGATGATAAAATCTGGCAGCAGCTTTACTGTCAGTTTAAGAAAACGACGGATGAGCGCCTTTTTTTATATAATTTTTAAGTACTCAGTAATCTTAAAAATGTTGGAAAATATTCTCCATAATCTAATTTTAGGAATGTTGACTTTAAATTTACTATAGTCATCGCTCTTATTTTCTGATTATGTCGTGTTTGATCAACCATACTTTCAAACAGTGGCAAGTTATGTAATATTTTATATACATAAAAAAGTAGAATTAAAAAATATTGGGTGTAAACGACTTTTATTGAACTTTTCAATTTTTGATTCGTAAATATAATTTTCACTGTAGTTTTCAAGTAATATAGGATTTTAAACGATTTATAGTATTATAAATTATTATAATTTAAATTACTATAATTAATATGATTGTAATTAAAATTTTAAGAAATGAAAACGATTCTTGTAAAAATAAATTATTCATAAAAAAAAAAGTTTCTTAATCCAATAGTGTCCTTAATGAATCTTATTTATAAAAGCAATTAAAAGCTTTTCTAATTAAATAATGTCAGTATTATTGCATTTTTTATTTTAAGATTCAGAGAAGATTTTCCGTAACTGGGGGTCCCGTTAAAAAAAAAAAAAAAAACAACTGCACAAAAAACCTCCAAAAAACAAAACAAAACAACTACAAAAAAAAAAAAAACAAATACACAAAAAAAACAAAACAACTACACAACCCCCACAAAAGAAACAAAACAATACAACTACACAAAAAACAAAAAACAAAACAACTACAAAAAAGAAAACAAAACAACTACACCCCCAAAAAAAAAAAAACAAAACAACTACAAAAAAACAAACAAAAAACAAAACAAAACAAATACACAAAAAAAACAAACAAAAAACAAGACAAAACAACGACACAAAAAACAAAAAAACAAAACAAAACAACTACACAAAAAACAAAACAAAAAACAAACAAAAAAACAAACAAAAAACAAACAAAAACAAAACAACTACACGAAAAACAAAACAAAACAACTACACAAAAAAGAAAACAAAACAACTACACAAAAAAAGAAAACAAAACAACTACACAAAAAAAAAAAAAATTAAAAATAAAACAAAACAACTACACAAAAAAAAAACCTGATGATTTAAATTCTTCAATGAGTCCCGCTTTAAACTAATAAAACAAATTTTGACATTGCAATTTAATTTCTCGAAATTTCATGAAATTAAGTAAGTGAGGGAAAACATATGTAAAAAAATATATTTATATATTTTATATATTTATATATATTTTTTTACCAAGATTTTCTAAAAAAAAAAAAATTCACTTTCATTCACCTGTGATTAAGTTCTGAAAGTTTCATTAAAATCAGACAATTATTTGATATTTGCAAGAATGTCCAAATCAATGCGTTTTTCACCTAAAAAAAGGCGCAAAAACACCAATCGTAAATATTATGCCAACTGCTGACGTAAAAAAAAAAAAAGATTTCTAACGAAAATTTCGAACGTGCTTGAAAGGATTAAATAAATTAATAAAATAATCAAAAACTACTTTAATCTTTCCTCTTAATAATAACATAAACATTTTAATGATAAAACTTTTTTTTTCATCATACTATGCTGTTCTTTCAGTAAGCAAGTAAAGGTACCTATTTTTAATGTAAAAAAAATACTTGTAAATTTGCATTTTTCACTCATGTTGTTTGTTCTAACAGTGACCAGGTTTGTTTGCTATTTCCAGCTGACTATCACGAAGTGGTTAGAATTCCGCAGGGGGCCATGAATATCAGAGTTGTGGAAAAAGTCTCCACAAAGAATTACTTGGGTAGGTATTCCAGTCCATTCTTTTAAAAATATTTTTTATTATGAAAAAAATAAGAAGACATATTCAGATTTTAAACATCTTGGAAAATATAGAAATACCAGGTGTAACAGCAAAATTGTCCAATTGTTAGATTAAGCTTTGAACCGTTGTATCTTAGAAATGATTAAAGATATCTTACTGGAATTCTCCGAAGTCTTTATAACACTATTGGTCTCTACTTTGAGCAATGGCAATGTATAATTACTCTCCAAGATTATAAAAAAAAAAAAAATCCTGATGAAATCGATCTTGGATGAAAATGACATGTTCATAATTAATCATAGCTAAGAATCGTAAGCTCATGAAGGATGGAAATAATGTTCATTATATATATATATATATATATATATATATATATATATATACAAATATAGGATTGGTGTATACAGAATAAATTCCAATAACCAACAATTACTATTCTTAAAAGAGTGCTCAATACAGTGTAGAGCGAATATAATTATTTATTCTAAAATTATAACATAAATATATTATAATATTATAAAATCACTACAAACAAATCACTGACACAAAACGTTTTTAACTTGTTCTCTTTCTAGCTGAATAACTCAAAGGATTTTTCAGTTATTCTGACGAAAAATGGTGTCAAGATGGTTAAACGTCTTATCTGAAAACCCGGAAAAAAGAAACTCAATTAGTTTAGTGATTTTTTAGATGTTAAACATTTTGTGTGATGGACAATTATGCTGTTACACGATTTGGACAATTTTGCTGTTACACCCGGTATATTGAAAAAGGTTAAGGCAATAAAAGCTGTCTGAATTTGTGGACTAAATTATCACCTTTACTCCGGATACTGTTCGTAAACATATTTTTATTTTTTTCTTACACTCTGGCTTCTTTCAACTCCCCCCCCATGTGAACCCGAAGGACACACCCTCGCCAAGCTAAGTGCTGTTACCGCGGTTTTCGTAGCAAGTAGGTTTTTATGGGGTGATGTTACCAGTCCAAGGCCCAATGGATTTTGAATTCAGAGTTTTCCTTTTCATCGACGAGTTGCCAAGCAAGGCTAGAGGTTATAGTCTGCCTTCCTATTTAAACCATAGCCGGGTGAAGAAGAAATGCGTTCCTACCCCCCCAAGGCTGGTATCCGGTAAATTGCTCGAAATCAATTGCCCGAAAAATAATTTCTCAGACTATCAATTGCTTGAAAGGCAGATTGTTCGAAACCTGTGGTTAAAAAAAAAAAAACCACATTGTTTTTAATATTTATTATAAGATAAAATAATACAACTTTATTGTTGTTAACTGAACAGTTAAAATTAAAGAACGAGTACATTTATATCTTGACTATTTATTGCATTTACTTTCACTTTCTCCATGGCTTTAGCGGCATCAATTTCAGCGGCATTTCCTGCATGGTTGTGATTCCCGCTTCGTTTCTGGATGCTAACATTGACAGTGATAACACGTGCTAAGCATTTCCTTTATGTTGCACATTTCCAGTAAATCTTATTGTTCACTGTTTTGTCCTTAATATATAGATATATCCATCCAAACACAACTTCTTTCCTTTTTCGCTCTCAACAAAAGTTATGTCCATCACTAGGGTTCGAGATCTCCAAAATGACTGAAATAGAAATAGAAAACAAATATAGAAAAAAAAATCAGGAAAATAGTCGGTCGTATTGTAGGTTAATTCAATACCAACAATAGACAATCCAGTGATGAGTATTAACAATTAATGGAATATTGTAAGACAAGTTTAATGACAATAGATATGGTTGCTATGGGAAGAAAGGGAGAACCACAGGTACAGAGAGTAGCCTTGCCACCATGTATTGAGCCAGCCAAGAGAGAAAGTCCAAGAAGACTGACTGCTAGAGTGTTGGGGCTCCTTTTATATCCAGCTCCGTTGACGTGTCGTGAGACGGCGCAGTTTAAGTGGTGCTTCGAGCTTCGAAATTACTTCGAGTAAACTGCCTTTCGAGCAATTGATAGTTCGAGAAATTATTTTTCGAGCAATTGATTTCGACCAATTTACTGTCGAGCAATTGATTTCGAGTAAGGCTATTTATGCGAAAATATAATCAACGAAGTCGTCCGGACCTCGAACTTTGCTCACCAATTTTCTTTTTGCGACCCGTTGACCATTACACCGCCCGCACACCGGTTCTCTTCTACTATGATAATAATCGTTTGGATATCTACTGGAAAAAAAAAATTGCAAGCATTTTTAATATTGTATGAAGAAGCATGGAAAGATTTTTATCATGTTGTGATGTGGACGTAAGCTGAGCCTCATTGCGATTACAACAAGACTGTAGAAAATTCGGGGCTGCTCGGCGACAACGAAGCTTTAGGATGATATTAATTAACTGAAGAAACCCCTTCAATGTGCCATGTCCTTTCAGAACGTGGTCAGTCATGGCTCACCACATTGCCCTGTCCTTTGGAGCTTTTAGTAAATTTTGTTCCTTGCGATCAGATTTTTTTTTAGCATTTCACCCCAAGCAAGGCGGGAGTGCCACTAAGCACGCAAGGGGTTACAGAAGGCAGATAACAAGAGTAAAGAGGTATATTTGGGGAGAGGATAAAGAGAAGGATGCAGGAACAAGATCAAGGTATCAGAAGATGTCGATTGACATTACATTTGAATATTTGAAGATTATAGTTATCAGAGAAGCAAGTAAGATGAAGAGAATTCCACAGACGGGAAGTGCGTGAGAAGCTGTTTGAGTAGAGGAAACGTTCCGACAGTGAAAGGGTGGGGCCGAGATGCTCGTTTAAATTGATGCAGTTTGGGAACCAGCGAAAGCAATCGACGGAACAGTTGCCGTGAAAAATACTTATAGAAGAGACAGAGGGAAGCCACGGAACGTCTGTGAGAAAGCGATTGTAGACTAGATGCCAGATAGATATCACATTACATATCCGTCTCTGGATTTTGTTGAGGACCTTGAGGCTTACGGCGGGGGAACCAGACCATATATGGAAGCAATATTCCATGCAAGGACGAATGGTTGATTTATAGATTTGAAGGATGGACACAGACGAGAAAAATCTTTCTGGCACGACACGGACAACCAACTTTTCTTGCAGTAGATGAAACTATCGAGTCTATGTATTTTTCCCCCTCATATCAGCGGACAGAACAAGCAGAGGCAACGAGGCGCTCACCTGGAGATAGGCATCAGCCATTCTAATGGGAGACATGGAGGGTTCTATGTGGTGGGTAAAAAGAGCAGTTTCGTTTTGGAGGCGTTGAAGTTTATAAGCCATTTCCTTGTTCCTCTTGTCTTCACTGTGTCTTGTGAGTATCAAATTTTCCAAACACTCTTTTCTTATTGTGTACCCTAGAAATTTCAACTTTCTCTTTCTGATTCTATTGTTGCACTGCCCCCTCGTTGTGGGGAAGATCTTTTGGTCGACGAGGTCGATTCCATAACGTTGTATCTCATCCCGTTCGTCTTCTCCCAGCCGGGGGTCGAAATGTTTTTGGAGACCGGCGATGAAGAGAACTTCAACAAAAGGGATTTTAAACTTATCTATTTTATTAAACACGTCGACGTGTACATTTTTAACTGGCCAGTGGGGTCACTCTATCAACTCCACTGGAGAGCAAGTTGCCCAAGACACAAAATAACCAAGTCTACATTCTTCGACGTGTAAAAACATATCTCCCCGAAATCCCTTTCTATCTCTCTAACATTCCCACGCTAGTTTTAACCAATCAAAAATGACTTCCTTTGTTTTGTCTACCATCTGACCTTAAAGGTCAGCCTCATAACGTCTGAGCCAAAATACACTGCCACTCAAAAATAATGGTCTGAAACTATTACTTAACACTATGTGTGTCATCTTTGTTTCCGTTTTCTCTAAAACTTGGTCGATGCTCACATGTTCGATCCCTGGTATTCTCAGCATCCTTCTGTAGAACCACATTTCTGTTACTTTAAGTCTCTTCTTCATCTGTGAAGAGATTTCTTAAACATTCACTGCCATATAAGAGAACCGATATTACATAACAGTTCAATAATCTTTTCTTTGTTTCTAACGAAGTATTCCTGTTTATTAATACTTTGCTTAGCTTTTGGAAGGCATCTTACACTATCCCAATGCGTCTTTAGATTTAAGTGTCCCATTACTCAACCTCTATTCAAAACATTTCCTAGATATTTAAATCTTTGTACTTGCTTGATTTTCATGTCTCCTATTCACAGGGCGCATTTTGGGATGTCCCTTTTGCTAATAACTATAGATTCCGTCTTACATTTAATACTTAGTCCTTTTTTCTCACTTTCCTTTACTGACTACTGTAGCAGTTCCTATATTTTACTGTTACTTAATCTCAAGTGGAACCTCTAAATAATGTGAACATAAAAATGACATCATTAAAACAAGAGATATTTTGTGTATAATATATTTAATGATCCATTCATAATGTGTCGTATATGTGTTTGTTGTGTGTGAATGAATTGGGCAAAATTCATGTTGTGTTGTCCCAAGATTTCAATTCCCATGAGTCATCTTTTGAGTTTTAAGACTTAGATTGTATAATTATTTTGGAAATGCATTATTTTTGGAAAACAAATTTCTTTTTTCATATGATGACTCAGGAGGTCGGAATTTGGGGACAACAGAACAAGAATTTTGGCCAAATTACCTACACCCCAAAAATCACCATTGTGAAAGGATATTCATACATTGAAAAAAAAAGATTATTAAATCTTCTTCTTCTTCTTCTTCTTCTTCTTCTTCTTCTTCTTCTTCTATTTGTTCTTCTTCTTCTTCTACTCTTCCTTCTTTTTCTACTTGTCGTTCTTCTTGTTCTTCTACTTTTTGTCCTTGTTCTTCTTCTACTCCTTCTCCTCCTCCTTCTTCTTTTTGTTGCTCTTCTTCTCCTCCTCCTCCTTCTCCTTGTTTTTCTTGTTGTTGTTGTTCTTCTTCTTCTTCTTCCTCTTCTTCTTCTTCTTCTTCTTCTTCATCTATGTGTTGTGTCCTTTCAGGAGATGGGGTAACACGTCTCTCCACAATCTCCTATCTTTTTCAGGCCGAATCAATGTCGTCTGTTCTCTGATCCATTTAGACAAACATGTTATTCGCTGTTCCCCTCTGTAAGTTTTTGCCTTGAATATGACCTTTGGATATCAAATTCTCCAAGCCCTCATTCCTCACCTTGTGTCCCCGTGAATTCCAAATAGGCCCAAAATGATTACCGTTTTTACCAGCCCATATTTAAAAGAATTGCTGTTCAATCATACAGAACTGAAATTATATATATATTAAACTCTTTGATAAATTTATGAAATTCTCTCCTTTTGTATTTCATTAGCTCTGAAGAACGAAGGAAGTGTTTATTATATAAATGGAGGCTGGACAATCGATTGGCCTCGAAAATTTGCTGTTGGAGGAACAATTGTCCATTATGATCGTCCATCAGATGAGCCGGAATCATTTTACGCTTTGGGTCCAATTATGGAAAATTTTGTTGTCATGGTAAGTTCACGGTTTATTTTCTGATTTACAAGGTTAGCTTTTGTCATATATGTATCCTTCTGCTATGTGCCATATCTCTTCATGACGTGAGCAATCATGGCTCTCCAAATCTTCCTATCCTTTGTAGCTCTTAGTAATTCTTTTCGCTACCCGCTCCCAGACTCTGTTCCGCCATCCTTTTATACAAACCCGTTATGCAAATTATTCACTGCTTTCCTCCTTCCAAATGTCCCACGAGTGTCAGTTTTTTCAAACTCTTCTTTCTCTTTTATTATCCTACTAATTCGACTCTTTTTTGAGAGATGAGAGTAGAATAGGTTTCATGTGTGTGTTTGTGTGTGTGTTCATCTATATATCTCAGTGTAGGAAACAGAAATCGTTATTTACAATTTCTCGTCGCCATCTTCATTACCAGATCGAAATCGTTATTGCATTTGCTTCCTTTTTCATGGAAGAGCGTAGATTGCCGGTGAACCGGAAGTTCTCCCTGATTGGACTATAAATTGCCAAGAAGAGTCGCAGTGTGTGATTAAAAATGAAGAAAGTTGTAGCTGACGGATAGCACACGATCGTCGATACCCGATCAGTATCGTCTGCGTCATTGTGGAGAGGAGGCATGGTGTTGAAATACCCAAAACCCCTAATAAACCCCGGCTAAAAACATCTATGAAGATATGTGCCAAAGCGTCAAATAGATGTAATTCCCGAAATGTCCTTTTTGTTTCCATTTTCTTTAAAACTTTCTCATTACTGACATGTTGAGTCCATGGTATTCTCAGCATAATTCCACAGTCATTCATCTTCCCAGTATTGATGGGAGTTTCCTTCCTAAGCTTTTGTTTAAAGTAATGTTCAATGCCAATATTTTAATTATACCATTATTTCTCTTCCTCGTTAAATTTTAGTGGTTGCTGCAGTTGGTTGTCTTCAAGTGATGTGTTTCTTGTTATTCATCATTCTGTCGTTATTATATCATTTGTTTTCATATTGCAATTTGAAATATTATTCTTTCTCAGATACTTCTTCAAGAAGAGAACCCAGGCATTAAATATGAATACACCGTTCCATTTCTACCAAATGATACAACACACGACGTGTCTAAATATATTTGGAAACATACCGATTGGACGGAATGCTCCAAGTCTTGCGGGAAAGGTAATTCTTTGAATTTTTTCCATTCTCAGTTAAACCTTGTAAATAATGCCACGGACAGGAGTAATGATAATATATAATGTCGTTCTACAAGGAAAACATGTGGCAGCCATTAGTGCTTTCGGTTTAAATATCTAAAATCTTTATTTTAAAACAATATTTCAGGAAAACAAATTTAAATCCAGTAACTGTTATCACTCTTTCTAGTATTGATGGTGTTTCCTTTCTAAACTTTATTTTAAATTAAAATAAAATTTTAAAAATTTAAATTTTAAGTACTGCGGAATGTCAACATTGATTATGTCATTATTTTCTCTTCCGGTTGCATGTGCTATCCATTTTAATTGTTGCTGCTGTTGAAAGTCATAAAGTCGTGTGGCTTTTGTTATTATGTACAGTATTTTGTTTGGGATTCTGTAGCGCCAGCTTACGAGCTTTAGGGAGGCCTGATTCTTTCTAACACCTAAATTCTATTTTATTCTGGAGAGAGAGAGAGAGAGAGAGAGAGAGAGAGAGATCATGACGTAATCAAGATGTTGACGTTTTTTTTATTAAACGGTATCAATTACATTTACCGGCCTGAATGTTCGATAACGTATAAACAGAAAATATATCAAATAATTGTCGAACTTAATCCATTTCGTTATATATATATATATATATATATATATATATATATATATATATATATATATATATATAGATAGATAGATAGATATCCTTGTGCTAATTTATTGAAACAACCACTTTAGTTTCCTTTCTTTCACCATACGGTCAGTTTTAGACCCACTGGAGTGACAGGGTGTAATCGATTCCTATTTTTTTCCTCAGATTAGGACATTACCAGTAGTTTGCAGTAATATGAATCTATTTTCGGGGTGTATGATGAAATTTGTTTGAACTTGAAAAATAGTGCTTCATCCATGATTCCATCAGATTTTTATCACGCCCAGACATTATTGTCTCGACTGTCGATTAGTTGTCCTACGGTCATTGTCTGCAATGGACGTTAATCTAAGGAAGCGTACGAAAATTGTAACGCTGCACGAACACACTGACAATGTCATCAGTAAGCAAATCAAAGTACTATAGGCTGGCCCGGAAACTCTCCTGATTTAAATCCAATCGAGAATCTGTGGTCAATCTGCAAGGAACGACTTCGTGGAATGGACATCCGGTGTACTAACATCTGCACTGGGTCATGTTTCATTGGAAAAATACGAAAAAAGAGTAAATAATAACGGAATTATTCGTTTTGTTTCAATTAATTTGCACAAGGTTGTATATATATATATATATATATATATATATATATATTGCATGGTCATAATATTAGACATTAGTTGATAACAATAATATTCACACATACACACAGTAAAAAGAATCTTCAGATATTCGAGGCCATCTACATTAAAGCAAAGCAAACTACACTCAACAAAATTACATTTCAAACTAGTCACAACACATTACATTGCATCTAGATATTGGTTCTGTTGTAAGACTTCGGTCTATCACGTGGTATGACGTCATAGAACCGCATCTTGAACTTACGATTTGCGTCTGCTATTCCGTGACCGTTGCATAGCAATTCTGTATGTCAAAATAACAAAATATCAACTTTGACGGTGGATATATTTGTTTCATGTCTGTATAACCAATCTGAGGGTGGTTCATTTGAGCCGAATGCTTAGGGACCAACTTAATTAAAAAATATCCAAATGTTTTATTTTCACCCGAAATTAAAGCAAATATTCGAACATTACAACAGCTCATGATAAGACATAATAGATATTCATTGTCTATCATATTTAAAATATGTTTAAATAACGATCTTCTGCCCCAATACACTATATATATATATATATATATATATATATATATATATATATATATATATATATTAATGAAAGGGTAACTGTTTTTTCAGGTCAAAGCGTGTCCACTCCAATTTGCCAATTGGAAGAAGACGGATCACCGGTCAATGAAGCTTTGTGTTCCCCACAGCCAAAGCCTGGGCAGTTAAATCGCTGGTGTAATCGACAACCTTGCCCACCACAGTAAGATTAAAGTTGTTTTTATTTGAGTTGTTGTGGTGAAAATGTGTTGGAAATTAAAATAAATATAAACAAGAAGTTAACAATATTTGTCTATATTTCTGAGATGAGATATTATATACACTATTTACATTATTCGGACTATTGTCCTCATCTTTGTCGCCATATTTATCACCCTTCAGTATCTGTCTACATTTCTGAGATGAGGTATTATGTACACTATTTACATTATTCGAACTATTGTCTTCATCTTTGTTGCCATATTTATTACTCTTCAGCATCTGTCTATATTTCTGAAATGAGGTATTATGTACACTATTTACATTATTCGAACTATTGTCCTCATCTTTGTCGCCATATTTATCACTCTTCAGTATCTGTCTATATTTCTGAAATGAGGTATTATGTACACTATTTACATTATTCGGACTATTGTCCTCATCTTTGTCGCCATATTTATCACTCTTCAGTATCTGTCTACATTTCTGAGATGAGGTATTATGTACACTATTTACATTATTCGAACTATAGTCCTCATCTTTGTCGCCATATTTATTACTCTTCAGCATCTGTCTATATTTCTGAAATGAGGTATTATGTACACTATTTACATTATTCGAACTATTGTCCTCATCTTTGTCGCCATATTTATCACTCTTCAGTATCTGTCTACATTTCTGAAATGAGGTATTATGTACACTATTTACATTATTCGGACTATTGTCCTCATCTTTGTCGCCATATTTATCACTCTTCAGTATCTGTCTACATTTCTGAGATGAGGTATTATGTACAGTATTTACATTATTCGAACTATTGTCCTCATCTTTGTCGCCATATTTATCACTCTTCAGCATCTGTCTATATTTCTGAAATGAGGTATTATGTACACTATTTACATTATTCGAACTATTGTCCTTATCTTTGTCGCCATATTTATCACTCTTCAGCATCTGTCTATATTTTTGAAATGCGGTATTATGTACACTATTTACATTATTCAAACTATTGTCCTCATCTTTGTCGCCATATTTATCACTCTTCAGTATCTGTCTACATTTCTGAGATGAGGTATTATGTACACTATTTACATTATTCGGACTATTGTCCTCATCTTTGTCGCCATATTTATCACCCTTCAGTATCTGTCTACATTTCTGAGATGAGGTATTATGTACACTATTTACATTATTCGAACTATTGTCCTCATCTTTGTCGCCATATTTATCACTCTTCAGCATCTGTCCATATTTCTGAAATGAGGTAATATGTACACTATTTACATTATTCGAACTATTGTCCTCATCTTTGTCGCCATATTTATCACTCTTCAGTATCTGTCTATATTTCTGAAATGAGGTATTATGTACACTATTTACATTATTCCCCTCTCCAAGTTCTTCACTGCCTTAGCCAGGTATTGAACTCACGCTCTTTGGGTCCTGTCACTGGATCTAACCAACGACTTTATCTACTGTGCCATGTGTCCTCAAGAACACTTGGCAGAGTGGAGAGCTTGGAGAGGGGAATTAACAGGAGATAACTGATATCTGACATCCATTAAAACATGGCACGTGGAACTAGAACAGTCTACACCAGTGAGCGAAATAAGGGGTTCAGTTCGAAATTCCAACCACCTGAAGAAGGCCGGAGCGTACAACGTGTATCAAACATCTTTTTTAGCTGAGGGGGCTGAAACCTTGTTCAAAGTACTATAGGCTATTAACTAGTATATATATATACCTTATGGGACCTTACCCATAATAACATAATGGACTATTCCATACGTAATAAATACTGCGCCTCAAGAGGAAGCAGGGAGTTCTGAGGGGGTGACTGAATATCGTTCAGCCCGAAGTCGGGCGACCGGCTGATCGATTGAACTCTCTGCCTTTGGGCGGGGAGGAACCCGAACGAGGCTACGCCGAAGGGCGAAGTCTCTTTCGGGGAGGTAAACCGACCATGAACCCGTTTATACGCGTGCAAAGGGCATATTTTTGGCTGAGCTCACGGGCTCGGAGATCCCACGTTAAACCGGCCTTGTGTCACATGATGCCCTCGTGGGGAGGTGACTAAATACTGTTCTCTCTGAAGTCTGGAGTGAGGTCCGTCAGAAGTCCGTCAGGAGTCAAGTCAGTCAGAGCGAGCGAGCGAGCGAGCGAGTCAGTCAGTCAGTCGAGTCAGAGGCAGTCCGAAACAGAGTCGCGTTCAGACAATTACTACTAAACCTGATTGTTCGTACTAACACTTTCTACTTCTCTGTATATATTCCTGTTTGTAATATATCTGTGTTATTCCATATACGTGTTCGAGTTCTTCTTTATTGGTTCTACCTTGGACTATCACCGTAGTACAAGGAACCGAACCATAACAATATATATATATATATATATATATATATATATATATATATACATATATATATTCTGTATCTAACTGTTGTTGCATTTGTCTCGTGGTCTTCTCATTGGTTTTTATTCTTCGACCAGGTGGATGACGGGCAATTGGTCCGCTTGCACCCAGACTTGCGGTAATGGTGGGATTCGCCGTAGGACCGTCATGTGCGTCCAGGTGATTGATGATCACGAACGAGTGATTCTTGAAGAAAGAGACTGCCAAGGGACAGGAGTGAAACCCGTGATCGAAGAAAAGTGTAACAACCATGCGTGTCCCACCATCTGGGTGGGTCTGGAATGGTCTGAGGTAGGGAAAGCATATTCTTGTTCATTTATCTGTAAAATTTGTTATTTAAAAATAGAAGATACATTTTTTTATATTAATCCAATACAAGGCACAAGAGTCACTCAAGGTATAGGATTATCGAATGGGGTTGTTTTATGGACGTAAGGATTGTATCCTATGAGGATATGACGGGAAACTACATCCGGCTGCAAGTTCTCTGATCGAGAGATTGCAGGTTTTGACGAGCGTGGAACTACCTTTTAACTGCTGTTGTTCTAAGGCCCAATCTGACACGGTGTGGTAGCACCGGTTAGGGTCCCAGCTCAAGACAAATACTGCCCCCCAACAACAATTAACAGTAAATTTTTATAATTAAATGAGCAACAATACAATTTTATATTAAAATGTCAATCAATGAAACACTAAAATATATAAATATATACATTTTTATAGTAAAACTTCTAACAATACATTTTATGATCTACAAGCAATATATCTAAAAAAATACTTTTACCTTGAAAGAATAAAATTATGCACAAAATATCTGTATTTGAAGTCATAAAATTGTGTTTAAAATATTTAGATTTTGGCATTAAATGACGCATAGATGTGTTGATATGCCACTAAACAAAATCAATCACCCAACAATTAATATTTATAATAAAATGACCAACAATACATTTTATCTGTAGTTGAAGGTATGGAATTAACACATTAATTCCATTTATATTTTACGCGCGCGCGAGTTTCCTCCCTTCCTTTCACACTCGTGCGTGTGTGCGCGCGGTTTTCACCCCTACCTTCCACTCACAGCTAGACATAGCAGTAACCTCGCCAGCTCCTACTGATGAACTCACAATAGATTTTGAATTTTTTCGCGCGTTTTTTCGGCGTTTCAAAACGGCCAGCGTTTTATAAAGCAGTTGCCTCCCGGCTTTCAACCTGACTAGATGGGCAACTCATTTATTCCGTGCCCTTAACCCATATGCGGGCCGGAATATCTTATCTCAACAATGTCGACTTCACACTCTACCAAGACTTCTTCTCGTCTTGAAGCTGCCCGCAGGTCAGACCTTCTCCGTTTTCGACCAGAAGACGTTAGAGACACACGACACAGTCGTGAGCAAAACTTCGTATTCAACTAATGGCTTATTTTTATCCCTCGTCAGCGAACCAATATAAATACAGACAGGGATATCCTACTGACGAACAACTTGCTAATCGCAGGTCAGACCTTCTCCGTTTTCTACCAGAAGACGTTAGAGACACACGACACGGTCGTGAGCAAAAACTTCGTATTCAACTAATAATGGCTTACACTTACCGATCGTCAGTGAACCAATAAAAACACCAAATAATTAATTCTGCGTCCCTTTTGGCTCGTCATTCAAAAATTCTCCTACGAGACGATGCAACTCCAAGTATTAACTTTTCGTCCCTTCTGGCCTCGTCATAAATCTGTTTTGAACCAGTACCAAAAAAAGGAAAAAAAATATATACATAACATTTCACTCACATTAGCAAAAAACTCGCAGTGAGTATTTTTCCTTGTATGTATATTATCATGTACATTGACTTATCTGGAACCTTCTTCTCCTTCAAGAACCTTTCCCGCCTTAGCCATCTTATTTTCTATTTTTGGCGCGGAACATTTTCCTTGATCCCTACCACGGGATAAGTTACTTGTTTTTCCTGCTTTTAATAAAAATTACTCTTGTTGAAATCCAGTCTTTTTCAGTCATTCTGTGCCGGCTATCTTAATATATTTTATTTTATGCACTTGTTGATTGACCCCTTTCCTCTCACTGTTCATTCACGCACATTTTTATTTTTTTTTACTTTGCTTGTAGACTCGGTAGTTTAGTGTGGTGTCTGGCACAAGGCCACTTAGTAATAAACCAGCACTGCACCCTACCGGGCCTGCAACAAAGGTATACAATTGCGTTCAAAATATATTTAGCTGAAATCATAAAATTGTGTTCAAAATATTTAGATTTCAGCATTAAATAACCCATAGATGTGTTGATATGCCGCTAAGCAAAATCAAACAACCAAGCAATCTGAAAAGAATACATAAAGAAAACCAGACTTTCGACAAAACCCCGCTTTACAAAAATTCGTAAATCAAATCTGATTTACAGACTGATATCAAAGAATATATATTGTATTCATATAAATCTTTTGTAAAAAAAATCTTGTCGGTATTAAATAACCCATTAAGGTTGATATGCCGTAAAACAAAATAAACTAAACGTAAAAATCTTATCGGAATTAAATAACCCATTGAACTTGATATGCCGTAAAGCAAAGCAAACCAAAGATCAATCATGGGTTGTAGAGTCAGGTAATTTCTAAAGTAGTATAAAGAACCGTTAATTTTCTCAGTGTCTTGGATTGTATATATGAATTGGGCTTGAGGTCTGATCTTGAGTCCGAATAGTCGTTCAAAGCAAGCTGTCTTTTTTCCCCGTGACAGGGTCAGCTCGGTGATAATGAAAAGTTACTCGCGTGGTTTAGGGGGTATCGAAAATTACGAGCTAGTTTTCCACTACTTGGACTATTTAGAGTTACATGAGAGGAGAGATTAGTGGTCAGGATCTGATCATTTAGAATCTAGATTATTAAATGGAATATTGTTCTCCTCAAAATAGGCCTCAATTTTTTGAAGATGGATTCACTTTTAGTGTCAGTTGTTAGTTTCAACACGAAAAGTAATTCTTGACATATATTATTAACACCAAAAAACCTCACAGATCCCACAAAAAAAACAAAAAAAAACAGAATTATTAGGTAAAGTTGATCAGTTGCCATTTCATCACTGCATCGTGAGACTGATGAGTTGCCTAGATATTTAAATTTCCGTACTTGTTTTAATTTCGTATTTCCAATGTGCAATTTACACATTGGGCAACCCCTTTTGCTAACAACCATGCATTATGCCTTCTTGTCTTTGATGTTAATCCATTTTCTCACTTTTCTTTTTTACCTTCTGTAGGAGCTTTGTAGTGTTCTCTCTCTGTCTGCTATCAATAGGTTTTTAAAATATTTAAAGAACGCTGAAAAATATTCTTATGGAAATAAAAGTCATAATAAACTCTGTTGAATACAAAGTGGTATAATTTAACGCCTAATAAAGGAAAGTCAGTAAATATTGTTATTGATGTTGAATCTTTTTCTTATTTGCTTATATATATAAGAAAGACACTTGTGTCACTAACACAGAAAAAGAGAATGTCTCATATCGAGAATATTTAACATCGAAAAATTTAAAGGAAAAAAAAATTTTTTTAATATGTGGAAATCTCCACCCTTTGCCTGATAACGGTCGCGAGACCAGAAACGCGTGTAGCAAAATTATGGAAAATAAAGCATAATATTTTTTTTTTAAAATCCACATTACAACCAAAAACGTTTGCGGTTTCTCTTTTCTTTTTAATATACACACTTTTCTCTCGTTAGAATTACTATAACCTCTTCCTTTACACACACACACACACACACACACACACACACACACACACACACACACACACATATATATATATATATATATATATATATATATATATATTAATGTAATTATTATTTATTATTTTATTTTAATTTGATAAATTATTTATGTATGTTAAATACTAGAAACTTTTGATTTAACCGGTTTATTTTAATTTAAAAAATGGCCACGTATGTTGGATTAGAAAAAGAGTATTTTTTTTAGGAAAGGAAATATTTGAAAAAAAAAAATCCGTGTCGCAGATTAACATTTTAGCAAAACTCGATATGAACACTCTCAAGAACTTTCCGTTAAGTAAATTATTTTCTCTTTTAATAAGTGTGATATTCTTTATATCGTTGTTTAAATGCCACACTTATTAAAGGGATGCCGCATCTATCTAGATTAGCCAATTGAAGAATAGATAGTAACGAATAATGCCATCGTTTCCTTAATGTTTACAATTCAATTGCAGTGTGTACCAGCTTGCGGTAACCGTCGGCGGAAAACCAGGCAAGTTTATTGCTTGGATAGCAATAGTCGTACTTACGTGGACGAAGGACAGTGTGATCCAAGTACAAAACCAGCAAGCCAAGCTAGATGCGAAAGTACAAGTTGTGAGGACGCCGACTGGGATACAGGAGCTTGGGGTGTGGTAAGTTCTATTTTTAGTTGATATCCTCCCTAGTTGTCAAGCATTTAGAGATTTTCTTCTATTGAGATGAGATTTTAATTGTTTTATGTGTTAATCAGCGTGTTGGGCAAAAATATATTATGACGGAATATAACTATTACTAAAGGATAGTAATAATGAAGAATATATCGACTAAGCGTGTTGTGACAAAAAGTAATAATAAGACAGAGTAAAACTAGTAATAAAATTATAGTATTATTGTAAAACTAATAATAATGAATACCTTTACTATGCTAAGTTCTTTCTAGAGTTGTCTCCCCTGCCACTACATTTTTTTTCATGCAAAAACATGAACACCCACTGTTGTAAAATTGTTATAACTTTCTTTGTATTGTGCGTATAGATATTAATTATTGGACACTAATAAAAGAATGAATGAGTAATATTTGGATGTAATGTATTATGTAATGCATTACGGTTTACATGCATTTTTTTGACGTTGAAAACAAAAATTTGAAACGCGAAATACAAAACACGAAATTAAAAACAAATACGTCAAAAAATACATAAATAATTCAACGTACTTCAATTTTTATTACTCCTTGTGGAGTTCTGGGGGTGCAATAAGAAGCAAAATCGCTAAGAAGAATTTAATTTCGTCAAAAAAAAGTGATGTGTCTCCCCATCTTTACATACGAGAAGACATTAGCATTTGTTTTCTCTTTCTTTCACCTGACTCGTATTTGTCTCTCGTTGACGAATAATGTTATTATTTCGCCGTTTATAAATAGACAAAGTAATTCACCTTCAGAAAGTCTATTACGTATATCGATAGTCTCCAGTAACTTCTATAAAATTAGTCAGGCATGGATGATTGTCGCTAGCATGGTTATCATCATTCAACCACTTCACTGTCAATATCCACTCGAGTAAAGCCTTCAAAATCATCATCGGAGTCCTAATCAAAGAAAAACTGCTGAAAAAAGTCTTCATTGGATACTGACGCGGCCATTTTCGTTTACAAAAAAAATCACGAAAGAATTAAATGATGTTACACCTCGTGTAGAGTCTAGAAGAATTCAAAATGGCGTTGGGAAACGGAAGTTTAACCTTGTTCCAAAGCAGTAACAGGCTATTTACAGTTTAAAATACCAGAAATAACAGTTGACATGTGTTTATTTATAGCAACCGTCTCAAGGCGACAGAATGTGCCGAAAGCAGCAAAGGGAGAGAATTCTACGTCGACTATGTCACCTGCAGTGTGGTAAAGGTTAACTTGGAATAAAACTATTACTAAAAAAGATAGTAATAATGAAGATTAAATCGACTAAGCGTGTTGGGATCAGAAAGTAATAATAAGATGGAGTAAATCTAGTAATAAAATAATAGAATAATGAATAGTGTATTGACCCAGAGTGTTAGGATAAAAAGCAACAGTAATAAGAAATTAAAATTAAATTATATACTATTAAGTAATGAAAAAAAGATGGCGTCGAAAATCTGAAAGAAGAGTTCGAGATCGTAACTACATATTTATTCTCTTTCAACCATTGATCTCATTTTAGTGGCTAAGACGTCATCAACGAACGAAGGACTCAAAATTAGGATACGAGTTCATGCCTCATGGGAAACCATTTCTTTCCTACCGATTTGTCACGCCGGCACTCGAAGAATGATGTTGGACCGAGAGTTGCGTTAAATAGCTAAACATAACACGATGGATTACAACTAGGAACGAAATTGCGATGGGGTCACCACTTTTACCGAGAGAAAAAACAGTTTGTCAAGCAAATGGCTTGATAATATCGGCCTCTGGAGGCGATTCCAGCATGCATCACCGATGTTAAATACCTGAAAACTGTTCAGACGCCATTGATGCTTGTATCAACACGAAACCACAGGTAATTTGGCTGTGTTCACCTGTCCATCACGCAAGATCATCCGCACTCTTCCGGAAACTCTCTGCGTTGGCTCTCTGCGTGTTGAAGCATCACGAATGTGCCTGAACAGGTGCCTGCAAAAGAGATTAACTAGCTATCCAAACTGATGAGTGTACTCGGAAATGAGCAGCCAGCAGTTCTTATTTCATTATATTTAATTTCTTTTTTTTAACAATGATATTCACAAAGTCAGTGAGCCCTGCAAGGTAGAGCGTTACAGAGTTAGAGGCAGAGTGTAGGCGGATAAATAGGGAAGATAACGGTTAACCTTAGATTTGAACAGGTTAATATTGTAGTGATTAGTACAGCATTGGTTCTGAAGTATTGAAGGGAAATGACAAGGAAACTCACGTGTTATATTTAACAAAACATGATAAGGAATTTATTTACAAATTTACACATTTGAAGTTTTCACTATTTACATTATTCGAACTATTGTCCTCATCTTTGTCGCCATATTTATTACAATGTTTCCGGCATTGTACGCTCCGGCCTTCTTCAGGTGGTTGGAATGTCGAATGGAACCCTTTATTTCGCTCACTGGGGTAGACTGTTCAAGTTCCACGTGCCATGTTTAATGGATGTCAATTATCAGTTATCTCCTGTTAATTCCCCTCTCCAAGTTCTCCACTGCCTTAACCGGATACTGAACTCACACTCTTTGGGTACAAAGGCCGAAACGTTGTAATAAATATGGTGACAAAGATGAGGATAATAGTCCGAATGAAGTAAATAGTGTATATAATACTTCATCTCAGAAGTATAGACAGATATTGAAGTTTTAAGAAGTTTGTTCCAGGTCAAGGAATTAAATATTTAAAGTTCGTAGTTTCGATAAATTGTCATATTAAATCATCGATCACAAAAGTAATATTCAAAAATGTTTAAACAAATTGAGAGAGTTCGTTTTCCACATAAAAAGTTATACGGTTGTATTCAACATAAATGAAAGGATATATTTTAAGGTACTTAGCATTGGAGTTGACTAGAGTTCTTTGAAATTGCCCTGCTCTCTTTAGAAAGTGCTAATGTATCAGTATGTAATTTGATACCGGCGTTATTCAGACACGTGAAACTCTGCTTCTTTCTGCTTTTTGTCCGTGCCTCTTTCTTTGTGTCTCTACTTTGATTCAACTTTCTCTGCCTATTTATATCAAAAACCGATTTCACATCGGCTCGTTACTCTTTTCACAGTTTGTAAGCCGCTCCCTTTTCTATTGGTCAAAATAAATTTTCGCATAGGCTTTATTTCGTATTCATCACAGTTCCACAAAGCGGTTCGTGGGAAGATGCTGCTCGAATGGAACTTACGTCTCACCAATGGAATAAAAAGGGAATGAAGGTGGTTCGCTACAAAACGTGTAGTATGGCGGATCTTAACCGTGAAAGTTACCGTCCTGGGTAAGACGATAAACTACATCCGACAGCAAGACCTCTGACCAGGGAGTTTTGAGGAGAAAGTGGAACCACCTCTTAATTGCTGCTGAACCTGGGTGGTAGCATCTGCCAGGGTCCTAACTATGGGAAAATAGTTAATCCCACCAAAAGGGGTCAAACCACTATGAAAGTATAAAAATAGTTTTTAATACCAGCAATACTCTTTTGAAAAAAATCATTACCAGCAATACATTTTTGAAAAAGAAAAATATTACCAGCAATATATTTTTGGAAGAAAATATTAGCAGTAATATAATCTTGTCGGCATCAAATAACCGATTGAGTTTGGTATGCCGTAAAACAAACCAAACCAAAGCATGAAAGTTAGAACTGGTGGAAATAAAGAAACGTTTTAAGAACCGCAAAACTGAAGGAAAAATAAAAACTGATCGCAATTGATAAACGATTATTTTATATTTTGTTAATTTCAGATTTTTGCCAATTTAAAAATAAAAAATATAAACATTATTTACATTATTCGGACTATTTTCCTCATCTTTGTTGCCATATTTATCACAACGTTTCGGCCTTTCAGTATCTGTCTATATTTCTGAGATGAGGTATTATGTACATTATTTACATTATTCGGACTATTGTCCTAATCTTTGTTGCCATATTTATCACAACGTTTCGGCCTTTCAGTATCTGTCTATATTTCTGAGATGACGTATTATGTACATTATTTACATTATTCGGACTATTTACATCATCTTTCTCGCCATATTTATTACAACGTTTCGGTCGTTGTACACTTCGGCCTTCTTCAGGTGGTTGGCAAGTCGAACTGAACCCTTTATTTCGCTCACTGGGGTAGACTGTTCTAGTTCCACGTGCCATGTTCAATGGATATTAGTTATCCCCTGTTAATTCCCCTCTCCCAGTTCTCCACTGCCTTAACCGGGTATTGAACTCCCACTCTTTCGGTCCTGTCACTGGATCTACCTAACGCCTTTATCCACTGTGCCATGTGCACAAAAAACATAAAAGTTATTTTTCCAATTAATTTGGTCGTTAAAATTGAATATATGGTGTTTAGAGAAATGCGGTAGTACTAAAAAAAATGGTAGGAAAGTCGTTGACAACGAACGTATTTAAATATAATCGGTTATTGGTGGTCTCTTTTTTAGTGCACAGTGACATGCGGTGTGGGAGAACAACACCGGAAAGTTCAGTGCAGAACTTCCGCCGGTGTTCCAAGTGATTTGTGCCCACCAAACGCAAGACCGCCTTCTAAGCAGGAATGTCGAACAACATGCCCACAGGAAGAGCAAGAGAAAGAGGAACACGAGGAATACACTGAGGGTGAGTAATTCAACTAGAAAAAAATACAGCATTAGTAAATATCCAAAAAATTTTTGTGGCCTGTTTTTATCTGCGCGTGCGGGAGCGCACACACATACCCACACATAGAGGAACGCACGCACACACATACACATGTACACACATAGACACACACACTCACCTATCTATCGTTCTGTCGATTTATCTATGTAAGAATTTCTGTAAGAATTTCTGTAAGAATTTCTGTAAAAATTTCTGTAAGAATTTCTGTAAGAATTTCTGTAAAAATTTCTGTAAGAATTTCTGTAAGAATTTCTGTAAGAATTTCTGTAAAAATTTCTGTAAGAATTTCTGTAAGAATTTCTGTAAAATTTCTGTAAAAATTTCTGTAAGAATTTCTGTAAGAATTTCTGTAAAAATTTCTGTAAAAATTTCTGTAAGAATTTCTGTAAAAATTTCTGTAAAAATTTCTGTAAGATGAAGACAATAGGAAAACTGTGTAGTTTTTAGCCGACGCGTTTCGTCCAATGTTGATTTTTCCAAGGCAAATAACGAAATGAATTTATTGAAACAAAGAATGTATAAAGAACAAACAAAATATCGTTAGCAACAAGAAGAATTTAGAAACGCTGTTGTATATTCATATGGTCAACTGAAAAATTACGTTAATTACTTTTTATGTTTGAAGAGAATATTTTCACGTGTAGAAATATTGTTTGTATTGTTGTGTTGACGTATTCAACCGTATTCTTTTGATTTCTTGATATATTTGTTGTGTATGTTGGTTTGGAGAAGTAGTGATTCTGTTAAGAAAGGTGATATTGCGAAAAAAAGTTTAATATTTGGATAATATTCAGTGGCGGCACTCTCGAGGATTTTCTTTCTGAGTGAATTATTTTCTTCTTTTATGAGTGTAGCATTTATAAAATCATAATTTCAATTGTATTATTATTTTCTTTTTTTCACGAGTGTAGCATTTTTTACCTATTCTTTGCCTTGAAAAAGTTAGACGAAACGCATCGGCTAAAACTGCCCAGTTTTTCCATTGTCTTTTTCCATCTATCTATCTATCTATCTATCTATCTATCTATCTATCTATCTATCTATCTATCTATCTTCAATTTGTTCATATTTATCTATTTGTTTATTCTGAAGACTGAAAAAATTACGGCACTTACAATCGAAGGCGTAAACAAAAGCAAAATTTATAAATGTGTACGTGTAAAGAACGTTAAATTCGTCAATGCGCTCGTGTACAAAACGGATTGAAAAAGACGCGTGATAAATTTAAAAAATTGAACGGAATCCCTTGAAGAATGGAAACTTCGAAGTCCAAGAAAACAATAAAAATGATATTTAAAGTTAAGTAATTATATATATATATATATATATATATATATATATATATATATATATATATAAAGAATGTATATATATATATATATATATATATATATATATATATATATATATATATATATATATATATATATATGTGTGTGTGTGTGTGTATATATATAGTACAGGTAATAAATCCGTTGGTATATAATCCAAGTGGATCCTAGTAATATCAAATATTGAAACTGATCCACAAATAAAGCTGAATGTATTTATTATAACAGAGTATATAAATTACACAACAAAATCCAAAATTACCTCATACGGTGAGGGGTAGATCTCTTTTATTCGGCAAAACTATGTCAGTCTCATTCAACCTCGGTGTATAGACTCTATACACCGGGGTTGAATAAGAGTGGAGTCGTTTTGTCAGTTGAAATAGATCTATACCCTCCATATCAGGTCATGTGGATTTTGCTTTGTAATATATATATATATATATATATATATATATATATATATATATATATAGGTAATAAATCCGTTGGTATATAATCTAAGTGAATCCTAGTAATATCAAATATTAAAACTGATCCACAAAAAGAGCTCAATGTATTTCTTATAACAGAGCATATAAATTACACAACAAAATCTAAAATTACCTGATATGGGTATAGATCTATTTCAACCAACGCCAAGTCTTATTCCACACCGGTGTATGGACTGTATTCGTGTCGGAATTAGAGATTTAAAATTGATACAGAACCTACATATTTTGACGCTTCAGCCCGAGTTGGTGGTAAGGGGAGGGTGAAAGGTATCAGTCTTAAAAGGAAGAGGCTCCACAAAATCAACCCGGATATTAACCTTATGGCCCTAAATTGGGGTTATATGAAGAATGAGACGTTGATTTGAAATTAAGAAAGGTACTGAAAATGGTGTTTTATATATATATATATATATATATATATATATATATATATATATATATATATACTAGCAGCATGGTACGACTCATACAGCAATCGCTATCATTTGACTTTGAATATTTTTGCCTTTCCTGGAAAAACCGAATGAAAAAAGAATGTTAACAATAAATACTTTTTCACACCCAACTTGGATTCTTCGGAATCAGAATCAACGTTGAGTTTAAGCAAGCGAATGAGCCAATTGGAGTAAAGTGCCATGCAGATTTAAATTTTTCCCACTTGTGACGGATGCAGCTATCGATTTTTTTTGCATGCTAGCATGCTAGTTAACATTCGTGTCAGTCAGCTGTTGGCTCTCACGCTGGCCTATGGAATCTTCCTGCCTATTCGTGGCAGCCAGCTATAGGCTCTCACTCTGGCCAGTAGAAAATGTCCGCAAACAACATGAAAACTGCCGTAGAAGCATGAAAAAATCGATTATATTCACTATCGATGGGAGTTGGGAAATGCAAAATCGGATTTGGCTTTCCTGCTAACTTGGAGCATGTTCATGTAAATTTTGGTGCAAATCCGTCGAAAAACACGGCCGTGCATTCGTTGCACACACACACACACACACACACACACACACACACACACACACACACACACATCCTGCCTTATATATATATATATATATATATATATATATATATATATATATATATATAGTTAAATTCTTTTATGGAAAATTCTAGTCGATAACACAAAATTCTTTTGAAATCACATAGTCGCAGACAACTTACCATCAGGGAATCATTGCTGATTAAATACCGTTCATGGCTATCAATATTACTCTGTTTAGCAGTTGAGATGATGTGTTAAAGGTTTTCTAAAAATGGAAGTGATGCCCATGTCAACCGGTCGCACATAGCACGTGAACTCCAGAAAAACATACACCCACGCCTCGCACGTACCCGACACAGCGAAGCTACTATGTAGAACTTAACAAACCGACAATCACCATCCAAAAGCAACATCCTTGACAATGGCTAGAGAAGTAGCCGAAAGTGCCCGGAACAATTATAACTATGGACAATATCTAGATTCTTTAATCAAGTTCTAAGGAACCGACAGCCCAGACATCAGCAGATGATTTGATTATAATGGTGAAGGATTTGTGCAGAACCATCCACACTTTTTGAAGGGCTGAATACAGAGACCTGGTGCACTGAGTTTTCCTTCTCCTAGATTAGTTGCCATCCAAGGCTATAGAACCCAGTATGTCTCCTGCAATTTACCCATAGCTGGGGCGGAGTAGAGGAGTATTCATACCTTTCCCAAGGGTATTAGCGCGTAAGTGAATTTAATGGATTCGACTGAAATTGCTCAATCCGAGCCGCTATCCACTACTCCACTGTGCCTTTATATATATATATATATATATATATATATATATATATATATATATATATATATATATATATATATATATATATATATATATATATATATATATATATATTGGGGACTAAAGTAATGTTCTTGCTGATTACATATGCGGATGAAGAAGTGGGGAAATATGAAAACGCAAACGTTTATTATAATATATATATATATATATATATATATATATATCATTGCTTGAAATTATTGCGACCTTGTATTCGAGTCTATATTATGTAAGAATAAATTTTAATTTTAAAATATAGATTTTTTTATCATTTTAGAAGTTCATAATATCGACACAATGTAAAATCAATTACTGATTTTTACAGAGTTATTATCCTTAGTTATTATTTACAGATTTCAAGTTTGAAAGTATGTTAACATCATTCATATTAGTTTTTGCGTATTTAAAATTTTCTGAATTTTTAAATCTTTCAAATGATTTTTTTAAAAAAAACATTTAAAAATTAAAAATAAAATCAAACTTTTTTTGTCTGGAATTGTCTTTCAGAAGAACAATACCGCTGTAAAACTAAGAGATCTATTTGACACTATTGTTATTAGAAATAGGAATCCATTCTAACTCTAAACAGTACCCCATCTAAATACATAAACAATATCTCCATTCTACTCATATAGACACCAACCCACCTTCTAACTCATATAAACAAGAACATAACCCGCCTTCTAACTCAGTACCCCTTCTACTCATATAAACAGGACCCCACCTTCTAACTCATATAAAACAGCACCACCTTCTACTCATACGAACAGAGTTCCTTCTACTTATATAAATATGACGCTCCTTCTACTTATATAAAATGGGCCTTCTTCTACTCATATAAACAATACCCCTTCTACGTACATAAACAGAACCCCCTTCTACTCATATAAACAAAACCCCCATTCTACCCATATAACCAGGATCCCACCTTCTAACTCATGTAAACAGAACCCCCTTCTACTCATACAGATATTCTGAGTTCTCGACCCGATCGGTTTCCCAAAATGACCAAATATCAAAATGTTGGTTGTGCTGAGAAGTTTTCAGCAAAACGCCCTTGTAAAATTTTACCATGGATAAAAATATCTCCAATGAAAAACACAGATTAATTAACTGATTGATGATAATTAATTTAATAATTTTCTCTCCTATTATTTCTTTCAGAATGTGTAGATAAATATCACGTAGCCTATTGTCCACTTGTTGTCCAGTCTCGCTTTTGCAGTCGTAAGTATTTCCGGCGTTTGTGTTGTCGTACGTGTAAACTTGCCCAGGGAGCTAACAATTGATCTGTAGGGGCCGAATGGCAGTTGCTGGTCAACTCACAGCCAGTTAAAGGTGCCATGTCCGGCAACGAGGGAGGCAGCGGCCGAGGGAAGCGGAGGCAACGATGAGCTGCGTGATCCGAACACACGGTAATACGGTCCACACACACACACACACACACACACACACACACACACACACATTTAGACGCATAGACGCCCAGCCTTAATGCTCACACCCAATGAAGCATGAATACATTAATGGGGGGGATATACATATGACAGATGTAAAGATATAACAGAATACCAGGTCTATTTTAATTTCGTTCGACAATATGATATCACTGTGCTGTCCTAACTACACCCACTACCCACCAAAAAACAAAGCAAAAAAAAAAAACGATTACAAATCTTGGAGGCTCTTCACATTAAAACAGAGAAACCCACAATCAATAACATTTGTTTCAATCGAGGCGCTCATACTTTTAAGCTTGAATAACTTTTTAGATATAATCATTATCATCGCAAGTAAAACCACATTCATTTTTAATACTTCGAGACCAGAATAAAATCACTAAAAGGTTCAATAGAATCTATCTTAGCGTGGGCGAGCTGTTACCGTCTCCACCACACAGATCCTTAGAGCAATGCAAGACTCAACCGCTAAAAATAAAGCTTCTCTCATAAGAAATAATGTTACATTAAATCTATCTATCTATCTATCTATCTATCTATCTATCTATCGTTTTTTTTTAACTCTTAACCCACTAGAGTCGTGGGGGCATTATATGTACTACAATCGCAGTAGTAGTAGTAGTAGTAGTAGTAGTAGTGATTCCTAGGCAAAACAACCTGACGGAAACAACACTCTCTAGGCTGGTTTTGAATTCAAAGTTTTTCCTTCTAGACTGGTTGCAACCCAAGGCGGCAAAACCAGTCTGTCCTGCTATTTACCTCTCTCTATCTCTCTCCCCTTCTCTCACTCTATCTAAGCTTACGGCCTTATCAAGTTGAAATACAGGTTTTCGAATGATCACCGAAGTTTAGAAACGTCAAACCTGGTCAGTAAGTAGATGGGTGACGGTTTGGGAAAGGCAGGTGCTATTTGCGTGTGGAGTAATGAACAATGGCACGGAATTGGAAATCAGAGAGCCGAGTTCCAATTCCAGTTGGGTTCGTTATATTCACTTACGCGCAAATTCACTTCTTCTCCCTCAAGCTATGGATTAATTAGTAGTACTTGTATCAGTAAATCCTTATTATCGCCAAAAACGTCTTGCAATCTAAAATATTTTCTGGCTTTAAATAACCTGCAAAAAGGGTGACAAGCCCTAAAAAATGAATCACTCATACACACACATACACACACACACACACACACACACACACACACACACACACACACATATATATATATATATATATATATATGTGTGTGTGTGTGTGTGTGTGTGTGTGGTGTGATAAAATATGGTTTTAGGGTATGCTATATTTATGGGTCAAAGTGCTCAATATCAGTGATAGAGCCTATGTAAATATAAACGTGAACATTGAAATTAACACCAAGAGGCGACAGACTGTTTCATGCTTAAACGCAATCGTCAGGCCATATTCGTTGTGTTTTTGCTCGACTATTTATAAATAACATGAAGCAGACTGTCCCCTCTGGTTGTTGATTTCAATGTCCAGTTAATTTTTACACACACGCACGCTCGTTCGCGCGCGGACACACACACACACACACACACACACACACACACAAACATATATATCTATATTAGTTGAAAATCAAATGTAGATCAGATATGGATAGGGATCCGACAAGATAACAGAATAAAATAAAGAACAAGTAGGAAACGTGTCTCAATCTAACATGTTTCATTTTTATTAAAGCTTCGCCAGAGATCAAGATAGAAATGAGAAAAGCAAATAGGCACAGAGATTTGTTATGATATATGGTTAGTTCTTATTAGTCAGATACGTGTCACGTGTATTAACGCAATAGATAATATATAAATATGTGTGAGGAACATTCTGGACGTTAAAGTGTGTAATAGTGTATCAGTGTGCATGTAAAGAAACGCTTGTGTATCTAAGTGCATGTTGGACGGTAACATTAATTCATGTAAGTGTATAAGGGTGTGTGTGAGGAATGTCTATAGTTGTCACCTTCGACAAACCCACAAACAAAAAACGACCTAATCAATTTCTACTCCCACCATAACTAGAGAATAAAATCTAGACTAATCATAGGATATTACCCCAGACACCTTAAGATATGTAGCCCTGAATACTTAAATGAAGAAGAGGAATATATTAAGAAAATATTCAATCTTCTCTACTATCCACATCATTTCATTCTCACTGACAAAAAATGAGCTCACAAAATCCATATAGGCAACATACTTTTGGCTAAACTCGGAAACGAATTAGCCATCTCTAACACTAGGATCGTTACCTTCGGGGACATAATCAAGAAGCAAAATAAATCAAACACTATTTATCGTATAAAGTGCAAAAACAATTACGTAGAGTAGACCTCGCGTGATCTCAAACCTCGGATCTACGAACACAAGAGAGACGTGCGTTTAAACAGACATTCTAACACTCTCGTCTTGCATCGAAACGACGTGGGACATATATTTGATTTCACTAATGCCAGTCTAATTAAAAAACAACATAACCCTTTAAGGAGAAAATATTTTGAAAATATATTTATAGCATTACTGTCAACTATAAACACATATAAACATTAACTCACATCACCACCTTTCTACAGATCTGTTATTCATGAATCTAGCTTATGTCTAATAATAAAATAATGAAAATATACAAATCCTTTTCAAAAATACGCATGAGAAATGCTTTAATAATAAATCCAACCAAAACATGATTATTACAGTATCTTGTTGCGTTTCACCGACCCACACAGAGGTGACGACAACAGACATCTCCTCTCTCTCACACACACATACACTTTTGCAAGATTTCATCATCCCCTGCCTATATCACCGCTTCAAATGTATCTAAGTTGTAACGAAGCTTTGCGTCAATATTAGATTTTAACGTTTATTGTGAGTTTTTGGCCTTTCAATTAAAACAAAATAAATAAAAAATGTATGTAATTTTTCCTCAGTTTCTTCTGTAAATAATTTTATATTTTAAACTTAATACACATTAAATTAAAATTTAGAATTGGTAATTTTTTATTTTATAGTAAAATTTAATATTAATTAGAATGATTTCTAATTTAGTCTAACCCTAACATTAAGGCATTTAATTATTATAACTAAGGTTAGTTGTCAAGATTTTGAATTCTCGTATACTTGTATGTTGATTGGTCATTGCAGCTTATGTAACAGCGTTTCCCTTAGCGGTGTTTGGTCGATTTGAACCTTTGGAGCGGTGTTTGGTCGATTTGAACCTTCTAAAACTCTTTATTCTACATTTAACACCATCACTTGATTAGACACCAGAAGCGTTGAAACAAAATGGCTATTTTGTAGTGATTAAATAGCATATTTATGTTATAATTTTTGAATAAATTATATTTGCTCTACTCTGTATTGAGCACTCTTTTAAGAATAGTATTTTTTTTGCTTAAAGGAATTTATTCCGTATAAACCAATCCTATACTTGTATATATATATATATATATATATATATATATATATATATATATATATATATATCCTAATGAGTTAGGTACTACCTACTTAGGTTTAACCACATGGGATCATCAGAGTGAACTAGGCATTTCACTCTGATGATCTCATGTGGATAAACCTAGGTAGGTAGGCTCATTAAGATTTATTTAGTTTAGTTTTACTCTACTTAGTGTATTGAACACTCTTCATTTTAATTTATTACTCGTTGTTTTTTTCTTTGTCCCAGAGATTTAAGGAACTGGGCGATTTCTTTTCGCCCTGTTTGGAGGTCTCTGGTTCTTTCTTTTCTTTCCATTTTTCCTCGGATGACAATTTATATATATATATATATATATATATATATATATATATATATATATAGTGAGAGAAAGAGAGAGCGAGAGAGAGATAGAGATAGATAGAGAGAGAACGCCAAAAATGTATACACACCTCAGGAAAACTTGTATGGATATTGTAATAGTAAGTTTATTCAAACATCACAAGATTAATAAAAGTTACATTTGGACTCTACAATCACAGAAATGCTCAAAATGGTGGCCTTTGGCTTCCAGGCATTTATTAGTGTGGCGAACTATTGCTTGGGAAACTTTAGACAAAGTGTCCAGTGGGATTACTGTACATGCATTTTAAATTTCTTGTCTAAAGGACCTCCAATGGCCTCGTTTTTCTGCAATACACGACAACCTCTTGGACTTGTTGATGCTACAGCCAGGAGGGTAACGCCGTCTGTCGAGAAAATATCGTACTACAGTAAACAGTGTTATCACAATTTGGTAAAACTGTGGATAATGTTTTTCCTTTCCTCAAGTGTGTATAAAATATTTTGGCGAACTCTGTATATATACACACACAAAATACTAGCTTAAATTTCGGAAAATCTAACTAGCGTACAAATAATGTAGTACGGACTTTTGACCTAACCCTTTGTGAGCAGCATGACTCAAAGGAACAATGTTTCGAAAAAGACGTAGAAATTAGATGTTTGTGGGAAGTATTTTACGATCAAATTTCTCGAAATATTGAGCTCCAATCTGGACGTGTTTGTGCTTTCCACTGTTGTCTTACGTCTCTTCGTTGGTCAATACGACTGATTTCGAAATTTCTGATATCACTCTGGCGCAAATATCTCCAGTTATTTCTATCCAGGGCAACTCACGCGAAGTAAGTATGAGGCACAATGACAGCTGTGAGGTTATTTAGTTTGTCTTTATACCTGAGCCAACAGTCCAATGTATAATGTGAAGCTGGCTATACTGATCCTTAGGTATTCTGGTTGGTCCTTAGGTATTCTGTTCTCACTCAACCTTGCAACATGACCAGCTCGGCGAAGTTGTGACTGCATCAGGAAAGTCTCATTCCACCAACGTGGCATTTAGCGAGAAGATTAGTATTCGACACCCTATCGTCAAAAGTATAGCCACAGATCGCGCGGGAGATTATATATATATATATATATATATATATATATATATATATATATATATATATATATATATTCATATATATATATATATATATATATATATATATATATATATATATATATATATATATATATTTATATAATTATTATTTATAAAAAATTAACATAAGTATGTTATAAAATCACTACAAAAATATCCATTTTGTTTCAACACCCTCGGTGTCAGTGATTTTATAACATACTTATGTTATAATTTTTTTATAAATAATAATTATATCTTCTCCACTTTGTATTAAGCACTCTTTTAAGAATAGTAATTGTTGGTTATTGGAATTCATTCCGTATATACCAATTATATACTTGTATATATATATATATATATATATATATATATATATATATTATAAGAGATAAGAGATTATTATACAATAAAAACATTTTGAAATCGCTACTCCAAAATTTTCATGTTACAGTACTATGATTGTATTTCCTCAGGCGATGTACATTTTGAAATCGCTACACCAAAGCTTTCATGTTTCGATATTATGATTCTTCACCTCAAGAAGTACAATCATAGTATTGAAACATGAAAGATTTTGTGTAGTGATTTCAATATGTTTTTATTATAATCTCTTATAATAAATATATAATAATATATTGCTCTTCTTTGTATTGAGCACTTTT